TAATATTATAAGCAGTCTGCCATTTTTTTCTGTATAAATGACTGCCACGAAGAGTGATGGTGCCATTACCACATTTGTCACCTCCTATTTGAATTGGGCAGGATCCTTTATTGTTATCCTGCAAGCAAGCTCTCTCTGGGGGGCTTTGGGTGGGGGCAAGAAAGGAGAGCACCCCACCACCAGAACACCTCAGAGAGCTAGCTTTGCTCGCACCGACGCTATTTATCCGTACAGTATGTGGTCCTTGGTCCGCGCAAGTCTGCGATGCCCTTTGGTCCGCACCTTTTCCGAAAATGATAAAATATTTCGTCGAGAAAAAAATACGTTGAATAATGAAAGATATCGTGATTTACTGATTAGCATTCTTTCATGTGACGAAGTTTCGGCTTTTTTGCTGCGGGTGAAGGCGCGAAATTAAAGGTTGTTGACAGGTAGGTTAATTTGTCTTTCTTGAAGTTTGGATTTTTGCGGCACCGTAAATTACATGAACATGTTTACTTAGCCTGCGAATAAATAAAACGCAACGGAAGACGTGCCTTTTGCAGAACAGGTTTTCAGATCAACTTTTTTCTGCTGTTGGAAGCATATTGCTGTAGACTCTGAATTTTTTGTTTTATCGACTCTTGAAGAATATCACCAAATTTCGCTTGGCGGTCCTTGGTCCGCGACCTATGACCTGGTTGAATAAAACTTCGCAAAATAAAAAGCGAAGTCCTTTGTTTTCGAAGAATGTTTTGAAAATCGTCCCTATACATGTCTACAAGTTCTCTTTTTTAATACCTGGAATACATGCAGAGTTTTTGGTAATTATTTTCGACCGCGCTGAAAGCCGCTCGCGACGCTCGTGTGGGAGACTCGAGGAGTCTGTTGTCTGAAGTCTTTGAAAGAAGAGCAGATTATTTTATACTCACAACATCTTCCGAAAAAAAACTTTAACTTAATTGCATCAAGAAAAGAAAAAAAAATACATGAAATTTGTGAAAATGACATTTTCCTGTGGAAACTATAACATTTTTACGTTTTTTTCGTGCTGCTTACATGAGACGCGGACCAAGGACCACCGAGGACCATCGAAAACGGTCGCCTTTTTTCGAACTCCAAGCAAAATATTTATGTCTGGAACTTGAAACTTCAGGATTATCGAGAAGAACGTAAAAGCTATCTTCAGGGAGTATTTCAGCTCGTTACGTGAAGATTCGGGTAAGATATTCAAGTTAATGACTTTTAGACGCGGACCAAGGACCACATACTGTATATGGACGCAGTGTATATTAGAGTCTTTATTAACAAAATCTCTTGAATCATTAAATAGATGGAAAAGCACCAAAGATTCTTTGCAACCGACAAAATACTACGATAACTCCTTCATCGAAGACAGTGCAGTGTCGTTGTCAACCTGGATTTGAGATTTTTCGAGGCAAGGATGGACAAATTCAGTGCAAACCGTGTTCAAAGGGGAGGTTTTCTACTGGTGTGAAATGTGCTACATGCAAAGTTGGTCATGTAGCCTTTCCAGGCAAGCACTATTTTTTGTGGAGGAATGACACATTACCAGAAGGCTTCTCTGCTTCTTGTTCCGGTGACTGTACTATTGAGGTTTGTCAAATATTGAGAAGTTCTTTAAAAACTATGTCGATTGTTTTCAAGATGGCGAGAAACACAGCTAGGTGCTCTCCTAACCCTTTAAGTCTCAATTGTGACAAACATCAATTTTCTCCTAACAATATCCATTTTTTTGCCAAGAGAAATAGTTATGAGAGTTAATAAAATGATCACTAAAGAGCAAATGCTTTGATCTGTTATCAAACTCTCTCTTTTAATTCTTGAAGGAAATGTATGGAGATCAGTATGGAGAATTTATATTTGGATATTGGGGCTTAAAAGGGTTAATGGACTATAAGTAGTTCCTTAGGGATAGTAGAGCGAGCAGATGCACGAACGCGCGTGAAAATCGCAACCCTCGAAGAAGGTCCTCCCTCCACGTGTCATCCTCGCGGCTGGTCATTTCTCACGCATTCTCCTATTTTGCTCGAACTACTATTCCTCAGAAGAATGAGGAAGAACTTGACTGTTATAGGTAACTGTTATGTCTCCTGAGCGTTCTTTAGGGACCTTACAAACTACGACGGCGACGGGAACCTCAGAAAAGCAAAGCAACAACTTTGCGCGGGCATCACTTTTTTGACTTTGCCTGCACAACTAAAAATGGTCAAATTTTAAGTTTACTTGAGAAGGGGAACGGCAAGGCGATAAATTCTACCATCTCTGTCTGAACTCGTGCGCGGTCCCATGCCTTCACTTCCAACCTAAATTCCTTCTTTTTAAGTAATAGGGCGACTTGGGATAATCGCGAAATAGTTTCAACGGATGTAAAGTCTATTTTTACGCGGCGTTTTCGTGGACGTCGCCGTTGTCGGGTCGTAAGGTCCCTACTGAAAGTTCTAAATAACAAGTTTTGAAAAACTGTTAAGTAGACTTGTTTTTAAAAGACCCAAGTGCACTTGATCTGGTGACAGGCTCATAATGGCTAAATTTGGCTGAATTCCGGGACTCAGCCTCTTTAGGTAATAGGAGACAGAACAGTCTGTCCGGTTTACAGTCAAGTCGCCCAAAATTTTATCATGCCCAGCAACATCCTAACATCTTAATCGCCCTTGTTTCGTTTCATCAAATCTTCAAGAACAAGATGTATTACTCATTTGCTTGTTTCATTTCATCAAGGCTAAAAGAATGAGATATGATACACATTCATCCCCCTTATTTCGTCTAACCATAGCATCATTGCTTGAAGAACGAGATTTGATTACACAATTGGCCTGCTTGTTTTGTCTCATGAGATATATTACGTACACTCCTTACAAAAATTTCGGGCGACTTTACTAAAAATTTCTAGCAATTTAACTTCGGGCGATTTGACCGGTTACTGTCTGGGTTCCCCATGTAAGGTTATCCATGGCAGTCTTGGATGCTGGATTCCAGATTCCTTGTCAGTGGAAAATTGTATTCTGGATTCCATGTCAATGGAACCTGGATTCAGAATTCCAATCATTAGCCGGATTCTGGATTCCTTGAGCTGGATTCCGGATTCCAAAGCCCAGGATTCTGGATTTCACAATCAAATACTTTCCAGATAAATTCCGGAATCTGGATTACCTTACGTAGATTTTCCTGAAAACCAGAATGAATAATCTGAAATACCTTTTTTCTAGACTGGTTGGATTCCAGCTGGGGATCACATTCGCACAGAACGTGTTGTGGGTAATGTGCACTCTGAATTGAGGTCTCCTGAAGTAGAGGTGGATTCAGATTTAGCAAAGGTCGTCTTCAGCTGCTCAGTCCTGTGCAATTTGACCGGAGTGCCATCTAAACCCGTGAAAGGCGAGACTTTGGCTAAAATAGAGAACTGCAATCTCATATTTCAAGTGTGGAAGAATGGTTCTCTGAAGGATCAAGTAAACTGTACTCGTCCTAAAGGGAAGTATATTTATCAACATGAGAAGCGACGAGATGGTAATTATGTCATGCATGTTTATCCACTGGAGAAGGGAAGATATCAGTTCAGGTAACAGTTGAGACCTTTTCGGAGGAGTTCACGCTCATAGTTGCATCATGGGTAATCAGGGCAAGATGGCGGGAAATTCAAAGATTTGTATTGGAATTCAAAGCCAGCTAATCCTTCCTGAATTCATATATTTGATGCTTTCTCTTTGAAAAGAGTAGCTTACGAGTTCAAAGAAACAATACACTAAATCTGGAGTGCAAAGAATACTATCGACTTTTCAAAGAGAAAGCAACAATTGTCTGAATTCAGGAAGAATTAGCTGGCTATGAATTCCAATACAAATCTTTGCATTTCCCGCCATCTTGCCCTGATTACCCATGATGCAGCTATGAGCGTGAACTCCTCTATTGTAAGACGAGGACATTTCGAGAACGAGATTTTCTCAATACTAAGTAGTGCGCAGGCGTGAACCAGCGTCATTTTGGAGGAAAATCGTGATAACCATCGTCACTCTACTACGAGTTTTGCCGTAGTGGCGGAAACATGTTATCAAATGTTGGAAGTTGGATCAATATTTGCGGTCGGGAGAGTGCTAATAACTTTTGTGGTGAAAAAAGTACAATTTTTGGATTTTAATACTACTGAAACCGAAATGTTTAAGTTTAAGGGCCTTTCTTTTGGTTACAGATGGACGTTCTACCAGCTAGACGACACTTTCTCTTCAGCATTTGAAGCGAAGGTATCCAACATAAGCATCCTTGGTGCAAAGTCTGGCGCGGCTCGCAACTGTACAGCATGCCCACCTGGATATCATAGCACACCAGACAACACTGACTGTAGAATTTGTCCAAATGGAACTAGCAGTTTAGCAGGTTCTTATAAATGCGCTCCTTGTCAAGGGCAGACTTTTGCCGCACAGGTATACAGCTTCACGTTTGCTACAAGAGTCAGTGAGGGTTCAGTCACACACACTTTGTCGTTTTGTGGTTATAGCTTCTAAACAATGAACACTTTGTTATGAGTTGTGAGTAAGCCGGTCAGTCATTCAGTTAATCAGTTAATCAGTCAATCACTTTATCAACCAACAGTCAGTGAGTCATACATGATTTTCATATATTCATAACTTCGTCAGTGAGTCAGTTGGTCAGTCTGTCAGGAAGGGAGACAGTCAGTTAGTCATTTAATTAGCCAACCAAGCAGTCAGTCAGTTAGACAGTCAGTCAGCCAGCCAGTCAGTCTTTCAGGTTATTGGTCCCTCAGTCAGGCAGTCTGGTATGATGGTCAAGTAGTCAGTTAGTCAGCGAGCCAGCCAGCCAGCCATTTATTCATTCCTGGCCATATGAATGCTAGACAGTAATCAAATGGAAACATGACCCCCCCTTAACGCATCTGTCATACACCATGTAGTAACCTCACTTTGAAATTATTCTCGGAGATCGATTTACGTTGAGTTATTTCTTGTGTCTTGATGCCTGAGCTAGTGTTTTGTTTGTTTGTTTAGAAGGGTAGTGAAGAATGCCTTCCTTGTGGAAGCAATACAACAGTTCTACCAAACAGAGATGGCTGTGGTACAAATGGATGTACATTCAGTCCCGCACCTGGTGTAGATTATGACCTCTCTGCGCTTTCCCGTCCCGGCGGATCAATGATTAAAGTAAATTTACCAGGACTACACCCATGGGGTCGAAGGTAATTTCCTTTCCTTCCCTTATCCGCTCACCCAGAGTATTTAAGGGTTGTATTTGTTACGACCAAGAGGGGGTCGGAAAAGTTGTGGAGGAAGGTGTCTGCAGTCATTACTGCTGTTTGTAATTGGCTCAAAGCCCTCAACTGATTCTTGACAACCAACCGGCGTTGACCAACTTTTGGAAGATGCGAGCAGTCGATGGTATATTGGAATGGAAACGAGGTTGATCGATGGATACATTTTCCTGGAAACGAGGCTGAAGGGGAATAGACCATTGATCAACCTCGTTTCAAGGTGCGGCCGCCTAGCCGTTTATTCACGAGTGGACTAAGGAAATTGCGTTCACGGCTATCCAAAGACGAAATAGCTAAAATTCGAACCAGAGATTTCGGAAAAAAAAATCTGAACGAAAGAAATGCAAGAGTACGCAAAACATATTGTTCGATGGATGTTATGTACTTTTTGAGGATTATCTGCAAAAAAAAAAAATGTTTGAATCTTGAAACCGTACCGAGGAATAGGCAAAACCTTAGAAGAAAGTCTTCGAGGATATAAGCTAAGATCTTAGAAATCTTTTGAATGAATAATAAAACAATTATTGAATTCGGCATTCATATGATGTGAGGAATCATGTTATCCACCTCAGGGTAACAACCGGTTTTGCTACTTGTCGAATTCTCTACGTCTTAGTTCGCAACAAATTCGCTACATATTACTTTCTATAAACCACTGAAAATATTCCCTTAGTCGCTTTAGAAAAAAATCTTTTAATGTATTTCTTGCAGTTTCGGGCTTTATAGGCAGCGAGACGAATATGTACGTGGGCCTCGGCACACCCAAAGGACGAGACTCAAACGAACTCGAACGTAGCGAAGTTGTGAAGTAGCGAAACCGTTGTAAAGCCACCTCGGCCTTCAGCCTTGGTGGAGAACAGTCTCCTGGATCTTCATAATAGACCCTCCCTCTGTTTATTCAACTTTTGATATGCACCAGTTAAGGAAAACCGTCGATACCACTGGAAAGATTGCCTTGAAATTAATTTTATTGCCAATTTCAAAGTGATACGTCTAAAGCGTTCGAAGATGTAATAGCTCCGCTAGGTTGTGAAAATTTACGGATGTTTGTATGGTGGGGGGCAAGTTTGTGCCCCCACCCCTCTCCCCCGCCCCCCACCACACCATACAGACGTCGGTAAAATTTGGATCATTATACCCTAACCCTAACCCTAACCCTAACCCTGGGAAAACTGCCCACCTACCCCTCCCCTAAGCCACATTAACACTTACTTCTCACTTAGGGCAAAATGTTGGCATAGGGGAGGGGTAGGTGGGCAGTTTCCCAGAAACGTATAATCATCCAAATTTTACAAAAATCCAATTTTTTTTTACAATTTCGCGAGTTTCGGGAGCTATTTCTTCATTAGTTTTTACCAAATCACTTTCAAACTTGGCAATTTTATTAATTTTAGGGTGCTCTTTTCAGAGGTGTCGACGGATTTTCCTTAACTTGTCCACGTCAAAACTTGAAAACTATTGCTAATTATCTTCGTTTTCTTGTTATTGCTTTCTTTCTTTTAGGTGGTTCAGCTATGGCTTTATATATTTTTACCGTTCAGAATATTATTTCAACCTTTGCACCGTTGATCACGACAATAGCTCGTGCACATCTCGTGACTGGATCAGCGGTAAAAGAGTTCCCCTTCCCGTGATGGCTTGCAGTTCCTCTTGGTACAATGACGTAAGCATTGGGTCCGTGATTGGCTACAAACGAAAACCGGATATCCGCTCTGGCTTGATTGTGGAGTTGCTTCACGGTGACAAATGTTTCTCTGGAGGTGAGTGCAGCCAACGAGTTGTTAACAAATTGTAAGAAACAGTAACAGATTGAAAATTGAACACAATAGAGGAGAGAGGTCGTTACCTCATGTTGCCATGATAGCAAAATTTCTAGATCTCAACAAACGGAAAATTTGAATTCGCACTGTTTTAAACTTCATCGCTCTTAGTCAATTTCATTCGATTTGTCAAATGTTGGCGAAATTTTCTCGGGTTGAATCCTAAGTTTAGAAAAAGAAAAAGAAAATTGTTGTCTTTTGTTCACGTATTCCATCAAGCGGGTGCCGTGAAATTAGGATTTTTCATGTCGCAGTCGTTCAACGACGGCTGAGAAATGTACCAAAAAAACCGTGATGTATGTGCAGAGTTGTTGTTTTGCTAATATAAACATATTCCTTTTTTGCCGTTCTCGTTGCCGTCGCCGTCGTCTTTGCTTAAGCTCCCTATTGTTGTGATCCAGAAATTTTGCTACCATGGTAACGTGACATTTCCCTCTCCTCTCCATAGCAAATGCTAACCACAAATTAAATGCATTCGTCCTCCATTACAATCCCATAATGCAATTCGAAACAACACGGACTTGGTCTAAGGCTATGTTCACACGGTATCGGACGAATTTTTGACCGGCTGAAAATTCGTGCGTTTAGTTTTTGGGTTCACACGGAACCACCATAACCGTTTGAAAATGTAGACGCCTAGCCGTTGAAGATTTGAGGACGAGTACGAGATTTAACTGAAAGTTTTTGCGCGTGTTCTCAATAAAAGAAACCCGGAAAGATTGATTTTCCCGCCAAAATGACGCTGGTTCACGGGCGCGCACTACTCAGTATTGGGAAAATCTCGTATTCGTAGTCGTCCTCGTCTCAGAATCTAAAGCTCTCTAATGTTTCGTGTGAGCAGAACGAAAATCTTGAACTGTGCCATGTGGACCAAGTGTGCGGTCGAAATTTCGTCTGGTGTCACTGTGCACGTAGCCTCTGTCGCCTCGGTCGCAACACAGGCGGCCCAAACTCACGTTACGAGGAAAGGGTTTAAAGTAATTTACATACCATAGATGACGCGTGAACGCGCCGCTGTCGCGTTACAGGCGACCGTTGAAAATAAGAGACTTTGTGTAAGAAATATAATACTGAGCCCTGCGAACGTTAAATAATGTTAAATCTAAGTTTTCCTTCAATGAAATGAATAAAAAAGACTTACCTGCGATGTATTCCACTGTGTTTTGGTGTCTGCTTGTCGTTTTACTGTTTTGTTTTTGTTTGTTTTTTTTTTTTTTGGGGGGGGCTTTTTGCGTAGCCACTGTTACTCCCTTTCCTCGTAACGTGAGTTTAGGTCGCCTGTGATTGGACTTGTAAAAGGCGCGAAAGGAGAGTGGACACCTTGACACGTGCTGTTGTCACGGTGACGATCGCGACCAGTAATACCTACGAGGATCTAACGCGCTCTCTCAAACAATAGAAAGCTTAAGCAACGGCGTCGTCGACGGCAACAAAAACGGCAAAAGCAATATATTTAGGTTAGTAAAAGAACAAATTTACCTGTGCATCACGCTTTTTTGCCATTTCACATGTCTTTATCGACATTGCACAATTCCATATTTCACGTTTTATTGAACTTGGATACAGTCCGTTGGAATTCAAGTTTAAAGTAAGGTTTCCGCTGCCTTCGGTCGCAGTCGTAGTTGCTTAAGCTCCACTATACCGTGATTGAAGCTTCCTACCCATCACCTCACCCGAACGGAACTGAAGGCGGACCTTAAGCGACACGCGTGCCAAAAAAATATTTATCGTAGGACTTGAGCTATGGTGTGTTTTTTGATTCTGTCTGAAGGAAAGAGTGGCCGATTCAAAACAACTATTGACCTCAGATGTGACGTCACAGCAGGAGTGGGTCAGCCAGGAAGAGAGAGCAACTTCTCTTTAGTTGTTCAACAGGGCTGTGACGTTCAATTTGTTTGGAAGTCCTTGTACGCATGCCCGAAATGCCAAGAACAAGACATTACGCGGATTAAGGGAGAATGCATAAACGGAACCCGGAACGTCACGGTACTGCGTTCTATCCCATGCTGGGCACCTGATGAATCCCCCGGCGCTAATGTCACGACAGAAGAGTGTGTCACGCCAACTAAATTTGTCACGGTTACAGTCACGGCTACTGTTCTGGCTTTTAGAGAAAAGGTATCAAGCAAAGTAAACAAGATTTTGATTGGCGTGGGAGTAGTGGTGATTGTACTTTTATTGGGCGTGGCTTTGTTCTTTGTCTACAAGCATCGCACGATCAAGTATCGGTACTTGAATTGGATGTCACGTAATAAACCCATGAGTCGCCTTGAACAAGAAGATGACGAAGATCACTTTATCGAGGGTGACGAACTCGCTTACCCCTCAAACGATAAAGATGAGCCATTCCCAACCTGAACGAGACCCTGGTATAGCACTCTAGTTCAAGTTTTCAATAGAAGGTAGAATAAATTCAAGAGTGCAAATACCAGTTAGCGTTCTTCAAATTTGTTTTCCTACTTCTCATGTTTTTGCAGCGACTTGTGCCCACAAAGCTTTCAATTCCCAATACCAACAAACAATATACGGCTACTAAATTTTTGTCTTTGTAAATTTGTGATAGAATTTTATAAATACGGCGAGAAAATTTAGGTTGTTTCGTGTTTCTCTTGTCCTGTAAAGGGTGCCAGTAGAACGCGGGGCGGGGTTGGGGCTGGGGTCGGAGTCTTTCCTTTTTTAAAGAATGCTGTTAGGGTTGACTGTAACCCTAACCCTAGAGCTAAACGTAACCCTAAAACAAGATAGACCCCCACTCTGACCCCGCGTTTAACTGACAACCTCTCGTAAAATTGATTTTACGATATGTAAGCTATGATTTGAGAGTTAACTGAGTTGCATAGTTGAAATTTCCCATATTTTTTTTTTAGTTTTTATTTTTTGGCTAAACGGACAGAGCCGAGTGTCCGCATTTTATAGGTTTCTATATCAAAGAGCTAGAGACGGTAAAGAACTTTATTTTTAAAGTACAGTATGTTTAATTTTTTAGTACTGTATAATTAAGCAATTTTGAAAAATTTTTTACTATTTAAATTAGGTTTTAGTTTCAATTGCTTTTTACTGATTTGCTGTAAATAAAAACAATTTTGTAACAATCCCTTTTGATTACAGTCATTCTTACAGTAGGCTACCAATAGTTTGCCGTTTTTCGTAGCTCATCGAGTGAAACGCGCTCCGACCGAAATTTTTCTACAAATCTGCGTTATGGGCGTGTCTCAAATAAACCCTCCTTGTTAAATTAATTGCAACCTCAGAGAGGTGCTAAATAAAGTTGAGTTACAAGTAGTTCTTAATGGTTTTTTAGCTTGACACCCTCGCAAGCCTCTAACAGGTACTAGGGACTTTAAGATCCAACGACGCGACGGCGACTTCTTGTTTACTCGCGCACCTTGCGGATCTTGCGGACTTGCCTTTTCGGATCATTTTACGTTTCTGGGAAACTGCTCACCGACCCCTCCCCTAAGCCAACATTTTGCGTTAAGTAAGAACTAAGTGTTAATGTTGGTTTAGTGGAGGGGTAGGTGCGCAGTTTCACAGAAACGTAAAATGATCCACCTTTTCATTCATAAATCAAGCGATTGCTACGCATGCCAGTGAGGTTCACCGAGTGCCTGGGGGTGGAGTGCGAGGACAATTTTAGCCATGAATGAACGTCCCGATTAACTGCTCCTGGAACTACGAGGGTGCAACATTCAATGCCTACAGTGCAGGATGTAGGTGTAATAATTCGAAGCGTGGACCAACAGGCGATTAGGCTTTGATTGGGCTAGATGTGCTAGCATAATGTTTGACATAAATCGTCAACAGTAGTATAAGTTTCACCCATTTTCCAAAAAAGAGCACTGCTACATAATTTGAACTTGTTACGTAGTTACAGAGGTAAAAGAAAAAGCGTAATTTCTGCATGAGCATAATTTACATAAACTAGCATAATTATTGGCATAATTTTAGAAATATACGAGAACTGCTAGGAGTAGCATATTATGCTCCTTTCCCGAGGACAATTTATCAGAGGCAGCATGGGCCGGCGATATTCGGCTTATCCATAGTTTTCGCTGATCACAAGTTTGCAATTTGGAGGTCAAGGCTATAATACTAGGTGAAGAAAGGCAAGAAAAATAACTTACGACTCCTTGTCATTACTCAGTTCTCTCTTTTGTTTCTTGTTTGAAATGAAAAAAGAAAAAAAATTGGGGAAGGGAAGACAAGGGTATGGGTATGGCGCTATGGCCCATGGACCCTAACCCTACCCTACACAGTTTATTATTGTCCTTTGTTTGGAATCCCGTCATGCCAGGGGGAATATATCACGTACAAATTAAATAGGCTATTAATTCCGAATTTCCTCGAGCTTCTGTTTCAAAGCGACTATTGATATTTAGTAAAATTCAACAAGTGGTCTATTATCAATGCTGCGTTCTGATTGGTTGAGCTACTACTAGGGCACCAGTCATAATTTAAGTTGGAGGGGCGGGAGGAGAAATTGCTTTTTATCCCAAATTATTTCCAGACCTCTACTAATAGCACCCATGTTTTTTAGGTACCCCCCCCCCCTTCGATCATGTTAAAAGATTTAAGGGCCCCCCTTTCTTACATAATACCCAAATGGTAATAACAAATAACATTTTCTTTACTTTACCGCTCTTACTGATCACTGTCACTTCCGAATGTGCCAACTAACAACAGAGAAGTACTTCACACTAAACTGAGAGAGAGATTTCACCTAGAGCCTCTCAAACAGCTTATAGAGCAAGGATATATCAGTGATTGTGTTATAATTGAGATAAGACAAGCCATCGAAAGGTTAGAGGCCGACAGGACCGCTTCAAGGAAGAGAGAAGATAATCACCCGAAGCTTACTGCTTTTTATATAAACAGTACATGCTCTGATAGCAAAACACTTGACAGTGACAAAGACAGTGAGTCCACATATCAACCTCATCTACAAATAATTATTCGGATAGTGAGATTGCATAACATGACTTTATGCATGTAATCATTTGTTAAAATGCCGATGAAATTGTTTCAGTGTTACACAAGTAATAATGGATGTTGTGTTGATGCACCTACTATTTGAGCATTAAATCTTTTTGTCAAAATGCTGATTAAATTGTTTTAGTATTACACAATATAGGACTTTGTGTAAAACTGAATCAAAATCAGGTCCTTTAATACTCAAGCATCATGCTGCTCAGGAGGGATGCTACTTAAAAGAAACTTGAAGACCCCCCCAAGTTCATCTTTTGGCATTTTAAGGCCCCCCATATTCCATCTAAAAAAAATTGAAGGCCCCCCAATTTCTCCTCCACCCCCCGTTCCAACTTAAATTATGACTGGTCCCTAGGCTATATTTTATAGCCCACTAGTAGCGAAAATTAAAAGCGCCGGATTTTTGGCCGGAAAAAGGATTTAAGTCTTGCTTTAAGTAGTTTTGTCTCGATATTTTGACCACCTAGTTGGATTTTACTAAAGCAATTATTCCTCTTACCCTCATGGCCTCTGAGTCGATAGCCCATTCGGCCTTCGGCCTCATGGGCTATTGACTCAGAGCCCATTCGGGCTCGAGGAACAATTGTTAAAAAAATGATTTGTTTATAATTCAGGACCCCTCCTTCCAGACTCTGTGCGTGACGCCGTCGCTATAAATCGCGTTCCTGTTTCCGCAGTTTTTCGTTTCCGTGTTTCCCTTTGGTCTGCAAAGTTACTTTTTGAGTTTAATACTTAGATCTTTATAAATAAAGTATCCCAAGTTAAACAACAAGAAGGTAAAAGTGTCCCAACCTCAAAAAGCACACTGTTAATATTATCTTTCTAAACATATAAATGCTTGGTAAATTGTTTATCTTCATGGTAAACTCTTAGAATGTTTCAGAACCTTGAAACTTCCTATAACGGCGATACACGTCGGCTTTATATTCTCAAACTCATTAATAATTCATAAAGAAAATACAAAGGAATAAATGTTTAATGAACCTGTGGAAATCAAATGAAAAACTTCTCATTTTTGCATCCTTAATTTCTCCTTCCAAAATCATTTTGTTAGAGAACTGAATAAATATCAAGTATTCGACACAGTGTTCGTCAAAAATACTCCACTACGCGTCGTACTTCAACTCTTCCTCTTCTCAGTGTTTCAATTAATTCAAAAATCTCTGTTGTTGGATTAGCCTGAAGTTCATCCGATTACTTCGAGTCGTTATTACTCCCTCAGTAAGTGCTGAGAGGAGAATAATCCCCTCAACAATAATAATCAGAGATAATTATATCATCATGTCTTTGCGTAGGTTTTACAGAGTATAAGAATTTAATAATATTTTAAATTGGCTTTTTAAGTAGAGAGATTCATATCATTATGTATATTAGGATTGTATTAGGTTTCCCACCGACCTTTTTTTTCTTCTAAGTATAGCTTCTCAAGTGGTGTAGGTTGCGTTATGCGCCCTATGCTACTCATAATGTGGACAGCATTCCAAAGTTTTATACTGCGAGATAATAATAATAATAATAATAATAATAATAATAATAATAATAATAATAATAATAATAATAATAATAATAATAATGAACTTTATTAAAGTCTCACGTCTTATATGCTCAGGCACAGTGCCTCACTGATTGGGGAGACTGGAGAGAAAACATAGAGGAAAAGGTAACTTCTGCTCACAGGGAATTAACAGAGGGAAGCACCTAGTCGATCTAAACATGGAAAAACAGGCGCATGTTTTCTTTTTTAACTTCCTCTTCTTTCAGTGAATGTCCTTTCCAAGGATCTGTTGGGGTGGGGGAGGGGGGAAGGGCAAGGAAAAATTAAACTCAAATGTCCCTGAAACAGCCACGGCAACCAGGCCAGAGTCCTTGACTAAAATTGGGTTGTGGTCAGAAATAGGGTATAGTTTGGCCTGACACCGGATAGGGCTTTAGAAGACAGAACTTTTAATAATTTTTCACCTGGTCCCATTGGAAGTACACTCTTGCAGTTTGTTGTTCCTGTGACCTCAAAGCGGACGTCATTCTGGTACAGGATGTGCAAGTATTGAAGGACTTAAAGCTCTGCAGCGCCACATTTCATCTGGACAATTCGACCTGTTCACCAGTTCCTGTTGGAAGTACACTCTTGCAGTTTGTTGTTCCTGTGACGTCAAAGCGGACTTCCTTCTGGTACAGCATGTGCAAGTATTGAAGGACTTAAAAGCTCTGCAGCGCCACATTTCATCTGGACACTTCGAAACAATGGTGCAACTTGCCGGTCTCTGCGTTGTAATTTATCTTTTTTCCATCGCTTCGTCGTCACAGTCGCTGAATTGTACCAAGGATGACTATGTTCAACAAATTCTGCCTTGCGATTCTCGATCTCTGACTCGATCCGTGGTTTATTACCTGAACTCCTCTACATGGTAAGCGTTTTACATGTAGCAGTTGCAGTGATGCCAACTCTCCCGCTTTTGGCGGGAGACTTACGCTTTTTTGCCTCGTCTCCCGCTCTCCCGCTTTGGTACATAAATCTCCCGCTTTTTACGTCCACTACAAATATTGAAAAATACTAAAATATTAAAAAATATATTAAAACAGACTTAGTTTGAGATTTAGCCCATTTTTAGCGCAAAACTTGAATTTTTCTTATTCGCAGTACGGTTTCTGGGGCATTTTTCTCAATTTTGCTCGTATTTAGTCACTGACAAAGATTATTTCTAGCATCAAAACGATGATTTCGAATTTTGATGGTATGTACATCATGTAAGACGTCAAATAATGTCGTAAGTCATTCCCATTGTGGGCTGGGTCAATTTTTCGGGGGGGTTTCGTTGAAGTTCCGGGGGGGTAGTGAAAAAAAAAGACAGTCTCCCGATTTTAGCTCTCCAGAGGTTGGCATCTCTGCAGTTGTTTCAGTAAATCTTGACATGATTTAAGTATTACATGCTCAATTGCAAATGATGTTGATTTTACATGCTTTGAGAAGGTTACTATTTGGAGATCGTGCAGCCTTAAAAAAGCTAGCATGTCGATACAGTTTTAACTATGGCGCTTCGCTGGCCCAACTCTCAAATGAAGTCGCAAACATTCCTAAATTGCTACGATGTGCAATGTACAACGTACTTTTCAAACAAGACCTTCTGTGATGTGAGCCGATCAACAGTTCCAGCTTTCATGTTAAGGCAGTCAGTGCTAGCGTTGCTTTTGCTGATGCGGCTTAAAATTAAGGTGATTCGATCCATGCACTCAATATGACTCTCCTGCATGTGCACGCGTGGATATCTTTGGAATCAACTTTTCTGAGATCTACCCCAGACTTTTCCGCACATTCCTTCCTCAAAACTTACTTGTTTCGAGCAAAATGAGGCACCGAAGGCACGTCGCCTTGAGAGTTTTATAATTGTCGTCACGTTCGAATCGCGTGTACCGTGCGTGGTGTTAGCGACCTGCAGAGTCAGCCGGCCCATCTATACTTGTATTTAACAATTATTCGCCGAAGGCGAAGTTAATATTGTTGAATAATCCCCGAGACGAAGTCGAGGGGATTATTCAACAATATTAACTGAGCCTGAGGTGAATAATTGTTTTAGTATATTCACACGAAGTGATCTCAACAGAATCAGAAAGAAAACCATTAAAAAACGATTAGTTTAATTGACAGGTGGATTCATGCGTGAACACGAAGCCGTAAACAGTGGATGCGCAAAAGTTATATCTTTACTGTATCTTCAAACGTGGCAAATGATAGTTTTAATCTTTTTGTATCGAGTTTTCTAAGCTTTAGCATCAACGGTTTTAATAAAAACGCCGAAAATTTAAATTACTACCCAATTCTGAGAAGAAAAGTAGAGCTTTATTTGTTTCTGTCAACTCACCGTGAATGAGAAAGTTTTCTTTGTCGCTTCTTGCAAATGCTGTCAACAGCGGCTACGATCAAGGTGCCCGTTGTTTATCTCCAATGTTCTTTGCCTTGTTAACTTGCTGGCACGTACAATATTCGAAAATATTTGCCTTCCTCTTTTCTCCATAAATTAACTTCTATTTATAGGCAAAATTGGTCTTACGAGAAAATCCCGAAATCACAAAACAGTGACAAAGCGACCTCGTTTTCCTCAGTAGTGGTAAACATAGCTTCGAGCGTACAAAAAGTCAGCTACAGTAAACCACTTAACGCTGTTTAAACACCATGAAGTCTTTTCTTGCCCTCAAAGTCATCAGCACTTGGATATTCGTGTATTTTCAAAAACACTTTACTATGAAACTTTGGCAAAACACCCAGTTCACGACAGCGATTTTGTTCTGCTTTATATTCACCGAATGGGCTCTGAGTCAATAGCCCATGAGGCCTTCGGCCTCATGAGCTATTGACTCAGAGGCCATAAAACGGGAGGAATAATAATTGTTTTAGTTAAATTCAACTAGTTGGTCAAAAATATCGAGAATAAAGAAAATTTAGCTACTTAATAGTCCGAGATAGCTAACCAATCAGATTGCTTGAATTACCAAGATCACTGAGTGTGTATATACTAAACTTGTATATATTGTGATGGTCTGCGCCCTTACGTCATCTAGTGTGTGACGTCACGGAATATTTTGTGTTTCCAGGTAACACCGAAGAGTGTGTTGCTTTGGTCGTATATCTATCAATTTGGTTTTTTAGCAGCTGTTTTAGGAGTCAGTAAGTGCTTTTTGCAATGAATTTCGAACACAAAAGTACTTTTAAGAGCAAATGGAAGCGATTCTGGATAATTTGCCTTAAGATATGAGTGAAAATCAACGTAAAAATATCTTTGAATTCATGTTTAATAGGGCTCTATCAACTTTATACAGGTGGCGCTGGCGGAAGTTCTAGGGGAAAGGTTTAATGAAATATTTTCCAATTCTTGTCACCTCAGTGTGTTCCATGTGGCCTAGTGGTAATGATACGGCCTGGCGTGCAGAAGGTCCTGAGTTCGAATCGGGAAGAACCTGTTTTTCTCTTCTCTTCTTTTTTTTCTTTTTCTTTTCGAGTGTAAAGTATTAATGAGTCAAATGAGTCATGAGTCATGAGTCAATGAGTCAATGAGTCAGATCTGAAAAAATAAAAGTTTCGGTAGAAACAATAAAATTAAGCATTACTTTTACTGATTTTGTCTACTACCTTCATTGCTGCCTGCACAAGGCCTATTTCTGACATGAAATCTCGCCCTAGGCTGTTTGTTAGCAGTTCTCAGGCCCTGCCGCATAGCAGAAGCGAAAAATAAGCCAGCCTAAATTTTGTGAGTGCATCGGAAGAAAGTGTATAATTCCCTTTGAACACAGCGCTTAAAGTAAATTGAGATAAACCTATTATGGAATTTCCTAGCGCTCAAAGACTCAAATCTGGGAACAGTCGTTCTTTGATATTCTGTGTGTTGATGTTTGGGCCCGGTTTGAAGTAGAAAATCGGTCATGAGTGCGTTTTATATCCGTATCGGTATGTTACTCATTAGCCTACGATCATGCCCTCTCCCTTTGTCTCTATAATCTGTTTTTTTCCCTCTCGAGCCAAAAAAGCAAAGAAGCAAAAAAATTATAACGCCTGATCTCAGGTTAGTTACTCATTAGCTTGTCATGCTGGTGTAAAGGTAAGTATCCAGGGCACTAAGCGTCCGTTCCAACAATCAATAGCAGAGTTGTTTTCAGTTGATAATCTTCCCAATAGTTTAGTTCACCACTTTTTCCAATCAGTTTTACTTGCCTCAAAATGTGAATGATGCTACAAGGCGAACAAACTGAATTACAATTTTTGTAATTTGCCCGAGGAGGGGTATGAAACTGCAAGTCGAACAGTTGTACACAGTCAGTGTTTATATTAGAAACATACAGTGTAGGAAGTATTACTGTGTGCCCATTGTAATTTTACGTAGTAGTAGCAGCAGGGCCTGGAATACTGCTAACAAACAGCCCAAGTTGAGATTTCATGTCAGAAATAGGCCAGAAATAGACAAATTAAGTAAAAGTTATGCTTAATTTTATTGTTTCTACCGAAACTTTTATTTTTTCTGATCTGACTCATTGACTCATTGACTCATGACTCATGACTCATTGACTCATTTGACTTAGTTTAGTTATGGCAGTTTTCTTTTGTTTCTTTATATACTGTATTTATTTGGCTATAAGCCAAGCGATTTTTACACAAACTAAAGCTAAAGTTCAGTGATATTTGAGCCCAAGAGGGGGTCTCGGCTTATAGCCAAGAGTTTTTTACAAAAATGTTTTTCAGTGCATTGAAACTCTACTAAACGGGGATGTATTCACTTACAAGCCGAGCATATAGCAGTGGCAAAAGATCGAATCAATCGCGGTGTATGACATTTGCAGACTGCAGACTGCAGACCGCAGACTGCGGACAGCAGACCGCAGACTGCAGATTGCAGATTGTAAATTAAAAGACACCAAAAATCTTCCTAATAAAGGTGAAACCATCAAAAATATAACATCGTGTGAAAGTGAGAAAGTAGCCTGGGAACAAGGTTGATGTTTTTGCGCAAAGTTACATTGGCCTCATTTCCAAGATGCTGTTGGCTATTCTTCACCGACGCGACTCTTTATTGACTCACCCGGCATATTACTAATTGCGTTGATTCTTTATTCTTCTTTGATTATTGTGAATTGATAATGACAAGTAGCAATGCCCATTAATGCCTGTCTAAATAGTAGTCTTCCGTAAAAAAAAAGTGTTTAGATTGCTAGCACTTCGTGCTCACTACGGTTACAAAAACAACTAGGATAGATCACAGACATTTAACACCTTTTAAATGACGTATTTCACCTTAGCAGTATTCAAGGATATGCCAAATAATCTAAACCGAACAGATCCTACCTGGACTCGACGAATTACCGGAAGTGCATATTGAATTTCTAAATAGGCAAATCGACGATGGCTTTTTTAACAGGCCAATCATTGCTCATGCTCAAATCACAGTTGGGGTCCCCGTAGAATAAGGATTCCGGCGCTGTTTCACAGACAGACTTATATAACCAGAGTTTAGTTTCGTCTGTGGTGCAGGCTAAATTGCTAGCCTGTTGCTATGGATTCATGAGCGAGTTTGTGACATCGGCAGACATTATTCTGCTCTAATTCAATACGAGACGAACACCCAACAACTCCTTCAGGAATCAGGTCGGTGTAATTTGCGTGAAAAAACTTCGCTTCTAGGCCTTACATGTACTTCTCGGAACAAGGTAATGTTGATGATGACGCCACCTTGATTAGTATTTTTGGTTTCATTCAATTTAGAGTCTTGCTGCCTCATGCACAGGGACACCCAACGACAGTTATTAGCAAATTCTCAATACTACATAAAAACATGATGCTAAGACCATTTTGAAAACACTTTTTCATTTTTTTTTCTTGCTGGGAAAAGAAGAGCTGTTCCGCACTCCCAGGATGACGTTGCGAAAATTTTCAGCTCCCAGCCAGGTATGGGGGAATATTCCCAGCCAGCAGACTTTGTGTTATCAGTTCCCAGCAGAAATCTGCCTGGATTGCGTTCACGGGACGTTGCACGAGGACTTTGGCGCTAACAAAAACTGCTCAAACCAGTTCAAACCAGCTTTTCCTGTAACTGCGATTAGTCGAGGGCAGCGGAGATCGCCTTGTGAAAGTTGATGTCTCCACGTCTATATATTATACATTGTTATGTAACAGTTTCTTGTCCAGTCTCCCTGTATTTCCTTCTGTTCCAGCCAGCTGAACTTGAAATGTTGGTAATTCCCAGCCGAAGTCTATGAAAATAAATATCTTGCTAGCCAGCTGAATTTCCAATGCGGAACAGATATTTTGCGGAACACCTTCGTTGGGTGCACCTGCATGCAGTCTGCAGTCTGCTGTCTGCGGTCTGCAGTCTGCGGTCTGCGGTCTGCGGTCTGCAGTCTGCAGTCTGCAAATGTCATACACCGCAAAACCAGGTCTCAAAACCGAAATCTCACATTGGTAAGCCTTTTACAATGAGGGAATGAAGGTGTAAAACAAATGAAAGATGTCAAGGAAAATCCAATGTGTAAACGAAAATTATCCGCCTGCATGTTGTTTGGAACATGTGCTTCCAAACATATGCCTGGTTACTAAGCACAGACGAGAGCAACGCTGATGTAGTTCGTTTTGATTGAAAGGTATGTGATCATTTCAAGCATTATGCGACGAAGTGATAGCAGCGAAAACCCAAACAACAAATATGAATATTGTATGTTTCCCTAGAGTCAAAAGAGAAGGTCATTTTTTTTTTCAAAATTATTAAGTTTCAAGTGCAGTAGCTAAAAGTATGGTCTCGGCTTATAGCTGGGTGTTTTGCATTTATCTTTCGTTCTTGGTGATGCTGATTCTACAAGTTTAAAGTTCAGCGAGGGTCTCGACTTATCGCCAAGATCGGCTTATGGCCGAATAAATACGGTAGCTTAAATTTTTTTAAATTTATAAATTTTCTTCCTTATTGCCTTATTTCCCTTTCAACTTCTTGTCGTTCCCCTGAAGTCCTTCGCGAGGTCCTTTGATTCACGTAATTTTATATTTCTAGAAGAGTGGTTTCCAGAATCTTGCATTTGGCAAGTATATTTTCTACAATGAGCTCCTACCCTGGAATACCCTTCTAGCAGAGCTGCCCCTCTTACCCACTTGCTAGGCAGTGATATAAATAAGCTAGTACTAGTTACAGTTGAACCTCTCGGTACGGACACCTCTCTAATATGGACACCTCTTTATTACAGACAGTTTCCTATGTACCGACAAAATTCTCATACATTTCCTCTAAAAAAAACTTCTATACTACGGACCCTCTCTAATACGGACAACGGACACAAAGTCTCGGCCCTTGGGAGAAAATTCAAATTCTTTATTATGGACACTCCGGGACAAGGTGTCGAAAATTTGTGGTATATGTACCATTTCCTCTTGGCAGTTACACAAACATTGACACTTTATCAGTCAGCAATACCAACACGAGAACAATGTTTTAGGCGAAGTATTTTGTTTTGTTCCAAAATTCGTATGTACTGAGCATGTAGCTTCTGAGAAGTACAATAACATTAATCAATTAACAAGACACTGAGTTTTGGGCTTGATTTTACTTACTGAACACTCTAATCTGTCAGTACTTGTGGGGTCTTAAAAGTGACATAATCATAGTGACCTCTCTAATATGGACACCTCTCTCATACGGACACTTCGATCTTTCCCTTCGGTGTCCGCATTAGAGAGGTTCAACTGTATCCCTTAGTGACTGAATGTAAGCAAAACTATTATAATTCAAGTAGTTTAGGGTGCAAAACGTTACAAAAACAAACAAACAAACAAGCAAACATTACAAAGAAAAAGACAGTGACATTTGAATCTCTGCAGTGCATTTCAGTAAATTTTTCTTTAACACTAGGGATTGCTTGATCGACTTTGTCAGAATAGATTGGGTTCAGCATAAAAACAGACAAATTATTTCCTTATGCTCATATTTTTGATTCAAGCAAAATGCTGGTGGTATTGTTAAAGTTGCATGGTCACTAATGGAATTAGGTTAATTAGCTGAACAAAACAAACTCTTTGATAATTTGCAGTACTGGTGGTGAGTTTCCTCCTAAACCTCAACATAACATACCCTGTGTATGCGCTCCTGGTAATGGCCTTGAAGGAAACAGCCCCACCAATCACACATGCACTCCATGTGCAATTGGAGAGTATGGATCAGGGGGGGAAATCATCAATAATTGGAGGGATTGGACTGGAAATGGCACAGTACCTCCTGAAGGATCAGGTCTTATTACATACTGTGACACTTCAAGCTATTATTATTTCAAAAGTTGTGGGGCATGGAAAGCAAGTGGTAAGCAAGGATAATATTATTTTTAAAAATTGATTGAATATGTTAAGAATGAGGGCGAGTGCTTCTTCGTAGGGTTCCACAAACACCGAGAAACAGATGAAACCCCAAGGTCATAGGTTAATATGCTTTTATCTCTCTCGAGCTGTTTGGAACCCATTATAAAGTGCAAAGCCCGAATTTTTGACATGTCTTATTAAATGAAACAATAAGAAATTATTCAGTGACATGTTTTTTTCTGGTATGTAATTGCATTGTTTCCATATAAACATCTCATTAAAATGCAAGTGTTTGATCTCCGGTAATAAACGTGTTTCATCTGTTAGGCTGAGCGATGCCGCACCATAGTTTTCACACAAGATAACGTACCACTCAAGTAGAAGTAACAACACTGATTTTATTTGTCTTGGTAAATCATATTTATAAACATTATTATTAAGGCGTTTCTTAAGTGGAGATCTACGTAGCAAACCAAAAGAACATTTTTGGCACATAATACTCAAGCGATAATGAAAGTGGCGGATTACACCACAGTTTATACTAAGACTATTAAACATAATGGTGATGCGATAATTGTGATATCAGAGCATGTATTCTAACACATCTCAGATGAAAACCTGGTGGTGACGTTTTACATGATGTTTCATTAGGTATCAAGGTTCATCCATTGTACCCAAATGGACGTCATCTATTGGCTTTTGACTGCAAGAATTATTCATGAGTTTGATAGCCAGCAGTGCAGGCATTTTCTTTGAGCGCCCGAGAATTTGCTCGCGAAACTTCCCGAAGAGAGGAGGAGATGGGGCGAGTCAAAGGGAGTGCGGAGGGGGCAGGAAGAGAGAAGAGATTTTTTTTCTCTCCTCCCCCTCCCCCTTTTCCTTCTTTCGCCCTCGCACCTACCGTAAGGGTTACTATTTCTACTCTCCCCAATCTTCCACTATCATGAAATCAAAGATGGCGGCTACCACAATATTTTGAACACGAACAAGGTTTCGCCGAACCAAAATACGCCTGCACAGCTGCAGGCTATGAGTTTGAGAGCTTGCTAGTTTCCTGTCTCTATGGCCCTTCCGCCCAATCTCAATAAAAAATAATAACAATTATTGAACGAGGTTGAACAAAAATATTGTGATTTGTCAGTGGTGAGCAGATCAATATTTGCCAAAGCTGAATGCTAAGTCAAATAATATTGATCTGCAAGTTCGCAAAGTTTGTTTTTTAAAGAATATCTTTGGGAAGCGAAGCAATCTGCCATTTTCATGCAAGAGCGATCGCAAGAAGGAGAAAAGCTTGGTTTCATTCGTGCATGAGCAGAATATTATTTGCAGCCAAAAAAAGATGGACAACATTGTGCACTTTAAGCAGACCATTATTTGTAGGCAGTTATTTGCAGGTCACGTGGTGAGGTCTCGGCCAATGAAAAGGAAGAAAAATTTGCAATGAATGATAATTATTTTTATTTTCAATTCAGACCTTTCATTGACCCTTTAACTCTTTAAGTTCTGATATCAATGTGTATATTCTCCTCACTGCTCTGCAAATGTTTCTTATTAAGTACTGAGCACTTGTCTACTGAGAGAATTTGTTAAAACATCAAGACATTTCATCATCAGTGATTATATCAGTTGTGACATTCGTTCTCATATTGACCTTTATGTTGGATCTGGTTGTAATATTGTTAAAGGAGAAAAAAAGTTTGATGGTTGGGTCTAGAGTGTGGCTAGAGCAAGTTTTTCTTAGCCTAGTGATGGAAAAGCTGAAAAAAAAAGTGTGTAGCAGTTAAACAAAATACAGTTGAATCGCGCTTTAAGGACACTTCATTAACACCTATGTGTTGTAATAAACCTTTTCTTCTTGAAGGTAAATAATCTCTCAGTTGACAGCATGTTGATGTTCCCAGCACTACAGTACACCAGATAGGATGAATTGTAGACGTTAATTTTAAGACTTTGGCATCCAATGAGTCAGTTATGCTTCTGTTGGTTTAGTCCACAGAATTTTGGCTTTTTGAAGGATAGAGATGTTTACTTTGATGTTGCCAAGTTATGTCCTCTTTTATGTCTTAGGCATTTTGTGCTAATAAAAGTTGTTGTCTTATAACTTAACCCTTTAAGTCCCAGTGGTGACCAACATCAATTTTCTCCTAACCATATCCATAGATTGTCAAGAGATTAGGTTATGAGAATTAATAAAATGATCACCTAAGAGAAATGCTTTGATCTTTTATCAAATTCTCTCAACTGATTCTTTAAGGAAATGTATAGAGATCAGTTTGGAGAATTCGTATGTGGATATTGGGGCTTAACATAATCTGCTTAATACAGACACTTTCTATGGACCCTTCAGTGTCCATACTAATGGGTTTTGACTGTAAAAATCTCTCAGGGAAGTACTTTATAAACACCAATAATTATTATTACTATATGCCTTTATTATTTTATCTTTTATTATGCCTTTGTTTGTTTGTAAGCAATTCCATTTTTTATTGATTTACATAGCTGATAACTACACACTTGAATCTGGTGACAATCAAAGGTCAAGGTGCCTGGTTTCTGTATTACTGATGACCAAGAAGTTTGTTTTGACTAACAACAGTGTTAGTTTTGACTATCGTGTAGACAGCCGAGACTGCAGACCTGAATTCTTTGGATGCGATGGTCTAGGTTTCTTTATTGATGGTCAGCAAGTACTACAATACCAAGGAAACCAGTTTCACTGGGTTACAAAGACTTATAATTTAAAGAAGGTAAGTTTGAATCAAACTTTGCCTGCTGATAGCGTTATGCTTCATAAAAAAACAGCTGGGCTCAAAAAATTGACATTGGCCATTCATGTTGATCAGCCCAACAAATTTTTTGTTTTGATCATTGTTTGTTTGTGACTAGTCAAAATGTATAGAAAATATGTATTTTAAGGTTAAATAGTCAAGCAATTAAAGTAAAAAATATCCCCTTGTAAGCTCACAAATTTGAAAATAGGAAATCTACATTGTATGGGGCAACATATAACTCACAGGAGCATTAATGAAAAAAAGGAATAAATTGTATTGAATATTTTTAGATGAACAAGAAAACATGCAATCTTGTTAATGCCACCCCTCAGTACCACAGGGTGTCCAAAAAACAAAACATACCACCCTCAGTACCACAGGATACCCAAGAACCACTGAATGCCACCCTCTCATTTCCACAGAATGCTCAGGATTAGCATTTGTCCTTAGCATCAATTAAAATATAGCAAAATGACCTGTTAGTTTTGGTTTATGTGTCTATGAAAATGTGCTTGTGAAGGAGATCAATTAAAACATACTGTCTTGTGAAGCAAAATAGACCTGTCTGAACAGCAAACCTCATTTTGACAAACATCATCTGTAAGTTTGATATTTGTTTAGGTAGCCAAGCTCGTCAAATGCTAAAATTCATACTTGTATTCTAGGGTTCCCATACACTGAAGTGGGTTTTTCGGAAGAGGTGTTTTCGTTATGGATATTTCTTCCTAGACAAGGCTTTTCTCCGTTCTATAACCTTGGTAAGTCACACATTTTGTAATGGTAATTAATAGAACTAAGTGGAGTTAAATTTTGGTCTGTTATAATCATCATCACTAGGGGCAGACACAGATCCAAACCAACTTTCATCACTTTTTAGAAAACTGTCAGATATATTTGACAAGAGGAAATGAAACTCTTGATAAGAAAATTTTTAGGAGATTTATTCCAGACCTGGTGTTGCTTGCAGTTAGTAATGTTTAAATTAAAAAAAAAACAGTCCAATCAGTCATGGTTGAAATTTAGAATCCATGGCAATATTGGAGACAGAAATAATGGCAACTTTTTGGCTATTATAAGAGACTTTGGTGTTGGATTAATATTGGCAATGTGACTTCAGATAATTAACTACGAACAGTCAACTCCCTTTATTGCGGACACTGTATGGACCTTGAGTTAGTGTCCTGTCCGTATTATCGGTAGGCTTAGAGTTGACTGTAATAAGTATTGATTTGCCAAATTCCACGCACCTCTGTTAATTTTCACCCAAGTGTGTCAACTATATCAAAGGTTCAAAAAATAAAAGTAAGGATATTACATTACGTTTCTCCTTCATTAAAAAGTATTTGTTTAATTTATGTAATTAAAAAGACTGTGTATTCTTTAGGTTGGCACAGATGAACCAAGCGTGAAATGCAAACCTTGTCCACCAGGTTACTTTAGTAATCAAGAAGGTGCTTCAGAATGCACTGCGTGTTCATATTTTCAGTTTCAGGCGAAAGAAGGTTTGTGCATTATTTATCACATAATAGACCTTTGTCACAATGATGTACAGAAATTCCCCCTCTCAGCTATTCTTTCAATTCACAATCATCATGAGAGGTAGATGAGACTGATTAAGACTGATCTATAATTCCTTCGAGCTCCAGAGGTCAATATTATTATTTTTACTGCTAATTCATGACAGTTGATATACATTTGTCACTATGAGTAATGCATCAAACCAGAATTTGAGACTATATCCAAGTCGTTACAAAGCGCTTGGGTTCAAAGAATGAAGAATGGTGTAGAGGATCAGTGGATGTTAATTCCTTTATTTTATTTGAAAAATGTTGGAGGGCCATTTATTTTTGATTGTGATTATGATGTAAAATTTCTAGGCCTAAACAACTTACCAATATTTTACGCTGATGTTCTTAACACCTGGGCGGAAGTCCGAGAGCAAACTTCGGACAATGAAATCTGTGTTGAGAATGTAATCTTATGGAATAATAAGCATATTTTGATAGACGGTAAATCAGTATATTGGAAAGAATGGCATGAAGCCGGTATACTTAGAATTAAAGACCTACTAGATGAAAAAAACGGATTCCTCACACTTAATAAGTTTCTTTTAAAAACTGGCCTCAAGGCGCCTTTTACTAAGTTATTTGGTTTAATATCAGCTATACCTTATAGATGGAAGTGCGCTTTGAGACCGGGATTTATCATGAACAATCAAGATATGGAACAAAATACAACTAAGGAAATTAACGTGGTTACTAGCAAGAAGGTTCGCAATATACTTATTCAAAGGAAATTTGTAGAACCGTTGGCTAGCCTTCGACTATGCAGGCAAGGATTGGACAGTTCCAAACTTAGTTCCATTTATATGCTTCCATTTAAAATAACCAAAGAAACAAAATTAAGCATATATTTCAATATAAGATTGTTCATAATATTCTTCCACATGGGGTTCTTCTACACAGAATGAAAATCGTAAACTCTCCTCTCTGCATACATTGTGATTCCCTAGAAACGCTCTCCCATATGCTAGTTAACTGTATAGTAGTTCAAAAGTTTTGGTTTGAAGTAATTAGCTGGTGGAAAACTCACAGTGGTGAATGTTTGCTATTTGATGACTTAAGTATAATGTATGGCTATAATCCGAAGATCCTAAAAAGGCAAATCCTTAACTATTATATCCTTCTTGGCAAGAGACATATCTTCCTGCAAAGGAGCGAAATTAAACCCCAAGCTTTGATCACTTTCTTGAATTCGTTAAAGACAAGTTAATTGTGCAAAGATCGATTTTTATTCAAAGGACAAAAAGCAAAATTTCTTTCACAATAGAAGCCTCTCCTCTCCTTACTGTAAATGATTATAATCTAATCTACATTATCGTGAAGCAAGCCTGGTTGCAGTGTATGTTGTATTAATCGTTGGAATCTTAATTCTTAATTATAATTTTTTGTAACCTTAAATTTTGTACTGAAAGTGTTGTAAGTGATGTAGTGGTAATAAAGATCTCTGTTAATAAAAAAAAAAAAAAAATCAAAGCAAATGAAATTTGTCTTATCTGGTATATCTGCTGCATTGTGAGTTCCTAGACTGAACATAATTTCTCCCAATTTGTGGCAACCTATCCGAATTGAAAAAGAGCTGATTATTATGTTAAAATACCCTTTCTTTTGTTGCAATATTAAGAAAACTTGCATAGCTGTTGGCCATGTGAGTGAAACGCTCCATAGTTCCTTCAGTATATATAGTAGGTAATTGTCAATCAACCACTTTTACAACTGTCGCTGGTTTTTGTGTATAGTATGGTCAATTATTTTGCCTTGTTATTAGATCTATTTTTGTTTGTTTGATTTTTTTTTTGAAGAAAGAACTTGTATCTGATAAGAGCTCATTTTTGAATATGTGCATGTTTTCAGGTCAGGCGAAATGCGACCCTTGTCCAACAAACACCTTTGCCATGATGGGTGCCTCAAAGTGTATCCTGTTACCTAAATGCACAAAGGATGACATCATTAGCGCCCCTGGAAACTTGAGTACATGTTCCTGTAACAACAATACTGGTGTGTGTACAACCACAGTACAAGAAAAGTTTGTCACCGTTACCTTAAAAGGTGAGTCAACTTACTGTAAATCCTCTATTTAAGCCCCCCCCCGGGGGGGGGGGGCTCATTATTTCAAGCTCATATTTGGGGGGGGGCTTTATAGAGACAGGGGCTTATTTAATTTAAAATTGATGATGGTACCAGTTGTCCATAAAGAACTAGAATACAAAGTGGATAAGCTTAAGAACAAGAAGTTTTAGGTTATGCAGCCGAGGATGAGAATTTAGAGTCGTGATTGATTTATACAGTCTTAGTAAAAAATAATTAGCGGAGGGGATGGGGGCTTAATAGAGAGGGGGGCTCATTAACTTTCGCCCCAAAAAAAGTCTTGGGGGGGCTTACTAGAGGGAGGGGAGTTATTTGAGAGGGGGGGGCTTAATAGAGGATTTAGGGTAATACACAAATTTTTTTTTTTTTAATTGTTGATACAGATGGCAGCCTGAGAAGCCACCTCTGGTTTTGTGGCAAAGTGATGTCTGAGAAATGAGTGCACAAATTCTACACTGATGATGCGTCACTACCCAGATCTGGGTAATGCTTTTGTTTGGTTGAAGCAAATTGTTTGGTTGAAGCAAAATGCGGAACGGCCCATTAGAAGCACTACGGAGATCTGGATAGTGATGTGTCATCAGTACATAATTTCTTGTGCATGTTTCTCATACATCAATTCATGGTCAAACCAGTGATGGCATCGCAGAATGTTGGCTGTTTTCTCAGGCTGGATGTGGCATGGGCAATTGATTAGAGCACTAGACTTGCAATCTGGAGACCACACTTTCAAGTCCTGCCCAGATTGCTAGCTGACATTGATCTCAATAGTTGCAAGTTCAAATCCTTTCTGCCCTACTTATAATTAGCTAACTGGTTTTCTGAAACAATATGATCTAAGTAACAATTCTTAGAGAAATTAAAAAATGCTTCATGCTCAGTCTCTTACTAATAAATTATTTCCTCTATCATAGTTTAGGATAGTTATGAAGCCTGACAGACTTCTTTGTTTTATGTTTTCGTTAGCTTTTTTAGATTTGACCATGCACAACGTTCAATAACATTCCTATCATTTTGAACTTACTGAGCAACAGAAACATCGCATTAATTTATTCAGTCACAGTTTGTGAACACGAAACAAAGGATTGTACATTGTCAGGGAGCTTCCAACATAAACTGCAGCACTGTTGTTTTCATCTTTGATGGTTGCTGGCTTTTATAACCAGTCTGCTTTACTAACTATGTCTTCGTGTGTTATTTTGAAATGATTGTTAGAACTGTTTCTGGGTGTTAAAGAGGGGGGCAGAATGGGACACTAGAATACCGAGGGGAGGGCCCTTGAAGCAAAAAATGGGAACCCAACCAATAACCATGCTATATTGTGCTGACTGGATTTTTTAACCTGGTCATGGAGAAGCTTGGGTTTCTCGACCATGGGGGAAAAAATTAATACTGATTTAACGGAAACCGCAACATACTGCATGCCATTTCCAGAGTACAGGGAAGGGATAAATTACCCTTTGACCAATCCCTAATTAATATTATAAGCAGTCTGCCATTTTTTCTGTATAAATGACTGCCACGAAGAGTGATGGTGCCATTACCACATTTGTCACCTCCTATGTGAATTGGGCAGGATCCTTTATCTGTTATCCTGCAAGCAAGCTCTCTGGGGGGGCTTTAGTGGTGGGGCAAGAAAGGAGAGCACCCCACCACCAGAACACCTCAGAGAGCTAGCTTGCTCGCACTGACGCTATTTATCCGTACAGTATGTGGTCCTTGGTCCGTGCAAGTCTGCGATGCCCTTGGTCCGCACCTTTTCCGAAAATGATAAAATATTTCGTCGAGAAAAAAAATACGTTGAATAATGAAAGATATCGTGATTTACTGATTAGCATTCTTTCATGTGACGAAGTTTCGGCTTTCTTGCTGCGGGTGAAGGCGCGAAATTAAAGGTTGTTGACAGGTAGGTTAATTTGTCTTTCTTGAAGTTTGGATTTTTGCGGCACCGTAAATTACATGAACATGTTTACTTAGCCTGCGAATAAATAAAACGCAATGGGAAGACGTGCCTTTTTGCAGAACAGGTTTTCAGATCAACTTTTTTCTGCTGTTGGAAGCATATTGCTGTAGACTCTGAATTTTTTGTTTTATCGACTCTTGAAGAATATCACCAAATTTCGCTTGGCGGTCCTTGGTCCGCGACCTATGACCTGGTTGAATAAAACTTCGCAAAATAAAAAGCGAAGTCCTTTGTTTTCGAAGAATGTTTTGAAAATCGTCCCTATACATGTCTACAAGTTCTCTTTTTTAATACCTCGAATACATACAGAGTTTTTGGTAATTATTTTCGACCGCGCTGAAAGCCGCTCGCGACGCTCGTGTGGGAGACTCGAGGAGACTGTTGTCTGAAGTCTTTGAAAGAAGAGCAGATTATTTTATACTCACAACATCTTCCGAAAAAAACCTTTAACTTAATTGCATCAAGAAAAGAAAAAAAATACATGAAATTTGTGAAAATGACATTTTCCTGTGGAAACTATAACATTTTTACGTTTTTTTCGTGCTGCTTACATGAGACGCGGACCAAGGACCACCAAGGACCATCGAAAACGGTCGCCTTTTTTCGAACTCCAAGCAAAATATTTATGTCTGGAACTTGAAACTTCAGGATTATCGAGAAGAACGTAAAAGCTATCTTCAGGGAGTATTTCAGCTCGTTACGTGAAAATTCGGGTAAGATATTCAAGTTAATGACTTTTTAGACGCAGACCAAGGACCACATACTGTATATGGACGCAGTGTATATTAGAGTCTTTATTAACAAAATCTCTTGAATTATTAAATAGATGGAAAAGCACCAAAGATTCTTTGCAACCGACAAAATACTACGATAACTCCTTCATCGAAGACAGTGCAGTGTCGTTGTCAACCTGGATTTGAGATTTTTCGAGGCAAGGATGGACAAATTCAGTGCAAACAGTGTTCAAAGGGGAGGTTTTCTACTGGTGTGAAATGTGCTACATGCAAAGTTGGTCATGTAGCCTTTCCAGGCAAGCACTATTTTTTGTGGAGGAATGACACATTACCAGAAGGCTTCTCTGCTTCTTGTTCCGGTGACTGTACTATTGAGGTTTGTCAAATATTGAGAAGTTCTTTAAAAACTATGTCGATTGTTTTCAAGATGGCGAGAAACACAGCTAGGTGCTCTCCGAACCCTTTAAGTCTCAATTGTGACGAACATCAATTTTCTCCTAACAATATCCATTTTTTGCCAAGAGAAATAGTTATGAGAGTTAATAAAATGATCACTAAAGAGCAAATGCTTTGATCTGTTATCAAACTCTCTCTTTTAATTCTTGAAGGAAATGTATGGAGATCAGTATGGAGAATTTATATTTGGATATTGGGGCTTAAAAGGGTTAATGGACTATAAGTAGTTCCTTAGGGATAGTAGAGCGAGCAGATGCACGAACGCGCGTGAAAATCGCCACCCTCGAAGAAGGTCCTCCCTCCACGTGTCATCCTCGCGGCTGGTCATTTCTCACGCATTCTCCTATTTTGCTCGAACTACTATTCCTCAGAAGAATGAGGAAGAACTTGACTGTTATAGGTAACTGCTATGTCTCCTGAGCGTTCTTACTAGGGACCTTACAAAACTACGACGGCGAAGGCATCGGAACCTCAGAAAAGCAAAGCAACAACTTTGCGCGTGCATCACGCTTTTTTGTCAATTTCTTTGCCTGCACAACTAAAAATGGTCAAATTTTAAGTTTACTTGAGAAGGGGAACGGCAAGGCGATAAATTCTACCATCTCTGTCTGAACTCGTGCGCGGTCCCATGCCTTCACTTCCAACCTAAATTCCCTTCTTTTAAGTAATAGGGCGACTTGGGATAATCGCGAAATAGTTTCAACGGATGTAAAGTCTATTTTTACGCGGCGTTTTCGTGGACGTCGCCGTTGTCGGGTCGTAAGGTCCCTACTGAAAGTTCTAAATAACAAGTTTTGAAAAACTGTTAAGTAGACTTGTTTTTAAAAGACCCAAGTGCACTTGATCTGGTGACAGGCTCATAATGGCTAAATTTGGCTGAATTCCGGGACTCAGCCTCTTTAGGTAATAGGAGACAGAACAGTCTGTCCGGTTTACAGTCAAGTCGCCCAAAATTTTATCATGCCCAGCAACATCCTAACATCTTAATCGCCCTTGTTTCGTTTCATCAAATCTTCAAGATCAAGGTGTATTACTCATTTGCTTGTTTCATTTCATCAAGGCTAAAAGAATGAGATATGATACACATTCATCCCGCTTATTTCGTCTAACCATAGCAACATTGCTTGAAGAACGAGATTTGATTACACAATTGGCCTGCTTGTTTTGTCTCATGAGATATATTACGTACACTCCTTACAAAAATTTCGGGCGACTTTACTAAAAATTTCTAGCAATTTAACTTCGGGCGATTTGACCGCTTACCGTCTGGGTTCCCCATGTAAGGTTATCCATGGCAGTCTTGGATGCTGGATTCCAGATTCCTTGTCAGTGGAAAATTGGATTGTGGATTCCATGTCAATGGAACCTGGATTCAGAATTCCAATCATTAGCCGGATTCTGGATTCCTTGAGCTGGATTCCGGATTCCAAAGCCCAGGATTCCGGATTTCACAATCAAATACTTTCCAGATAAATTCCGGAATCTGGATTACCTTACGTAGCTGTTCCTGAAAAAACAGAATGAATAATCCGAAATACCTTTTTTTCTAGACTGGTTGGATTCCAGCTGGGGATCACATTCGCACAGAACGTGTTGTGGGTAATGTGCACTCTGAATTGAGGTCTCCTGAAGTAGAGGTGGATTCAGATTTAGCAAAGGTCGTCTTCAGCTGCTCAGTCCTGTGCAATTGGACCGGAGTGCCATCTAAACCCGTGAAAGGCGAGACTTTGGCTAAAATAGAGAACTGCAATCTCATATTTCAAGTGTGGAAGAATGGTTCTCTGAAGGATCAAGTAAACTGTACTCGTCCTAAAGGGATGTTTATTTATCAACATGAGAAGCGACGAGATGGTAATTATGTCATGCATGTTTATCCACTGGAGAAGGGAAGATATCAGTTCAGGTAACAGTTGAGACCTTTTCAGAGGAGTTCACGCTCATAGTTGCATCATGGGTAATCAGGGCAAGATGGCGGGAAATTCAAAGATTTGTATTGGAATTCAAAGCCAGCTAATCTTTCCTGAATTCATATATTTGATGCTTTCTCTTTGAAAAGAGTAGCTTACGAGTTCAAAGAAACAATACACTAAATCTGGAGTGCAAAGAATACTATCGACTTTTCAAAGAGAAAGCAACAATTGTATGAATTCAGGAAGAATTAGCTGGCTATGAATTCCAATACAAATCTTTGGATTTCCCGCCATCTTGCCCTGATTACCCATGATGCAGCTATGAGCGTGAACTCCTCTATTCTAAGACGAGGACATTTCGAGAACGAGATTTTCTCAATACTAAGAAGTGCGCACGCGTGAACCAGCGTCATGTTGGAGGAAAATCGTGATAGCCATCGTCACTCTACTACGAGTTTTGCCGTAGTGGCGGAAACATGTTATCAAATGTTGGAAGTTGGATCAATATTTGCGGTCGGGAGAGTGCTAATAACTTTTGTGGTGAAAAAAGTACAATTTTTGGATTTTAATACTACTGAACCGAAATGTTTAAGTTTAAGGGCCTTTCTTTTGGTTACAGATGGACGTTCTACCAGCTAGACGATACTTTCTCTTCAGCATTTGAAGCGAAGGTATCCAACATAAGCATCCTTGGTGCAAAGTCTGGCGCGGCTCGCAACTGTACAGCATGCCCACCTGGATATCATAGCACACCAGACAACACTGACTGTAAAATTTGTCCAAATGGAACTAGCAGTTTAGCAGGTTCTTATAAATGCGCTCCTTGTCAAGGGCAGACTTTTGCCGCACAGGTATACAGCTTCACGTTTGCTACAAGAGTCAGTGAGGGTTCAGTCACACACACTTTGTCGTTTTGTGGTTATAGCTTCTAAACAATGAACACTTTGTTATGAGTTGTGAGTAAGCCGGTCAGTCATTCAGTTAATCAGTTAATCAGTCAATCACTTTATCAGCCAACAGTCAGTGAGTCATACATGATTTTCATATATTCATAACTTCCTCAGTGAGTCAGTTAGTCAGTTAGTCAGTTTGTCAGGAAGGGAAACAGTCAGTTAGTCATTTCATTAGCCAACTAAGCAGTCAGTCAGTTAGACAGTCAGTCAGCTAGCCAGTCAGTCATTCAGGTTATCAGTCCCTCAGTCAGGCAGTCTGGTATGATGGTCAGGTAGTCAGTTAGTCAGCGAGCCAGCCAGCCAGCCATTCATTCATTCCTGGCCATATGAATGCTAGACAGTAATCAAATGGAAACGTGACCGCCCCTTAACGCATCTGTCATACACCATGTAGTAACCTCACTTTGAAATTATTCTCGGAGATCGATTTACGTTGAGTTATTTCTTGTGATTTGATGCCTGAGCTAGTGTTTTGTTTGTTTGTTTAGAAGGGTAGTAAAGAATGCCTTCCTTGTGGAAGCAATACAAAAGTTCTACCAAACAAAGATGGCTGTGACACAAACGGATGTAAATTCAGTCCCGCACCTGGTGTAGATTATGACCTCTCTGCGCTTTCTCGTCCCGGCGGATCAATGATTAAAGTCAGTTTACCAGAACTACACCGACGGCGTCGAAGGTAAATTCCTTTCCTTCCCTCATCCTCTCACCCAGAGTATTTAAGGGTTGTATTTGTTACGACCAAGAGGGGGTCGGAAAAGTTGTGAAGGAAGGTGTCTGCAGTCATTACTGATTCTTCACAACCAACCGGCGTTGACCAACTTTTGGAAGATGCGAGCAATCGATGGTATATTGGAATGGAAACGAGGTTGATCGATGGATACATTTTCCTGGAAACGAGGCTGAAGGGGAATAGACCATTGATCAACCTCGTTTCAAGGTGCGGCCGCCCAGCCGTTTATTCACGAGTGGACTAAGGAAATTGCGTTCACGGCTATCCAAAGACGAAATAGCTAAAATTCGATCCAGAGATTTCGGGAAAAAAAATCTGAACGAAAGAAATGCAAGAGTACGCAAAACATATTGTTCGATGGATGTTATGTACTTTTTGAGGAGTATCTGCAAAAAAAAAAATGTTTGTATCTTGAAACCGTACCGAGGAATAGGCAAAACCTTAGAAGACTGGAGAAACCTTAGAAGACTGACTGGAGAACATTCAAACTTCTTCGGAACAAAGTTGTCTTTCTTATGAATAAGTCTCGTCGTGAATTTTACACAGATTTTGTCAACAACATTTCTGGAGATCAACGCAAGCTTTTTGCTGCTACAAAGAAACTGTTCAATCAGACAGCAGATACGCCTTTTCCACCTCACGGCGATAAGTTAGCCTTGGCTAATGACATGGGGTCGTTCTTTATTAAGAAAATATCGGATCTTCGTGTTAGCCTTGATGCAACTGAGAATTTGTGCAGCACTGTTAACCGCCATTCTTCTCATTGTTCTTCGTCCTTTACTGCTTTTCGCCGTGTAGACATGGACTCTTTAAGAAAACTTGCGCTCAGAGCGCCGACAAAATCTTGTTTACTTGATCCTGTTCCCACTAATATCTTGAAAGATTGCCTTGATGAGTTACTTCCGATATTATCTACTACGATAAACTTGTCGCTTGAATCAGGATTTTTCCCTGACATTTGGAAAGAGTCGATTGTTACACCACTGCTAAAAAACAAGGTCTTGACTTGGTTTTTAAAAACTTTCGACCGATCAGCAATCTTTCCTTTGTTTCAAAATTGGCTGAAAGAGTGGCAGCTGATCAGATTCAGTCCTACTTAAATGAGCATGATCTTTTTCCTTCATTGCAATCAGCCTATCGACGGCACCATAGCACAGAAACTGCCCTGCTTAAAGTCAAGAATGACATTCTGATGAACATGGAAAATCAGAAGGTCACGTTGTTAGTGCTTCTTGATTTAAGCGCCGCGTTTGATACCGTGGACCATAGGATTCTCTTAGATCGCCTTCAGTTTGATTTTGGAATTTCAGGCTCTGCACTTAATTGGATTGAATCGTACCTTTCTAACAGAACCCAGCGCATCTATATAGACGGAGTTCTATCGAGTAATTTTAATCTTAAATTTGGAGTTCCACAAGGCAGCTGTCTCGGGCTGTTATTGTTTTCCCTCTATGCTAGTAAACTTTTTAAGATCGTCGAATCACATCTTCCTAATTCCCATTGTTATGCAGATGACACGCAACTGTACATCGCGTTTAGATCAGGAAATGATTTGGAGGAGACCGCTGCTATAACTGCCATGGAATCATGTATTGCTGATATCAGTAGATGGATGCATTCGGATAAGTTAAAACTGAATTCCGATAAGACAGAATGTCTTCTGATTGGAACACGACAACAACTTCAGAAAGTCAGTAACATTAGTACCTTATCGGTTGGGGACTCCCAAATTGCTCCATCTTCTGAAGTTCGAAACCTAGGAGCTTGGTTTGATTCTAAAATGAGTATGCTAAGTCATATCAACAAAACTTGCTCATCCGCTTTCAATTATCTTTATAACATGCGTAGAATTAGGAAATATTTAAGTCGTTCAGTCACCGAATCATTAGTTCATGCTTTTATCACCAGTAGAATAGATTATTGTAAGAGTCTACTATATGGCCTCCCGAATTCACATATCATGAAACTCCAACGGATACAGAATGCCGCGGCTCGGTTGGTCACCGGAACACCTAGATTCTGCCATGTTACACCATTGCTTTTCCACCTTCATTGGCTTCCAATAAGTTACCGTATAAAGTTTAAGATTCTACTTTTGACATTTAAGTGCTTATATGGTCAAGCTCCTAATTATCTAATTGATTTCATTACTACCAAAAAGCAATCCAAGTACTCTCTAAGGTCAAATGAGTCTATATTCCTCGAGTTACCATGCATTAAGACCCATCCAACTCTTGGCGATCGTGCATTCCAGTCAGCTGCACCTTATCTCTGGAATGCATTACCTTCGGAAATTCGCAACATGAAGACATTGGACACTTTTAAGACTGCTGTTAAAACTCATTTTTTCAATTTAGCTTTTAAATAGATTTAATTGTTGGCTTTTATTTATTTATTTTTATTTATAGTTTTTAATACTTTTTATTGTAGTTTTTAATAGTTGCTCATGCTTTAGTCACCTTTAACATAAATTTAATATAACAATATTGTAAAGCGCAACCGAATATATTCATATAGAGGTTTGCGCTATATAAATGTAAATTATTATTATTATTATTATAAGAAAGTCTTCGAGGATATAAGCTAAGATCTTAGAAATCTTTTGAATTCGACATTCATATGTTGTGACGAATCATGTTATCCACCTCAGGGTAACAACCGGTTTCGCTACTTGTCGAATTCTCTACGTCTTAGTTCGCAACAAACTCGCTACATAGTACTTTCTATAAGCCACTGAAAATACTCCCTTAGTCGCTTTAGAAAAAAAATCTTTTAATGTATTTCTTGCAGTTTCGGGCTTTGTAATAGGCAGCGAGACGAATATGTACGTGGGCCTCGGCACACCCAAAGGACGAGACTCAAACGAACTCGAACGTAGCGAAGTTGTGAAGTAGCGAAACCGTTGTAAAGCCACCTCGGCCTTCAGCCTTGGTGGAGAACAGTCTCCTGGATCTTCATAATAGACCCTCCCTCTGTTTATTCAACTTTTGATATGCACCAGTTAAGGAAAACCGTCGATACCACTGGAAAGATTGCCTTGAAATTAATTTTATTGCCAATTTCAAAGTGATACGTCTAAAGCGTTCGAAGATATAATAGCTCCGTTAGGTTGTGAAAATTTACAGATGTTTGTATGGTGGGGGGCAAGTTTGTGCCCCCACCCCTCTCCCCCGCCCCCCACCACACCATACAGACGTCGGTAAAATTTGGATCATTATACCGTAACCCTAACCCTAACCCTAACCCTAACCCTAACCCTAACCCTAACTGCTGTTCTACCCCTCCCCTAAGCCACATTAACACTTACTTCTCAATTAGGGCAAAATGTTGGCATAGGGGAGGGGTAGGTGGGCAGTTTCCCAGAAACGTATAATCATCCAAATTTTACAAAAATCCAATTTTTTTTTACAATTTCGCGAGTTTCGGGAGCTATTTCTTCATTAGTTTTTACCAAATCACTTTCCAACTTGGCAATTTTATTAATTTTAGGGTGCTCTTTTCAGAGGTGTCGACGGATTTTCCTTAACTTGTCCACGTCAAAACTTGAAAACTATTGCTAATTATCATTGTTTTCTTGTTATTGCTTTCTTTCTTTAGGAGGTTCAGCGATGACTATATATATTTTTACACTTCAGAATATTATTTCAACCTTTGCACCGTTGATCATGACAATAGCTCGTGCACATCTCGTGACTGGATCAGCGGTAAAAGAGTTCCCCTTCCCGTGATGGCTTGCGGTTCCTCTTGGTACAATGACGTAAGCGTTGGGTCCGTGATTGGCTACAAACGAAAACCGGATATCCGCTCTGGCTTGATTGTGGAGTTGCTTCACGGTAACAAATGTCCCCCTGCAAGTGAGTGCAGCCAACGAGTTGTTAACAAGTTGTAAGAAACAGTAACAGATTGAAAATTGAACACAATAGAGGAGAGAAGTCGTTACGTCATGGTGCCATGGCAGCAAAATTTCTGGATCTCAACAAACAGAAAATTTGAATTCGCATTGTTTTAAACTTCATCGCTCCTTGTCAATTTCTTTCGATTTGTCAAATGTTGGCGAAATTTTCTCGGGTTCAATCCGAAAAGACTGAATCTAAGTTTAGAAATAGAAAAAGAAAATTGTTGTCTCGTGTTCACGTACTCCATCAAGCGGGGGCCGTGAAATTAGGATGTTCCATGTCGCAGTCGTGCAACGACGGCTTAGAAATGTACAAAAAAAGGCGTGGTACCCGTGCAACTACTGTAAGCATACCGTAAAATTCCGAAAATAAGCCCCTCCATATATAAGTCCCTCCAAATATACCCCCCTGGGGGCTTGTATTTGGAAAAATGCCCTCAAATACAAAGTAAAACAAAGCAAAAACGGTAAATTTACTTCCAACTATACGGCTAGCCTAATCGACTTTGAAACGCAAATTTCCCTCCGTAGATAAGCCCCTCCGAATATAAGCCTCTCAAAAAGGGCCTTTGAAAAATATAAGCCCTTGGGCTTATTTTCGGAATTTTACGGTATTGCTTTTTTGCCGTTCTCGTTGCCGTCGCCGTCGTCCTTGCTTAAGCTCCCTATTGTTGTGATCCAGAAATTTTGCTACCATGGTAACGTGATATCCCCTCGCCTCTTTATAACAAAAGTTAGCTACAAATGCATTCGTCCTCCATTACAATCCTATAATGCAGTTCGAAACAACACCGACTTTGTCCCAGGCTATGTGCAGACGACACTCTCCGAATTTTTGATCGGTTGAAAATTCGTGCGTTTAGTTGTTGCTTTCACTCGGAACCACCATAACGGTATGAAAATGTAGACGCTAAGCCGTTCAATAGAGAGCTTTAGATTGACGACGAGTACCAGTGCGAGATTTAACTTAAAGTTTTTGCGCGTGTTCTAAAAAAAAACACCTCGGAAAGCTTCATTTTCCTTTTTCTCACGAAAACAGTTAGTATGGTTATTATACTGAAGGAGGTTAAGCCGTCTCCCGATAGAAAAATGATAAAACTTCTTACATTTGATAACTTGTTCCCGCCACTACACCTAAAGTCGTAATAGAATAACGACTACCACATTTTCCCGCCAAAATGACGCTGGTTCACGGGCGCGCACTACTCAGTATTGAGAAAATCTCGTACTCGTAATTGTCCTCGTCTCAGAATCTAAAGCTCTCTAATGTTTCGTGTGAACAGAACGAAAATCTTGAACGGTGCAATGTGAACCAAGTGTGCGGTCGAAATTTCGTCTGATGCCCTGTGCACGTAGCTTCAGCCGTAACCTGGAAAATGGCCATTACACTTGTAAAAGGCGCGGAAGGAGAGTGGACACTTTGACACGTGCTGTTGTCAAGGTGACCGGCGCGACCAGTAATACCTGCGAGGATCTAACTAACGTGCTCTCGCAAAGAATAGGAAGCTTAAGCAACGGCGTCGTCGACGGCAACAAAAACGGCAAAAGCAATATATTTAGGTAAGTAAAAGAACAACTTTACATGTGCATCACGCTTTTTTGCCATTTCACATGTCTTTATCGATATCGCACAATTCCATTTTCACGTTTTATTGAGCTTGGATGCTGTCCGTTGGAATTCAAGTTTTGCGTGGCGTTTCCGGTGCCGTCGGTCGCCGTCGTAGTTGCTTAAGCTGCACTATACCTTGATTGAAGCTGCCTACCCTATCACCTCACCCGAACGGAACTGGAGGCGGACCTCAGGTTAAGCGACGCGCGTGCCAAAAAAATATTTATCATAGGACTTGAGCTATGATGTCTTTTTTGATTCTGTCTGAAGGAAGCAATGACCGATACAAAACACGTATTGACTTCAGATGTGACGTTACAGCTGGAGTGGGTCAGCCCGGAAGAGAGAGCAACTCCTCTTTAGTTCAACATGGCTGTGAATTTCGATTTGTTTGGAAGTCCTTGTACGCATGCCCGAAATGCCGAGAACAAGACATTACGCGGATTAAGGGAGAATGCATAAACGGAACCCGGAACGTCACGGTACTGCGTTCTATCCCATGCTGGGCACCTGATGAATCCCCCGGCGCTAATGTCACGACAGAAGAGTGTGTCACGCCAACTAAATTTGTCACGGTTACAGTCACGGCTACTGTTCTGGCTTTTAGAGAAAAGGTATCAAGCAAAGTAAACAAGATTTTGATTGGCGTGGGAGTAGTGGTGATTGTACTTTTATTGGGCGTGGCTTTGTTCTTTGTCTACAAGAATCGCACGATCAAGTATCGGTACTTGAATTGGATGTCACGTAATAAACCCATGAGTCGTCTTGAACAAGAAGATGACGAAGATCACTTTATCGAGGGTGACGAACTCGCTTACCCCTCAGATGATAAAGATGAGCCATTCCGAACCTGAACGAGACCCTGGTATACCACTCTAGTTCAAGTTTTCAGTAGAAGGTAGAATAAATTGAAGAGTGCAAATACCGGTTAGCGTTCTTCAAATTTGTTTTCCTACTTCTCATGTTTTTGCAGCGACTTGTGCCCACAAAGCTTTCAATTCCCAATACCAACAAACAATATACGGCTACTAAATTTTTGTCTTTGTAAATTTGTGATAGAATTTTATAAATACGGCGAGAAAATTTAGGTTGTTTCGTGTTTCTCTTGTCCTGTAAAGGGTGCCAGTAGAACGCGGGGCGGGGTTGGGGCTGGGGTCGGAGTCTTTCCTTTTTTAAAGAATGCTGTTAGAGTTGACCGTAATCCTAACCCTAGAGCCAAACGTAACCCTAAAAAAAGATAGACCCCCACTCTGACCCCGACCCCGCGTTTTACTGACAACCTCTTGTAAAATTGATTTTACGATATGTAAGCTATGATTTGAGAGTTAACTGAGTTGCATAGTTGAAATTTCCCATATTTCTTTTTTTAGATTTTATTTTTTGGCTAAACGGACAGAGCCGAGTGTCCGCATTTCATAGGTGTCTATATCAAAGAGCTAGAGACGGTAAAGAACTTTATTTTGAAAGTATGTTTAATTTTTTTAGTACTGTATAATTAAGCAATTTTGAAAAATTTTTTACTATTTAAATTAGGTTTTAGTTTCAATTGTTTTTTACTGATTTGCTGTAAATAAAAACAGTTTTGTAACAATCCCTTTTGATTACAGTCATTCTTACAGTAGGCTACCAATAGTTTGCCGTGTTGTTTTTCGTATCTCATCGAGTGAAACGCGCTCCGACCAAAATTTTTCTACAAATCTGCGTTATGGGCGTGTCTCAAATAAACCGCCCTTGTTAAATTAATTGTAACCTCAGAGAGGTGCTAAATAAAGTTGAATTACAAATAGTTCTTAATGGTTTTTTAGCTTGCCACCCTCGCAGGTCTGTAACAGGTACTATTAGTGAGCTTACGCAACAGGACGGTAGAAAGAAGAGGACCGCAAAACACTTGTGTGTGACAAACGTGACAAGCCTATTACTTATGTGTTTTGTGGTGATCTTTACCTGAGTCAATGTTGTCCCGGTCTTTTACAAACAAATCTGTTTAAAGGAAGGTGAAGTTCGGCGGAAAAGTTTTTCTAACAAAATTATTGTCACACTTGTCACACAAGGTTTGCCGTCTTCTTTCCTCTCCCGTCCTGTTGCGTAAGCCCACTATTTATAAATATACGAGAACTGCTAGTAGTAGCATATTATGCTCCTTTCGCGAGGACAATTTATCAGAGCCAGCATGGGCCGGCGATATTCGGCTTATCCATAGTTTTCGGTGATCACAAGTTTTGCAATTTGGAGGTCAAGGCTGTAATAGGAGGTGAAGAAAGGCAAGAAAAATAACTTACGACTCCTTGTCATTACTCAGTTCTCTCTTTTATTTCTTGTTTGAAATGAAAAAAGAAAAAAAATCGGGAAACGGAAGACAAGAGTATGCGTATGGCGCTATGGCCCATGGAAAGAAAACACCCTAACCCTACCCTACACAGTTTATTATGGTCCTTTGTTTGGAATCCCGTCATGCCTGGGGAAATATATCACGTACAAATTAAATAGGCTATTAATTCCGAATTGCCTCTAGCTTCTGTTTCAAAGCGACTATTGATATTTAGTAAAATTCAACAAGTGGTCTATTATCAATGCTGCGTTCTGATTGGTTGAGCTACTACTAGGCTATATGTTATAGCCCACTAGTAGCGAAAAGCACCGGATTTTTGGCGGCAAAAAAGGATTAAAGTCTTGCTTTAAGTTGTTTTGTCTCGATATTTTGACCAACTAGTTGGATTTTACTAAAACAATTATTTCTCTTGCCCTCATGGCCTCTGAGTCAATAGCCCATTCGGGCTCGAGGAATAATTGTTAAAAAAATGATTTGTTTATAATTCAGGACCCCTCCTTCCAGACTCTGTGCGTGACGCCGTCGCTATAAATCGCGTTCCTGTTTCCGCAGTTTTTCGTTTCCGTGTTTCCCTTTGGTCTGCAAAGTTACTTTTTGAGTTTAATACTTAGATCTTTACAAATAAAGTATCCCAAGTTAAACAACAAGAAGGTAAAAGTGTCCCACTCTCAAAAAGCACACTGTTAATATTATCTTTCTAAACATATAAATGCTTGGTAAATTGGTTTATCTTCATGGTAAACTCTTAGAATGTTTCAGAACCTTAAAACTTCCTATAACGGCGATACACGTCGGCTTTATATTCTCAAACTCATTAATAAGTCATAAAGAAAATACAAAGGAATAAATGTTTAATGAATGTGTGGAAATCAAATGAAAAACTCCTCATTTTTGCATCCTTAATTTCTCCTTCTAAAATCATTTTGTTAGAGAACTGAATATATATCAAGTATCCGACACAGTGTTCGTCAAAAATACTCCACTACGCGTCGTACTTCAACTCTTCCTGTTCTCAGTGTTTCAGTTAGTTCAAAAATCTCTGTTGTTGGTCAGTCGTAGCAGCTCCAATTCAAAATGCAAGCGGATATTAGCCTGAAGTTCATCCGATTACTTCGAGTCGTTATTACTCCCTCAGTAACTGCTGAGAGGAGAAAACGACTCGAAGCAATCGGATGAAATCCAGGCTAAGCGAATATGTCATTATATTCAAATCTTTCTCACTGTCAATTAATTGATCCCTCTGGTACCAATCTTCCCTACTGGCGGAGTTTCCTTTTTCGTGACGTTATTTTTTCCCGTCTGATAATACATAATAATAATAATAATAATGATAATAATAATAATGAACTTTATCAAAGTCTCATGTCTTATGCTCAGGCACAGTGCGTTACTGATCGGGGAGACTGGAGAGAAAACATAGAGGAAAAGGTAAGTAGTAATGCTTCAGCAAAATTAACCCCGTTGGTGGATTCCCTCGCAAAAAGTGGATTCCCTTTATCAATATGTATAAGTGTCTTCCTGCATACTAATTCGGTATAGGTTTACTAAAATGATAAAATTGTAGAGGAGGGAATAATAACATTGAGGAGCGAAAATAATGAAATTGAGGGAAAATATTAAAATTGTGATGAAGGGGAATAAAAAACATTGAGGAAGGAAAATAATAAAAAATTGTGGAGGAGGGAATAAAATTAGCATGCAGGAAGACCCTCATTAGTATGCAGGAAATCAAAATTAGTATGCAGGAAGACACTTATACATATTAATAAAGGGAATCCACTTTTTGCGAGGGAATCCAAAGGGAATCCACCAACGGGGTTAATTTTGCTGAAGCATTACTACTAAGGTAACTTCTGCCCGCAGGGAATTAACAGAGGGAAACACCTAGTCGATCTAAACAAGGAAAAACAGGCGCACTCAAATGTACCTGAACCAGCCACGGCAACCAGGCCAGAGTCCTTGACTAAAATTGGGTTGTGGTCAGAAATAGGGTATAGTTTGGCCTGACACCGGAGAGGGCTTTAGAAGACACAAATTTTAATAATTTTTCACCTGTTCCCGTTGGAAGTACACTCTTGCAGTTTGTTTTCCTGTGACGTCAAAGCGGACGTCATTCCGGTACAGGATGTGCAAGTATTGAAGGACTTAAAGCTCTGCAGTCGGTGCGAAGCAGTATGGTTGCCCACAACTGCCACGGCAAAAACAAAATACCTCACGGCAAAACCAAATACTTCACAGCAAAAACAAAATAGCTTTGGTTTTGCCGTGGGTATTTGCTTCTGCTGTGAGGTATTTGGTTTTTGGCTGAATTTGCAATAATTTTTGTCTACAGACTTAACAAAAAATTAGCCGTTAAGTCACTTTGTATTATTAGTAAATAAAAATTTAGCCATTAATTAACGGCTAAATTTTGATTAACTATCTATACAAAAGAAAAATTTAGCATTAATTAACGGCTAAATTTTACTATACTTTTTACTAACCAAAAATTTTGCTGCGAAGTATTTGGTTTTACTGTGAGGTCTTTGGTTTTGCAGTGAGGGTTTTGGTTTTGTCGTGAGGTATTTTGTTTTTGCCGTGAGGTTTTCGGTTTTGCCGTGAGGTATTTTGTTTTTGCCGTGAGGTTTTTGGTTTTGCCGTGACAGCTGTGGGCCACCGTCCAGCAGCGCCACATTTCATCTCGACACTTCGAAATAATGGCGCAACTTGCCGGTCTCTGCGTTGTAATTTATCTCCTTTCCATCGCTTCGTCGTCACAGTCGCTGAATTGTACGAAGGATGACTATGTTCAACAAATTCTGCCTTGCGATCCTCGAACTTCTACTCGATCCGTGGTTTATTACCTGAACTCCTCTACATGGTAAGCGTTTTACATGTAGCACTTGTTTCACTAAATCTTGACATGATGTAAGTATTACATGCTCAAATGATATTGGTTTTACATGCTTAGAGAAGGTTACTATTTGGAGATCGTTCAGCCTTAAAAAAGCTAGCATGTCGATGCAGTTTTAACTATGGCGCTTCGCTGGCCCAACTCTCAAACGAAGTCGCAAACATTCCTAAATTGCTAAGATGTGCAATGTACAACTTTTCAAACAAGACCTGTGATGTGAGCCGATCAACACGTCCAGCTTTCATGTTAAGGCAGTCAGTGCTAGCGTTGCTTTTGCTGTTTATAAATTTTTGCTGATGCGGCTAAAAATTAAGGTGATTCCATGCACTCAATATGACTCACCTGCATGTGCACGCGTGGATATCTTTGGAATCAACTTTTCTGAGATCTACCCCAGACTTTTCCGCACATTCCTTCCTCAAAACTTACTTGTTTCGAGCAAAATGAGGCGCCGAAGTATACCTTAAATATGCTTATAGGTGTACTCGAAAGTCAGTTGTTAGCAGACAGGCTATATGAAAAGTATACTTTTATAGTCCTCTCTACATGGTCTCAATTTTACCTCATTAGAGGCTTAATTTACATAGTTACTTACTGCATGTCGCAGTCCCATTTTTTAGCTTCTTTTTATATGATACCCTGTCCCCATCTAATACATTAATTTTCGTCACAAGTAAAACCTTGCATGAACCTCACATGCTAGAAACATGTCCCTTTTTTTAATAACCAATTATTGACAAAATATGCTTTATTCTTGTTAAAAATTGTAACAATGACTTGAAATAAATATTGAAGTATTCTCCAAGATACAGTATAACTTTGACAACAAATAAATTTTCTATGTTTGAGGGTTATTAAAATGCAGGGGACATTGCTTGAGGATTGTGCGGCTAAATTTTACCAGAAATACAGCCACACAAATATTGAACTTAAGTGCAATTTAATGCATTTGAAAATATATTTTTATTAATCAATTTAACCGCTGTCGTAGTAAAGTTTAACAAATCCCGTGTCCTCTGCCAATGTCAAATGTAATGTTACTTACAGTAGTTTGACAAACAACTCATCTGTTGCTGAAGCCACTGTCAGTACTCAGCTGCTCTGCTCTACAGACTGTCAGCTGCTCATCTCTGCAAGTCCACTTTTTTGCTTTCGAAGTCCCGTATCTTTCATGCCTAAAAGCCAGGGCACCAAAAGCGTTAAAATTCTGTCCTCAGTTCCTCGACAATTAATTCTGATTAAATTTTAATCCAAGGTTATTTCAGTCCAAGTTTTGTGATTATTCAATATTATGCCTTACTCGCTCTGAGATCGAGCTATGAAAACACTAAACAACATGTAGGACAGTAAATACGAAAAAGGAATTTTCTGTCAGTCCTGTATTATGGACCTTAAACGCAAGAACTGTGCTGCTTTATTGTTGTTTAAAACAATTAAGCTTAATAGCTCAACTTCAAATGAACGCACGACCGTTTTAGTAAAGAAAAATGAGAAGAAGCAGATTGGGAGAAGAAACTAAAATGTAGTTCCTTTGTAAACCTCACAAGCATCGACATCTTTTTACAAAAGAGTGAAAAAATACCCATTTATCGAAAGGAAAGGACAGCACTTACCTTTTCAGCCAGTCTCCCATTATTAAAATGAAATCATCGAAGAAAAGGATTACAAATCGATGTAGGAAAGCTTAGGAAAAAATAAAAGTCCTGTTCTAGTTCTTTGCAGTTCAATGGATACACGTCATCTCTACCTTTGTTGTGATTGAACGAATGAAGAGAGTTTGGCAGCCGCGTTCAGAAATTCGCGCCAAAACCGTCAAAACACGGGTGCTAGGATCCAGTCTTTCATCGTCCCGTCCGAGCGCTGCGGCCATCTTGGTTTCTGAACGTTCGGATCGATCTAGATCTTTGAGATCTTTGTGCATGTGCTGAGTTTTTTTCCACCGACCAAGTTAATTAACAATATGTGAGGGACAAGCTTGAGATCTGAACTGAGGTCAGAGTAAAGGAAACTGCTTGAGCTTTGTACATACTCATAGTCTTGAGTTCGCAAGTGAAGATCGAGGTGAGTCTCCGTTCATCGATATTTACCTGTCGTTATACGGAAGCAGAAGCTCAGTGCATGCCGAATGTAAGAAAAAAAGTACGTTAAAGTGAGAACGCACGGCTGTATTTTGGTCATTTTAATTACACTTCACAATTTTTCTTGCTCTTTTTGATTTAAACTTAAGCTTCGACGATGCATGCACGAAATTCGACCCCTAGATTACTTGCAAGTAATCTAGGGTTCGATAGTTTCTTATGTGTGTTTCTATCAAATTCTGAGATGGTCCTAATGTCAATTTCATTTGCAGACTTGCTAATAGAATCGAGAAGGACTAAACTGAATTTGCTTTTTAATTGACATTGAAGGGAACTGATACTTTTAATTTACATCCGTTTTCAGGCGTTTTGCACAATTTATTTTAAATTACAGTTACATGTAATAAATGTTTCCATTAAGAAAGAGCAGTAGCTAGTACAATGTTATGCCTTTAATGGTCATTTATACTGCTGCAGTAGATTTGAAGTATACTTATTTCCCACTGCAAAAGAAGGAAGAATAGTACTTTAAATAAAGCAGTGTCAGTGGTACTGTACAGTACCGCAAATGATCCCGAGACCGCAAATGATCCCCAAAATGGACCGCAAATGATCCTCGACCGCAAGTGATCCCCAAAGTCGACCGCAAATGATCCCGTGAAAACTTGAGGAATGGAATGGATTTTATGGGACTGATTACAAAAAAGGACTGATTATAAAAAAGAAACCTTTTTCTCTCGCCTTTTAAAGAAAAAGGGAAGGAGGACGCTACATCTCAGGTCAATTTATACAAGGCGAAAAAAAAAAAATGGAATAAATCTGAAAAGGAATGGTATTAACCGTATACTTCTTCCTTTGTCGATTGCTTCAATTTTCTTTCCAGAATGTTTCGTCTTTTTTAAAAATTTAAGACAGGCAGGACGTTACGCAGAAAAAACTCTATTATTTTAACGTCTAGAAGCTCAACTTTTCTACTGAGGAATACAAAGCCGGGCACCCTCTACATAACAAGAGCTTTATTGACTTTACTGATCTTTTTAAAAGCGTGAAATCAGTCAGCCAGAATATTTCATTTTGATTTTTCTCTGAAGTGTTAATTTTACGTGATAAACAGCAAAACATTTGTTCGTAACTTAGGTGCTCGTTACGAAACAAGACATGATTTAACATAAACACAAGTCAAAATGTCCCCAAACTTATCAACGTCCACAGGTTTCGGTTTATTTCGAAATAGCAACTTTCTTACATCTCATGAACGTGTTGGTAAATAGTTATATTAGCGTTTTTATGTATATTCATTTGTTGTGCTTTGCTGAAGACAGTTACCAGGAATCTAAACCTGGTAATGAGAAACGCAAAGCCAGATAAGCGGTAGTTAAAGCGTGACAAAACATCGTAGGAAACCGTCACATTCACGGACTAAAAGAAAATCGCTTATGATCATTTGGATCCAGGAGGCACTTTGGAGAAAATTAAAGAACCTAAAACCCTTCTTTAGCGGCAATGAAGAGCACTGCGTTTCAAAAGAGGTCAAAGGAAATGCTCTTGCATCAAAGGGCAAATCATGCCGACCAGAAACAACAATAACCGCAGAAAATGCGTGTCATGACCTCTCAGTATGAAATAAGCGGCAAAAATCACACTTGCTCAGTCAAAACGTTTTCTTCAGAGGTATAATCTACCCGCCAGAGCCGGAAAAAAGTCATTGGAATAAGCAGCATTTTAGCATGAGGTAAAAGTCGTGCGTTGCCTACCGACTTCGTTTTTACTCTTGAATGATTTTTTTCATTTTGTTTTTATTCATATATTTATTTCAGAAGTAAAATTTAGCTTTTAATCTGACTTATTGTAATAATAATAAAATCGACACGATGATCCGCTAACTTGAGTCCACGTCATTCCTATTTTTCTTTCGGGATCTTTTGCGGTCGACTTTGGGGATCACTTGCGGTCAAGGATCATTTGCGGTCCATTTTGGGGATCATTTGCGGTCTCGGGATCATTTGCGGTTGGGGATCATTTGCGGTACTGTACAGTACTGCTGTAGTAGATTTGAAGTACCGGTATACTTATTTCATACTGCAAAAGAAAGAAAAGCACTCCTACATCAAAAGTATACTCTAAGTATACCCTTCAAATTATACTTAGAGTGTACTGCAATTCATGCAGTACATTAGGGGTATACTGTTAGTATACTTATCATCAATAATTCCTGATACCATATACTCTGAGTATACTGGAAGTATACTTCTCTATCAAAATTTTTTGTAAGGGTTGGTAATAGCTTTGATTCAGCTTAACAGTCTTTAAACTGTTTTGTTATTGCCACAGTTTGTGATCAGGCAAGACCGTGGTTTTGGTTCTCCACACGAACCTCATCAGTTGAGAATGGCTGTACCGTTCTCGCCACAACAAAGTACAACTAAAGTTGCTCTTGCAAAAGCAACTAAGCACAAAGCCAACCCAGCAACTGATGAGGTTCGTGTGGAGAACTGAAACCATGGTCTTGCCTTCCTCCCGATCTCTGATTTTGTGGATAAGCGTTTTCTCGATAACTTCGTCTTCGGAAGACTTCGGACTTCTTTGGGAATCTTCGGAAATGATCGTGTCGTCTTCAAAAATCCCAGCACTCCCAGGATAAAAATCTCACGCTTATATCTCAGAAAAAGTTGGCAGGTATAGACACCTCTCTATTACAGACAGTTTCCTATGTACCGACAAAATTCTCATACATTTCCTCTAAAAAAAACTTAGAACTATAATACGGACCCTCTCTAATACGGACAATAAACGGACACAAAATCTCAGCCCTTGGGAGCAAATTCATTAAATTTTTTATTATGGACACTCCGGGACAAGGTGTTGATAATTTGTGGTATATGTACCATTTCCTGTTGGCAGTTACACAAACACTGACACTTTATCAGTTGGCGATACCAATACCAGAACAATGTCTTAGGCGAAGTATTTCGTTTTGTTCCAAAATTCGTATGTACTGAGCATGTAATTGAGAAGTACAATAACATTAATCATGCAATTAACAAGACACTGAGTTTTGGGCTTGATTTTACTTACTGAACGCTCTAACCTGTCAGTGGGGTCTTAAAAGTGACATAATCATAGTGACCTTTCTAATATGGACACCTAGCTCTCTCATATGGACACTTCGATCTGTCCCTTCGTTGTCCGCATTAGAGAGGTTCAACTGTATCCCTTAGTGACTGAATGTAAGCAAAACTATTATAATTCAAGAAGTTTAGGGTGCAAAACTTTACAAAAACAAACAAACAAACAAACATTATAAACAAAAACATGACATTTGAATCTCAGTGCATTTCATTAATTTTTTTTTAACACTAGGGATTGCTTGATCGACTTAGTCTGAATAGATTGGGTTCAGCATTAAAACTGACATTATTTCCTTATGCTCATATTTTTGATTCAAGCAAAAAGCTGGAGGGATTGCTAAAGTCGCATGGTCATGCACTAATGGAATTAGGTTAATTAGCTGAACAAAATGAACTCTTTGATAATTTGCAGTTTTAGTGGCGAGTTTCCTCCTAAACCTCAACATGGTATACCCTGTGTATGCACTCCTGGTAAAGGCCTCAAAGGAAACAGCCCCACCAATCACACATGCACTCCATGTGCAATTGGAGAGTATGGATCAGGGGGAGAAATCATCAATAATTGGAGGGATTGGACTGGAAATGGCACAGTACCTCCTGAAGGATCAGGTCTTATTACTTATTGTAGTGATATTTCAAGCAATTATGTCAAACATTGTGATTCATGGAAAGCAAGTGGTAAGCAAGGATAATTATTTTTAAAAATTGATGCGATATGTTAAGAATAAGGGTGAGTTCTTCTTTATAGGGTTCCAAATGCCAAGAAACAGATGAAACCACGAGGCCGTAGGTTAGTGCTTTCATCTGTTTCGAAGTTTTTGGAATCCATGATAAAACTCAAAGCCCAAGTTTTTGACATGTCCTCTTAAATGAAACAATAAGAAATTTTGCAGTGCCGTGTTTTTTCGCTGGTATTGCATTGTTTCCATGAGTTATGTTAATCAATAGAACATCTTATTAAAATGCAAGTGTTTGATCTCGATCAGGTGAAAAACACGTTTCATCTCAGATGAAAACCTGGTGATATTTTATCTGGTGTTTCATTTAGGTATCAAGGTTCATCCATGGTACCCAAATGGTGGTCATTTATTGGCTTTTGCATTGACTGCCTGAATTATTAATGAGTTTGAAAACTTACATGTAGTTTCCTGTCTGATCTGTTTTCCCTTCAAGATTTCTGTTTTGTGGCTATGGCCTTCCCAACCTCAGTTAAATAATAATAATAATATAATTTTTTTAATTTCAATTCAGACTTTTCATTGGCCCTTTAACTCTTTAAGTTCTGATGTCAACATGTATATTCTCCTCAGTGCTCTGCAAATTTTTCTTATTAAGTCGTGAGTACTTGTCTATTGAGAGAATTTGTTTAATCATCAAGACATCATCAGTGATTAGTTTTGACATTCATTCTCTTATTGACCTATGTATGTTTGATGTAATATATCAAACATGAGATGCAGTGTTTCATCACCAGATGAAACACCGAGAAGAGAGTTGAAAATACGACACGCAGCGGAGTATTTTTGACGAACTTCGAGATGTTTCATCTGGTGATGAAACACTGTGTCGAATGTTTGATATTTCTTCTCAAACAAAATCATTTTTCAAGGAGAAATTAAGGATGCAAATACTAAGCAGTGTTTCATCCGATTTCCAAACACTCATTAAACATTAATTTCCTTTGTATTTTCTTAATGAATTATTAATGAGTTTGAGAACTGGTTGTACAGTGGTGAATCCAGGGGAGGGGCCCGGGGGGGCTGCCCCCCTTATTTTTTGACCAAAAAATTTGGGGGGGGGGGACACCTTCCCCCATCTCAAGGTCTGGATTGGGCTCTGTTGTAATATTGTTAAAGGAGAAAAAAAAAAAGGTTGATGGGTGAGCCAAGTGTGTGGCTATAAAGCGAGTCTTCTGTAGCTTAGTGATGGATTGAGAAGCTGAACAAAAACAAGTGTCATATTGTGTAGCAGTTAAACAAAATACAGTCCAATCCCGCTTCACGGACACTTCATTAACACCTATGTGTTGTAACAAACCTTTTCTTCTTGAAGGTAAAAAATCTCTCAGTTGACAGCATGTTGATGTTCCCAGCACTACAGTACACCAGATAGGATGATTTGTGGACGTCAATTTTTAGGTTACTTTTGGCATCTAACGAGTCAGTTTAGAGAATGCTTTTAATATTTATTAATATACAGATGAGCAATTTTTGAGTGCTTCCATGAATTTAGTCCAGGGAATTATACAGCTTTTTGAAGGATAGAGATGCATGTTTACTTTGATGTTGCTGAAGTTGTCCTCTTTTATGTCTTTAGCATTTTGTGCTAATAAAAGTTGTTGTCTTTAACTTAAACAACATAATCTGCTTAATACAGACACACCGTTAATACAGACGCTTTCTATGGACCCTTCAGTGTCCATACTAATGGGTTTAATGAGTCTGTAAAAATCTCTCAGGGAAGTACTTTATAAACACCATATTACTATGCCTTTATTATTTTATCTTTTATTTATTTCCTTTTTTGTTTGTTTGTTTATAAGCAATTCCATTTTTTATTGATTTACATAGCTGATAACTACACACTTGAATCTGGTGACAATCGTGGGTCAAGATGGTACTGCCTGGTTTCTGTATTACTGATGACCAGGAAGTTTGTCCTGACTAACAACAGTGTTAGTTTTGACTATCATGTAGACAGCCAAGACTGCAGACCTGAAGTCTTTGGCGGATGCGATGGTCTAGGTTTCTTTATTGATGGTCAGCAAGTACTACAATACCAAGGAAACCAGTTTCACTGGGTTACAAAGACTTACAATTTAAAGAAGGTAAGTTAATTTGAATCAAACTTTGCCTGCTGATAGCATTATAATATTGCTTCATAAAACAGAGTTGTGACAGCTGGGCACAAAATAATTGACGTTGGCCATTCATACATGTTGACCAGCCGGTCATTGTTTGTTTGTGACTACATCCTTTCACAGAATTAGCGGTTCATGACGTTACAATAAGCGCGACAAGACATGGTAAGATGACTAAGAGCCGTACAGAGGTCAAAATGTATAGAAAATACGTATTTCAAAGTTAAATTACAAGCAATTAAAGTAAAAAATATTCCCTAATGGAAGCTCACAAATTTGAAAATAGGAAATCTACATTGTATGGGGCAACAATTATAACTCACAGGAGTGTTAATGAAAGAAAGGAATAAATTGTATTGAATATTATTAGATGAACAAGAAAACATGCAATCTTGTTAATGCCACCCCTTCATTACCACAGGGTCTCCAAAAAACAAAACATACCGCCCTCAGTACCACAGGATACCTGAGAACCACTGAATGCCACCCTCTCACTACCACAGAATGCTCAGGATTAGCATTTGCCCTTTTGTAACATCAACAATTAGCATGACTTAGTTTTGGTTTGTGTCTATGAAAATGTGCTTGTGAAGGAGATCAAAATATCCTGTCTTGTGAAGCAAAGTAGACCTGTCTTGAACAGCAAACCTCATTTTGACAAACATCATCTGTAAGTTTGATATTAGGTAGCCAAGCTCTTCAAATGCTAAAATTCATACTTGTATTGCAGGGTTCCCATACACTGAAGTGGGTTTTTCGTAAGAGTTGTTTTAGTTATGGATATTCCTTCTTAGACAAGGCTTTCATCCGTTCTATAACCTTGGTAAGTCACACAGTTTGTAATGGTAATAGAACTGAGCGGAGTTAAATTTTGGTCTGTTATAATCATCATCTCTAGGGGCAGGCACATATCCAAACCAACTTTCACCATTTCTTAGAAAACTGTCAGATATATTTGACAAGATGAAATGAAACTCTTGATAAGAGAATTTTTCAGGAGATTTATTCCAGACCTGGTTGTGCTTGTAGTTAGTAATATTTAATTTAAAAAAATAGTCAAATTGGTCATGGTTGAAATTTAGAATCCATGGCAATTTGAGACAGAAATAATGGCAACTTTTTGGCTATTATAAGAGACTTTGGTGTTGGATTAATATTGGCAATGTGATCACTTCTGATAACTACATACAGTCAACTCCCTTTATTGTCATGGACACTGTGTGAACCTCGAGTTAGTGTCCTGTCCGTATTATCGGTAGGCAAGAGTTGACTGTAATAGACTGATGTTAATTGATTTGCCAAATTCCACACACCGCTGTTAATTTTCACCCAAGTGTGTCAACTATCAAAAGTTCAAAAATAAAAGTAAGATATTACATTTCGTTTCTCCTTCATTAAAAAGTATTTGTTTAATTTAGGTAATTAAAAAGACTGTGTATTCTTTAGGTTGGCACAGATGAACCAAACGTGAAATGCAAACCTTGTCCACCAGGTTACTTCAGTAATCAAGAAGGTGCCTCACAATGCACTGCGTGTTCATATTTTCAGTTTCAGGCGAAAGAAGGTTGGTACATTATTTAACACATAATAGACCTTTGTCACAATGATGTACAGAAATCCCCTCTCTCAGCTATTCTTTCAATTCACAATCATCATGAGAGGTAGATGAGACTGATTACAGTCAAACCAGGTCAAGCGTACCCCCCAAGAATACATTAATAAATTTATTATTCAAAAGTTGAATCCGTTGCTAGTTGTAGATTTCAGATTGATCTCTGCATTCTTGCATGTGTAATGAGCCGTGAATTCGCACACGAGGCAGTTATGAAATTTCTACCAGCTCCATTTTCCTGAAATTGATGTAAATGTCTTCTAAGAAGCTTAATCCATTCAAAGATTTCCAATCTGACCAAATACAGAGAAGTTCTCGTAAAATATTCACTGCTCATTACGCATGCAGAAATGCCGCTTTGAATTTGACACCAGTTACGGGAACGACTAACGGATTCATTTTTCAAATAATCAATTCATTAATAGAATCTTGGGGGGTACGCTTGACTTGGTTTGACTGTAAGACTGATCTATAATTCTTTCGAGCTCTAGAGGCCAATATTATTATTTTTATTATACAAGCCAGCTAATTCATGACAGTTGATATACATTTGTCACTATGAGTAATGCATCAAAGCAAATGAAATTTGTCTTATCTGGTATATCTGCTGCATTGTGAGTTCCTAGACTGAACATAATTTCTCAGAATTTGTGGCAACCTATCGGAATTGAAAAGGACTCAGATTATTATGTTAAAATACCCTTTCTTTTGTTGCAATAAACTTGCATAGCTGTTGGCCATGTGAGTGAAACGCTCCATAGTTCCTTCAGTATAGTAGGTGATTGTCAATCAACCACTTTTACAACTGTTGCTGGTTTTTGTGGCGAGTGTGCTCAATTATTTTGCCTTGTTAAGATCTATTTTTGTTTGATTGATTTTTTTGAAGAAAGAACTTGTATCTGATAAGAGCTCATTTTTTGAATATGTGCATGTTTTCAGGTCAGACGAAATGCGACCCTTGTCCAACAAACACCTTTGCCATGATGGGTGCCTCAAAGTGTATCCCGTTACCTAAATGCACAAAGGATGACATCATTAGTGCCCCTGGAAACTTGAGTACATGTTCCTGTAACAACAATACTGGTGTGTGCACAACCACAGTACAAGAAAAGTTTGTCACCGTTACCTTAAAAGGTGAGTCAACTTACTGTAAATCCTCTATTAAGCCCCCCCCCCGGGGGGGGGGGGGCTTATTTATTTCCTGCCCATTTGAGGTGGGGCTTTATAGAGACGGGGGGCTTATTTAATTTAGAATTGATGATGGTATCAGTTGTCCATAAAGAACTAGAATACAAAGTGGATAAGCTTGAGAACAAGAAGTTTTAGGTCATGCAGCCGAGGATGAGAATTTACAGTCGTGATTGATTTATAAAGTCTTAGTAAAAAATAATTAGGGGAGGGGATGGGGACTTAATAGAGAGGGGGGGCTTATTAACTTTCGTCCCCTAAAACGGGGGGCTTAATAGAGGATTTAGGGTAATACACAAATTTTGTGGGTTTTTTTAAATTGTTCATACAGATGGCAGCCTGAGAAAACCACTACTTGTTTTGTTGCAAAATGATGTCTGAGAAATGAGCGCACAAATTCTACACTGATGATGCGTCACTTCCCAGATCTGGGTAATGCTTTTGTTTGGTTGAAGCAAATTTCCCTTGCGGAACGACCCATTAGAAGCACTACGGAGATCTGAATAGTGATGTGTCATCAGTATGTAATTTCTTCACTTGTTTCTTATATATCAATTCATGGTCAAACCAGTGATGGCATCGCAGAATGTTGGCTGTTTTCTCGGGCTGGATGTGGCATGGGTAATTGTTTAGAGCACTAGACTTGTAATCCGGAGACCACACTTTCAAGTCCTGGCCAGATTGCTAGCTGACATTGATCTCAGTAGTTGCAAGTTGAAATCCTTTCTGCCCTACTTATAATTAGCTAACTGGTTTTCCAAAACAATATGATGTAAGTAACAATTCTTAGAGAAATTAAAAAATGCTTCATGCTCAGTCTCTTGCGAATAAATTATTTCCTCTATCATAGTTTAGAATAGTTATGAAGCCCGACAGACTTCTTTGTTTTATGTTTTCGTTAGCTTTTTTAGATTTGACCATGCACAACCTTCAGTAACATTCCTATCATTTTGAACTTACTGACCAACAGAAACATTGCATTAATTTATTCAGTCACAGTTTGTGAACACGAAACAAAGGATTGTACACTGTCAGGGAGCTTCCAACATAAACTGCAGCACTGTTGTTTTCATCTTTGATGGTTGCTGGCTTTTATAACCAGTCTGCTCTACTAACTATGTCTTCATGTGTTATTTTGAAATGATTGTTAGAACTGTTTCTGGGTGTTAAAGAGACGGGGGGGCAGAATGGGACACTAGAATACCCGAGGGGAGGGCCCTTGAAGCAAAAAATGGGAACCCAACCAATAACCATGCTATATTGTGCTGACTGGATTTTTTAACCTGGTCATGGAGAAGCTTGGGTTTCTCGACCATGGAGGAAAAAATTAATACTGATTTAACGGAAACCGCAACATACTGCGTGCCATTTCCAGAGTACAGGGAAGGGATAACTTACCCTTTGACCAATCCCTAATTAATATTATAAGCAGTCTGCCATTTTTCCGTATAAATGACTGCCACGAAGAGTGACAGTTGTGTTGTCACCTCCTATGTGAATTGGGCAGGATCCTTTATCTGTTATCCTGCAAGCAAGCTCTCTGGGGGGGCGTTGGTGGTGGGGCAAGAAAGGAGAGCACCCCACCACCAGAACACCTCAGAGAGCTAGCTTGCTCGCACTGACGCTATTTATCCGTACAGTATGTGGTCCTTGGTCCGCGCAAGTCTGCGATGCCCTTGGTCCGCACCGAAAATGATAAAATATTTCGTCGAGAAAAAAAATACGTTGAATAATGAAAGATATCGTGATTTACTGATTAGCATTCTTTCATGTGACGAAGTTTCGGCTTTCTTGCTGCGGGTGAAGGCGCGAAATTAAAGGTTGTTGACAGGTAGGTTAATTTGTCTTTCTTGAAGTTTGGATTTTTGCGGCACCGTAAATTACATGAACATGTTTACTTAGCCTGCGAATAAATAAAACGCAACGGGAAGACGTGCCTTTTGCAGAACAGGTTTTCAGATCAACTTTTTTTCTGCTGTTGGAAGCATATTGCTGTAGACTCTGAATTTTTGTTTTATCGACTCTTGAAGAATATCACCAAATTTCGCTTGGCGGTCCTTGGTCCGCGACCTATGACCTGGTTGAATAAAACTTCGCAAAATAAAAAGCGAAGTCCTTTGTTTTCGAAGAATGTTTTGAAAATCGTCCCTATACATGTCTACAAGTTCTCTTTTTTAATACCTCGAATACATGCAGAGTTTTTGGTAATTATTTTCGACCGCGCTGAAAGCCGCTCGCGACGCTCGTGTGGGAGACTCGAGGAGACTGTTGTTTGAAGTCTTTGAAAGAAGAGCAGATTATTTTATACTCACAACATCTTCCGAAAAAAACCTTTAACTTAATTGCATCAAGAAAAGAAAAAAAATACATGAAATTTGTGAAAATGACATTTTCATGTGGAAACTATAACATTTTTACGTTTTTTTCGTGCTGCTTACATGAGACGCGGACCAAGGACCACCAAGGACCATCGAAAACGGTCGCCTTTTTTCGAACTCCAAGCAAAATATTTATGTCTGGAACTTGAAACTTCAGGATTATCGAGAAGAACGTAAAAGCTATCTTCAGGGAGTATTTCAGCTCGTTACGTGAAGATTCGGGTAAGATATTCCAGTTAATGACTTTTAGACGCAGACCAAGGACCACATACTGTATATGGACGCAGTGTATGTTAGAGTCTTTATTAACAAAATCTCTTGAATTATTAAATAGATGGAAAAGCACCAAAGATTCTTTGCAACCGACAAAATACTACGATAACTCCTTCATCGAAGACAGTGCAGTGTCGTTGTCAACCTGGATTTGAGATTTTTCGAGGCAAGGATGGACAAATTCAGTGCAAACCGTGTTCAAAGGGGAGGTTTTCTACTGGTGTGAAATGTGCTACATGCAAAGTTGGTCATATAGCCTTGCCAGGCAAGCACTATTTTTTGTGGAGGAATGACACATTACCGGAAGGCTTCTCTGCTTCTTGTTCCGGTGACTGTACTATTGAGGTTTGTCAAATATTGAGAAGTTCTTTAAAAACTATGTCGATTGTTTTCAAGATGGCGAGAAACACAGCTAGGTGCTCTCCTAACCCTTTAAGTCTCAATTGTGACGAACATCAATTTTCTCCTAACAATATCCATATGTTGCCAAGAGAAATAGTTATGAGAGTTAATAAAATGATCACTAAAGAGCAAATGCTTTGATCTGTTATCAAACTCTTTCTTTTAATTCTTGAAGGAAATGTATGGAGATCAGTATGGAGAATTTATATTTGGATATTGGGGCTTAATAGGGTTAATGGACTATAAGTAGTTCCTTAGGGATAGTAGAGCGAGCAGATGCACGAACGCGCGTGAAAATCGCCACCCTCGAAGAAGGTCCTCCCTCCACGTGTCATCCTCGCGGCTGGTCATTTCTCACGCATTCTCCTATTTTGCTCGAACTACTATTCCTCAGAAGAATGAGGAAGAACTTGACTGTTATAGGTAACTGTTATGTCTCCTGAGCGTTCTTACTAGGGACCTTACAAAACTACGACGGCGACGGCATCGGAACCTCAGAAAAGCAAAACAACAACTTTGCGCGTGCATCACGCTTTTTTGTCAATTTCTTTGCCTGCACAACTAAAAATGGTCAAATTTTAAGTTTACTTGAGAAGGGGAACGGCAAAGCGATAAATTCTACCATCTCTGTCTGAACTCGTGCGCGGTCTCATGCCTTCACTTCCAACCTAAATTCCCTTCTTTTAAGTAATAGGGCGACTTGGGATAATCGCGAAATAGTTTCAACGGATGTAAAGTCTATTAATAACAAGTTTTGAAAAACTGTTAAGTAGACTTGTTTTTAAAAGACCCAAGTGCACTTGATCTGGTGACAGGCTCATAATGGCTAAATTTGGCTGAATTCCGGGACTCAGCCTCTTTAGGTAATAGGAGACAGAACAGTCTGTCCGGTTTACAGTCAAGTCGCCCAAAATTTTATCATGCCCAGCAACATCCTAACATCTTAATCGCCCTTGTTTCGTTTCATCAAATCTTCAAGAACAAGATGTATTACTCATTTGCTTGTTTCATTCCATCAAGGCTAAAAGAATGAGATATGATACACATTCATCCCGCTTATTTCGTCTAACCATAGCATCATTGCTTGAAGAACGAGATTTGATTACACAATTGGCCTGCTTGTTTTGTCTCATGAGATATATTACGTACACTCCTTACAAAAATTTCGGGCGACTTTACTAAAAATTTCTAGCAATTTAACTTCGGGCGATTTGACCGGTTACCGTCTGGGTTCCCCATGTAAGGTTATCCATGGCAGTCTTGGATGCTGGATTCCAGATTCCTTGTCAGTGGAAAATTGTATTCTGGATTCCATGTCAATGGAACCTGGATTCAGAATTCCAATCATTAGCCGGATTCTGGATTCCTTGAGCTGGATTCCGGATTCCAGTGCCCAGGATTCTGGATTTCACAATCAAATACTTTCCAGATAAATTCCGGAATCTGGATTACCTTACGTAGCTGTTCCTGAAAAACGGACTTAATAATCTGAAATACCTTTTTTCTAGACTGGTTGGATTCCAGCTGGGGATCACATTCGCACAGAACGTGTTGTGGGTAATGTGCACTCTGAATTGAGGTCTCCTGAAGTAGAGGTGGATTCAGATTTAGCAAAGGTCGTCTTCAGCTGCTCAGTCCTGTGCAATTTGACCGGAGTGCCATCTAAACCCGTGAAAGGCGAGACTTTGGCTAAAATAGAGAACTGCAATCTCATATTTCAAGTGTGGAAGAATGGTTCTCTGAAGGATCAAGTAAACTGTACTCGTCCTAAAGGGAAGTATATTTATCGATATGAGAAGCGACGAGATGGTAATTATGTCATGCATGTTTATCCACTGGAGAAGGGAAGATATCAGTTCAGGTAACAGTTGACACCTTTTCAGAGGAGTTCACGCTCATAGTTGCATCATGGGTAATCAGGGCAAGATGGCGGGAAATTCAAAGATTTGTATTGGAATTCAAAGCCAGCTAATCCTTCCTGAATTGACATATTTGATGCTTTCTCTTTGAAAAGAGTAGCTTACGAGTTCAAAGAAACAATACACTAAATCTGGAGTGCAAAGAATACTATCGACTTTTCAAAGAGAAAGCAACAATTGTATGAATTCAGGAAGAATTAGCTGGCTATGAATTCCAATACAAATCATTGAATTTCCCGCCATCTTGCCCTGATTACCCATGATGCAACTATGAGCGTGAACTCCCCTATTTTAAGACGAGGACATTTCGAGAACGAGATTTTCTCAATACTAAGTAGTGCGCACGCGTGAACCAGCGTCATTTTGGCGGAAAATCGTGATAGCCATCGTCACTCTACTACGAGTTTTGCCGTAGTGGCGGAAACATGTCATCAAATGTTGGAAGTTTGATCAATATTTGCGATCGGGAGAATGCTAATAACTTTTCTGGCGAAAAAAGTACAATTTTTGGATTTTAATACTACTGAAACCGAAATGTTTAAGTTTAATGGCCTTTCTTTTGGTTACAGATGGACGTTCTACCAGCTAGACGATACTTTCTCCTCAGCATTTGAAGCGAAGGTATCCAACATAAGCATCCTTAGTGCAAAGTCTGGCGCGGCTCGCAACTGTACAGCATGCCCACCTGGATATCGTAGCACGCCAGACAACACTGACTGTAAAATTTGTCCAAATGGAACTAGCAGTTCAGCAGGTTCTGATAAATGCACTCCATGTCAAGGACAGACTTTTGCCGCACAGGTATACAGCTTCACGTTTGCTACAAGAGTCAGTGAGGGTTCAGTCACACACACTTTGTCGTTTTGTGGTTATAGCTTCTAAACAATGAACACTTTGTTATGAGTTGTGAGTAAGCCGGTCAGTCAGTCAGTTAATCAGTTAATCAGTCAGTCACTTTATCAGCCAACAGTCAGTGAGTCATACATGACTTTCATATATTCATAACTTCGTCAGTGAGTCAGTCAGTTAGTCAGTCTGTCAGGAAGGGAGACAGTCAGTTAGTCATTTAATTAGCCAACCAAGCAGTCAGTCAGTTTGACAGTCAGTCAGCTAGCCAGTCAGTCATTCAGGTTATCAGTCCCTCAGTCAGGCAGTCTAGTATGATGGTCAGGTAGTCAGTCAGTCAGCGAGCCAGCCAGCCAGTCAGTCATTCCTGGCGATATGAATGCTGGACAGTAATCAAATGGAAACGTGACCCACCATAACGCATCTGTCATACACCACGTAGTAACCTCATTTTGAAATTATTCTCGGAGATCGATTTACATTGAGTTATTCCTTGTGTCTTGATGCCTGAGCTAAAGTGTTTTGTTTGTTTGTTTAGAAGGGTAGTGAAGAATGTCTTCCTTGTGGAAGCAATACAAAAGTTCTACCAAACAAAGATGGCTGTGACACAAACGGATGTAAATTCAGTCCCGCACCTGGTGTAGATTATGACCTCTCTGCGCTTTCCCGTCCCGGCGGATCAATGATTAAAGTCAATTTACCAGGACTACACCCATGGGGTCGAAGGTAAATTCCTTTCCTTCCCTCATCGTCTCACCCAGAGTATTTAAGGGTTGTATTTGTTACGACCAAGAGGGGGTCGGAAAAGTTGTGGAGGAAGGTGTCTCCAGTCATTACTGCTGTTTGTGATTGGCTCAAAGCCCTCAACTCATTCTTCACAACCAACCGGCATTGACCAAATTTGGAAGATGCGAGCAGTTAATGGTATATTGGAGTGGAAACGAGGTTGATCAATGGATATATTTTCCTGGAAACGAGGCTGAAGGGGAATAGACCATCGATCAACCTCTTTTCAAGGTGCGGCCGCCTAGCCGTTTATTCACGAGTGAACTAAGGAAATTGCGTTCACGGCTATGCAAAGACGAAATAGCTAAATTTCGAACCAGAGATTTCGGAAAAAATAATCTGAACGAAAGAAATGCAAGATTACGCAAAACATATTGTTCGATGGATGTTATGTACTTTTTGAGGAGTATCTGCAAGAAAAAAAATGTTTGTATCTTGAAACCGTACCGAGGAATAGGCAAAACCTTAGAAGAAAGTCTTCGAGGATATAAGCTAAGATCTTCGAAATCTTTTGAATGAATAATAAAACAATTATTGAATTCGGCATTCATATGATGTGAGGAATCATGTTATCCACCTCAGGGTAACAACCGGTTTCGCTACTTGTCGAATTCTCTACGTCTTAGTTCGCAACAAATTCGCTACATATTACTTTCTATAAACCACTGAAAATATTCCCTTAGTCGCTTTAGAAAAAAATCTTTTAGTGTATTTCTTGCAGTTTCGGGCTTTGTTATAGGCAGCGAGACGAATATGTACGTGGGCCTCGGCACATCCAAAGGACAAGACTCAAACGAACTCGAACGTAGCGAAGTTGTGAAGTAGCGAAACCGTTGTAAAGCCACCTCGGCCTTCAGCCTTGGTGGAGAACAGTCTCCTGGATCTTCATAATAGACCCTCCCTCTGTTTATTCAACTTTTGATATGCACCAGTTAAGGAAAACCGTCGATACTACTGGAAAGATTGCCTTGAAATTAATTTTATTGCCAATTTCAAAGTGATACGTCTAAAGCGTTCGAAGATATAATAGCTCCGCTAGGTTGTGAAAATTTACAGATGTTTGTATGGTGGGGGACAAGTTTGTGCCCCCACCCCTCTCCCCCGACCCCCACCACACCATACATACGTCGGTAAAATTTGGATCATTATACCCTAACCCTAACCCTGGGAAAACTGCCCACCTACCCCTCCCCTAAGCCACATTAACACTTCTCACTTAGGGCAAAATGTTGGCATAGGGGAGGGGTAGGTGGACAGTTTCCCAGAAACGTATAATCATCCAAATTTTACAAAAATCCAATTTTTTTTTACAATTTTGCGAGTTTCGGGAGCTATTTCTTCATTAGTTTTCACCAAATCACTTTCAAACTTGGCAATTTTATTAATTTTAGGGTGCTCTTTTCAGAGGTGTCGACGGATTTTCCTTAACTTGTCCACGTCAAAACTTGAAAACTTTTGCTAATTATCATTGTTTTCTTGTTATTGCTTTCTTTCTTTAGGAGGTTCAGCTATGGCTTTATATATTTTTACAGTTCAGAATATTATTTCAACCTTTGTACCGTTGATCATGACAATAGCTCGTGCACATCTCGTGACTGGATCAGCGGAAAAAGAGTTCCCCTTCCCGTGATGGCTTGCAGGTCTTGGTACAATGACATAAGCATTGGGTCCGTGATTGGCTACAAACGAAAACAGGATATCCGCTCTGGCTTGATTGTGGAGTTGCTTCACGGTGACAAATGTTTCTCTGGAGGTGAGTGCAGCCAACGAGTTGTTAACAAGTTGTAAGAAACAGTAACAGATTGAAAATTGAACACAATAGAGGAGAGAAGTCGTTACGTCATGGTGCCATGGCAGCAAAATTTCTGGATCTCAACAAACAGAAAATTTTAATTCGCATTGTTTTAAACTTCATGGTTCCTTGTCAATTTCTTTCGATTTGTCAAATGTTGGAGAAATTTTCTCGGGTTGAATCCGAAAAGACTGAATCTAAGTTTAGAAATAGAGAAAGAAAATTGTTGTCTCGTGTTCACGTACTCCATCAAGCGGGGGCTGTGAAATTAGGATGTTCCATGTCGCAGTCGTGCAACGACGGCTTAGAAATGTACAAAAAAAAGCGTGGTACCCGTGCAACTACTGTAAACATACCGTAAAATTCCGAAAATAAGCCCCTCCATGTATAAGTCCCTCCAAATATAAGCCCCCCGGGGGCTTGTATTTGGAAAAATGCCCTCAAATACAAAGTAAAACAAAGCAAAAACGGTAAATTTACTTCCAACTATACGGCTAGCCTAATCGATTTTGAAACGCAAATTTCCCTCCGTAGATAAGCCCCTCCGAATATAAGCCTCTCAAAAAGGGCCTTTGAAAAATATAAGCCCTTGGGCTTATTTTCGGAATTTTACGGTATTGCTTTTTTGCCGTTCTCGTTGCCGTCGCCGTCGTCCTTGCTTAAGCTCCCTATTGTTGTGATCCAGAAATTTTGCTACCATGGTAACGTGATATCCCCTCGCCTCTTTATAACAAAAGTTAGCTACAAATGCATTCGTCCTCCATTACAATCCTATAATGCAGTTCGAAACAACACCGACTTTGTCCCAGGCTATGTGCAGACGACACTCTCCGAATTTTTGATCGGTTGAAAATTCGTGCGTTTCAGGGCTCGAAATTGCGACTCACTGGTCGCCAATGCGACCAAAAATTGAGCACTGGCGACTAAATTTTCAGAACTGGTCGCCAGCTGGCGACTCGCGTTTTGTCCGATGACTAAAGAAAACCACGACACAACTTTTGTTTTTAAATCTTTATATTTGGAAATCAATCGGATATGGTAGCTAGTATACAACTCACCTTTCCGTCCCCAGTAAAATAATGTCTGAATATTACAAGATAATCGAAAAAATGGAATGTATTTCGACACGTCGATACTGCGTTCAGGGCGCGCCATATTGTTTCAGCGGCTTCTTCCGAAACTGGGGTCGCAGGCGCACTTCAACAACAAAAATGGTGGCAGATACGGTGCCTCCGTAACTCCCGCAACATTTTAGGTTTTATTTTCCTAAAACGTTCTGTCTAAAGGGAAACGAAGACCCAAAAACTGCACTAAGCCCATTTTTGTTTCCTCCCGGTCGGAGACTGGTACGAGCAATGTGGTTGTGTAGAGGCCTGGGCCAAGCATGGCGTTGTTTGTCGGCAGCGAAAGGCGTTGAGGAAAGCAAGTCGAAAATATAGAACGGCATTTCGTAGAAGTAGCAAAGGGCAAATACACAAGGACCCGTGTTTGTCTCAGAATGAAAACCACGGACTTAAAACGTTTTATGCTTCGCTTCATTTAAAATGACTTTGGAGACAACCATCACCTTCGGACCAGAGACATATCACCTGAGAACAACGGTAGCTTTATAACTAAGTGTTACTCGTGTTGTTTCTAATTGTTTTCGCTCTTCAGTTGTGACTTTTCTTGCATGCAAAGTAACGTATAAAATCGTGTTCTTGTGTAAGTTATATATAAAATAAGTTGGCGACCAAAATTTACGATCTGGCGACCAAAATTTTTCCGTTAGTCGCCAGCTGGCTCCCGAACGAAAAAGTTAATTTCGAGCCCTGCCGTTTAGTTGTTGCTTTCACTCGGAACCACCATAACGGTATGAAAATGTAGACGCTAAGCCGTTCAATAGAGAGCTTTAGATTGACGACGAGTACCAGTGCGAGATTTAACTTAAAGTTTTTGCGCGTGTTCTAAAAAAAAACACCTCGGAAAGCTTCATTTTCCTTTTTCTCACGAAAACAGTTAGTATGGTTATTATACTGAAGGAGGTTAAGCCGTCTCCCGATAGAAAAATGATAAAACTTCTTACATTTGATAACTTGTTCCCGCCACTACACCTAAACTCGTAATAGAATAACGACTACCACATTTTCCCGCCAAAATGACGCTGGTTCACGGGCGCGCACTACTCAGTATTGAGAAAATCTCGTACTCGTAATTGTCCTCGTCTCAGAATCTAAAGCTCTCTAATGTTTCGTGTGAACAGAACGAAAATCTTGAACGGTGCAATGTGAACCAAGTGTGCGGTCGAAATTTCGTCTGATGCCCTGTGCACGTAGCTTCAGCCCTAACCTGGAAAATGGCCATTACACTTGTAAAAGGCGCGGAAGGAGAGTGGACACTTTGACACGTGCTGTTGTCAAGGTGACCGGCGCGACCAGTAATACCTGCGAGGATCTAACTAACGTGCTCTCGCAAAGAATAGGAAGCTTAAGCAACGGCGTCGTCGACGGCAACAAAAACGGCAAAAGCAATATATTTAGGTTAGTAAAAGAACAACTTTACATGTGCATCACGCTTTTTTGCCATTTCACATGTCTTTATCGATATCGCACAATTCCATTTTCACGTTTTATTGAGCTTGGATACTGTCCGTTGGAATTCAAGTTTTGCGTGGCGTTTTCGGTGCCGTCGGTCGCCGTCGTAGTTGCTTAAGCTGCACTATACCTTGATTGAAGATTCCTACCCTATCACCTCACCCGAACGGAACTGAAGGCGGACCTTAAGCGACACGTGTGCCAAAAATATTTATCATAGGACTTGAGCTATGATGTGTTTTTTGATTCTGTCTGAAGGAAACAATGGCCGATACAAAACAACTATTGACCTCAGATGTGACGTTACAGCTGGAGTGGGTCAGCCCGGAAGAGAGAGCAACTTCTCTTCAGTTCAACAGGGCTGTGACGTTCAATTTGTTTGGAAGTCCTTGTACGCATGCTCGAAATGCCGAGAACAAGACATTACACGTATTAAGGGAGAATGCATAAACGGAACCCGGAACGTCACGGTACTGCGTTCTATCCCATGCTGGGCACCTGATGAATCCCCCGGCGCTAATGTCACGACAGAAGAGTGTGTCACGCCAACTAAATTTGTCACGGTTACAGTCACGGCTACTGTTCTGGCTTTTAGAGAAAAGGTATCAAGCAAAGTAAACAAGATTTTGATTGGCGTGGGAGTAGTGGTGATTGTACTTTTATTGGGCGTGGCTTTGTTCTTTGTCTACAAGCATCGCACGATCAAGTATCGGTACTTGAATTGGATGGCACGTAATAAACCCATGAGTCGCCTTAAACAAGAAGATGACGAAGATCACTTTATCGAGGGTGACGAACTCGCTTACCCCTCGAATGATAAAGATGAGCCATTCCGGACCTGAACGAGACCCTGGTATACCACTCTAGTTCAAGTTTTTAATAGAAGGTAGAATAAACTGAAGAGTGCAAATACCGGTTAGCGTTCTTCAAATTTGTTTTCCTACTTCTCATGTTTTTGCAGCGACTTGTGCCCACAAAGCTTTCAATTCCCAATACCAACAAACAATATACAGCTACTAAATTTTTGTCTTTGTAAATTTGTGATAGAATTTTCAAATACGGCGAGAAAATTTAGGTTGTTTCGTGTTTCTCTTGTCCTGTAAAGGGTGCCAGTAGAACGCGGGGCGGGGTTGGGGCTGGGGTCGGAGTCTTTCCTTTTTTAAAGAATGCTGTTAGGGTTGACCGTAATCCTAACCCTGGAGCTAAACGTAACTCTAAAAAAAGATAGACCCCCACTCTGACCCCGACCTCGCGTTTTACTGGCAACCTCTCGTAAAATTGATTTTACGATACGTAAGCTATGATTTGAGAGTTAACTGAGTTGCACAGTTGAAATTTCTCATATTTCCTTTTTTTAGTTTTTATTTTTTGGCTAAACGGACAGAGCCAAGTGTCTGCATTTCATAGGTGTCTATATCAAAGAGCTAGAGACGGTAAAGAACTTTATTTTTAAAGTATGTTTAATTTTTTTAGTACTGTATAATTAAGCAATTTTGAAAAATTTTTTACTATTTAAATTAGGTTTTAGTTTCAATTGCTTTTTACTGATTTGCCCTAAATAAAAACAGTTTTGTAACAATCCCTTTTGATTACAGTCATTCTTACAGTAGGCTACCAATAGAGTGTATTCACATGACGTCACGGCGGCCATATTGGTGTCCCAAAACAATGAAACGGCGGCCATGTTCGTGTCCCAAACCAATCGTCTGGGAGTTGAACTTTTTTCTTATACAAACGCTTTCTTTTGTTGCAATAAATTTGCATAGATGCTGGTCACGTGAGTGAAAACACTCTATAGTTTGCCGTGTGGTTTTTCTAGCTCATCGACTGAAACGCGCTCCGACCGAAATTTTTCTACAAATCTGCGTTATGGGCGTGTCTCAAATAAACCCTCCTTGTTAAATTAATTGCAACCTCAGAGAGGTGCTAAATAAAGTTGAGTTACAAGTAGTTCTTAATGGTTTTTTAGCTTGACACCCTCGCAAGCCTCTAACAGGTACTAGGGACTTTAAGATCCAACGACGCGACGGCGACAAGAACGTCGCTAAAAAAGTGAATTTCCGTTCTTTCAGTCTTTATAGCGATTATTCCTACCCACTTACTTTGTCAATTGTAGGCGAACTCTCCCGAAGTTGAATTTTCAAGGGACCAAATTCAAGCTCAGAAAGAGAAATAAATCGTCGTTGCTTGTCTTCGTCCTCCATAAAACGCGAAATTAGGCATTTTTACGTCGTAGTCGTGCAAAAACGGGAAAGAAATGTACAAAAAAGTGTGATGCACGTGCGAAGTTGTTGTTTTGCTAATTAAACCAATTGCTTTTTTGACGTTCTCGTTGTTGTCCTCGTCGTTGCATCTTAAGTACACGTTTGTCGGGAGGTGCGTGCGTTGCGCACCAGTAAGGTGTTTTGTTCCCTAGTGTGACTGACGGCCAGCGTGGAAGATATTTGAAGGAGAGCGGATGAATAAAGGCTTGCGATAGTGTGTTGGGCGCGGGACGAACCTTCATTTCCTTCTTTCTTCTCGCGCTTCTCTTTGTTTACTCGCGCACCTTGATCTCCCCTTTGCCTTTTCGGATCATTTCACGTTTCTGGGAAACTGCCCACCTACCCCTCCCCAAAGCCAACATTTTGCCTTAAGAGAGCGTCCATCTGAAAACCATGCAGAGTGGTCTACAAACCATCTCTCCGATTCCCTTCATATTTGGCACACTTATGCACCTTAACTAACTGACTTAGGATGTGGAACAGTTTAGCCCAAAATTCTATTGTTTTGGAGAAATGTCAATCAAACGGTTTAACGGTTAAATGGACTAAAATTTCATGCAGAAATGACCTCTTGTTTGATCACCTCGTGCACGCAAAATAATCAACCAAATGAAATGATTTTTTTTTCGAAGGATTGCTTGCACCCTAAACATAAGAAAAATGGTCACTTAACTATTCAATTCTGTTTCGTCTTAGTAAGAGAAAAACTTAAATAAATCAAGTAAAACTGACACCAGTGAAGTATGGTCTCAAAAGCGACTCTTTAAAGAAATGCGGCGCTGTTTTAATAAAGTTTAAAGCCATCTTGAGTTAATCAGAGAAACATTCTTACGATATGTGGCAAAAAATCTTTGTAAAGTTACTATTTATTACTGTTATTTGCATTCCGAAAGTGACCATTATTTTAACGCTAATGCAAATGAGGCCAACCATAAAATCTTGATTTAGCTGATATTTATCAACTTTATCCGACGGGTGACAGAAAAATACTTTTATTGACATTATTACATTAAAATAATCCCGTGTCGCTTAAAACAAATTGTGTTTATGTAAAAATTCGGGTTAGTTCACCTTGCGATACAATGTAATTTTGACCAAAACACACCTAAACTGAGATTATGGCAACACTAACAAATGACTTGGATTTCTAAACACGAGCAGCTTACAGTTAAATCGAATAGGGCGATTTAGTGAATTTTTCTCTCACCTTCTTTTTTCAATATAAAACGCTCATGTTGTCGTCATAACCTCTAGCAATGAAACAGCAAAACAGACGTGATCAAAATAAAGATAAACGACAGGCCGTATAAACTAACAGATTTGATCCGCGGAATCAACTTCAGTCTACACTTCTGCCTTTGTTTACCAGGTACTTGAATAAAAATGAGCATAAGTCTTCTTTTTGTCCTGAGTTGAAACGAAGCTATAGATTTTGTTCTGAAGAGAAACTAGCAAAACGTTTGACCAGAACAACAGAAGGAAATGTTGCGTGACGTTTGACGTGTGGTGACTGCAGGTGCAGATCACATGATATCAGATTTAACACTTTCGATCCTGATGGCTGAGTGTTCTTTTAAGTGTTATTCTAGTAAAGAATGCGGTGTGTCCAGACGATACTCTGCACAAACAGCCATTGTGCCATTAAAAACGTGTACAAAAGACGTTTTACCTCACCTGAGAGGTTGCTACAAAACAACGGCTAAAGGAGTAGATTTTGAGTGGAGACTCTGCCTCTACCGAGCAGGACTCTTCCAGGAAGACGGAGATTGTTTAACTATTTGTCCCTTACACAGAGATGAGTTCGGATTAGGCTGGCGACCAAGCAAAGCATGCAAATATCCACTGCATGACAGCAAACAAAAACCGACCAGAGGAATTACTAAACGTTTATCGGAAGAAATATATCAGAAATGGAATGTGTTGTGTCAAATCGGACAAGGTTAGCTCATATTTAGTTTATTTGACATTGTTTAATTTAAAGACTAAGTTCGTAAAAAATCTCACTTCCTTCTTCGGATCTTTTAGGTATTTGCATGAAATGTTTGGACATGCACTCGAAGTTTGGACCATCTACGAGTTCGACATGTCAGGTAAGTACACATTACGTCATGATAAACCTTACGACAACTTGATCGTGGTTTTACGTATATTTACATAAACTATTACGGCAGTAAAGTCAGTAACAAAAAATGGTTTATTAGTTGGATTAAAAAAGGTTTCTATTAGAGAGCCATGCAGGTGTATCAGCTTTGGCCGCTTAGAATGTAAGTCTCTTTCTTGTTCCACCACGCCCTTTTGCTTAACGCCGCGGGGGACAATGAAAACTCGTTTATGTAATTTTCCCGGTTGTCCCGGGAAAGAGGGTTACTCTTCCTGCCAAGTCAACTTAAGCGAGCGTTGTTAAGGAAAAAAAAAACAGACAAACCAAAAATAAGACACAAGACACGAGCCAAAAAGGGCTTATATATCAGGGTGATTGTCTCCTCTTGACGGAATCGACACCACTAGGCGCGTAACCCTTTCTGCTTAGTCAAATTTTTGATTCGCATTTAAAGGGTTGGCCATGTTTTGTAAGGAAACCTAGGAACAGTTGGCTCGCCCATGGTAACTCGGCGTTTAAAACTTCTACCCAAGGAACGTTTCCACCATATAAACAGGGAACGTAGGTAAATTTATAACATAGGCAACAATCAATTTAATTGAATTGAAATTCGGGAAACTATAAGAAAAGAGTGCTCCTTAAACAAGATAAAATTTAGCTATAAAATAAACACTTATAAATCAATGCAAAGGGCTTGGCATATAAAAAGTGTAAGGGGCAAAAACAGAAGAAAGGTGACACTTTTTCTTTTTCTCTATACAAAACGAAATTGGTAAAGAATATAAGAAAGCCAGAAAGTGAAGTGTTTGAGGATGACATCGCTGAGGAACTTGAAACCAGTTTGTCCAGACCAAGACGTGTGCAGGTGGGTAGTGTCAGGTGCATGTACTATACTCTGTTATTTTAATACAGAGAGCCCAAAAAAGTGATGATGATCAAGTGATGCGCTCCCTGCATGTGGAATTGACTTGTTCATGAAAAATCTAAACCGAAATTCATCGTTAGTGTTGCGGACACCTGCGCGTCACGACAAAGGGCTAAATTTTATTTCTTTTTTAAGGTTCAACCAGGAGAATACTATAGACTGGAGAGTCACCTTGATGATATCATGACTCCAATTCCTGCATTGATGCGATCGCTATGTCTAGATGAAGAAGAGGAAGAAGAATACCTTCCAACACCTACACCAAATCGCGGGCTGGAAGTTCTAAATCAGCATATTGAAAGATTAAGCGCTGGAAGAATTAGTCCGGTGCGCTTTCAACTCACGCAGCCAATTCAAGATGTCGCCAGAGGCACGCGCTCCTACATAAGACGCAAGTCAAAAGAACTAGTAGGAACAACACTAGAATGTATTGCACCAGGGCAGTCTAATGAACTTCTTGCATTGGTCGCAAATCCAACGCCAATAGATCCTGAACCAGTAAACAACATTATGGCGACCCTGCTTTCACTTTACGAAGGCGCGACATCTTGGTATACAAAAATGACAATCTTGTCTATTTTTGCGCAGCACTACACTAAAACGCAACTGAAAGACCTGGTTCCAGGCCTCACAACTTGGCGAATTGATCAAGCAAGAAAGCATGCTGTGGTTGTTGGTGCAGGCCATTCTGAAGTTAGAGAACCCGTGATGCGTTATCGTCTTGAAGGAGAGAAAGTCGACCACTTCCTAGATTTTATAAGTAGCCCTCACTACCTTCAGGATGTAGCCTATGGTACAAGGAAGATAAAAATGTCATCTGGAGAATGTTTGGAGATACCTGACTTAGTGCGCACTGTCATTAGTTCCAGAATGGTCAAACTATATCAGTTGTATTGCAGTGAAGTTGGCTTTCAACCTCTTGGTAGATCGACCCTATTTTCTATCCTTAAGGTAAAGAAAAAAATAACTAGAGTAGTCTAAACTGTTAACTGTGATTTTGCTCAGAATTAACAAGAGTGTAAAATAGCGGCTGCAAGTACTCTAGACTCTTTGGTTGTGGGAAGCAGGATAAAAAGCCACGTTATGTAGTGATGTGTTACCAAATTTTTTCTTTCACAGATATGTGCAGCTTCCCAGAAAAAGTCCCTTGCCGGCCTTGATAACGTCACAAGCGAAGGTGCATCAGCATTTGATACATTGGAAAAGGTTGTAAAAACTATGACATCTCTAGGTACGCTTAAGGTGATTCATTAGTAATAGAACCTAACATAGATTGTAGATGAAACTTGGTACACTGATTGAACAAGTCAAGAAGATGGTAAAAAAGTAATAAAAAGTGGAGGTCACCGTGCTCGTTTTGACGTGAAAATGATGACAAATACGGCTATTTGGGAGCATTTACAAAAACCGCGGGCAGCCAAAACTACACAAAAAGGAGAGATTTTTTCGATGATGCTTGTGGTATCCCACAGAATTTGACTTTAATGTACGGTTTATCCACTTACGTACCAGAAAAATGCCTTTTAATGCCCTTGTTTTTACTTTACGCTCTAAAGTGGAATTAAATTAGACACGCGCTATTCGACCCTTGATAGCTCAATCGGTACAATTTAGTAAAATTGCCAAAAAACTGAACATAGATTTGTGCCAATTTTTTTCTCATCGAAAGGAAGCACTGTCCTTATTAAAATTATGAAATAAAAAATGGGGGTCACCGTACTCGTTTTTGCGGTAGAGTTGCAGAAAGTGCGTACCAAATGCATTTTCTCCGATTTTTGGACTGGGGCGAGTTTCAAATAGAATGCATGGTAAAGGGGGAAGAAGGTATTAAAAAATCCGTTTTTACAGAATTTACATCGAGATATTACATTTAGGACACAATGTGATAAAGAAAGCGTTTAAATGAAAATCAAAGTGAGTAAGCACAAGTTAAACATCCACTATCGAGGTTCTCCGTGAGGAAGTCGAACTCATTAACAGGCGTACTGCTTACGTTATGCACATTCCCAACACATTGAGTCTTTCCTGGACAAGAAACAACAGCAAGTAAAAATTCCAATAGCGTTTCTCTTCAGTCGACTTCATTTTAATAATGTTACTTCACATGCTCTTTTTTACGGAGGCCATCTTGTTATGCGCAGTAAGAGGTGCGCAATGTAAAACTAGGGAATCACCTTAACCTACAACCTGTAAGTTAGTAACCAACCCCACCGTCTATTCTGCTTTTATGCCCTATTTAATTTTTGATCGCTTGTAGATGACTTTGCTAGGTGAGATTTAGAGTATAAGCCGATTTATTTGTACTTGCTGTAGGTTCATCTCTCCAGTGGGCTGATAACGTTAGACAAAGGGTACGAGCAGCTAAACGATACTTAAAAGCTGATTACAAACTTCATGTGTTGGAGGAAAGTCCCTGTGCTGATCACTGTATACGATTCGCCCTATCATCCGATGATGTCCAGTACAAAACGGCCTGTGACCATGAACACACTATGCAGTATGATCGATGTTTAGACTGTGCTAACGTCGCTCACGACATCATTGCTGGACTAGACAGTGGTGATATTTCGTTTAGGTAAAAAATACAGTTGCATACTATTAGACATATGCCAAATATTTATGACTTTAAGGAAAACGCGACCCGCGCTTTTTGTTGCAAACATTAAGGTTGGTACCTTTGTCCCTAGCGTCTGTTACACGGGAAAAAAGAAACAACGACATCAAGAACAAACAAACAAAAAAGTAGAAGTTTGTCGCTTACGACAAGTGCCTTAACCTTTGTCTAAGGCTTTCTTCATTGTACGATATATTGTTAACAGCCAATGCACAACACAAGTGAAAAAGCGCGAACAATTAGTATTCATTCCCTTTCCATTCTTCCCTGTACTCATCTCTCTTGGTGAAATCTCTAAAAGAGCATTTTCTGTAACGTTGTCATTATTTCAAAATCAATTTTTTTTTCAGTTACCAGGAACAGAAAGAAGAGCTCAAATATGACATCGAGAAAGCCACTGAAAGAATTATGGACTGGAAATCGCACATAGTGAGAGCTACCAATCAAGAAAAAGCCAAAATAAACATTCTTGATAATCTTACTGAGCGGCAGGTGCTAGTGGTGATGGATTGAGCCATGAAATGGCTCCCAAGAAGCTACAGAGAAACCCAGGCAGAATGGTTTGGGAAAAAAGGAGTCAGTTGGCATGTGTCGGCCTGCATAACAAGACCTGATAACGAGGAAGCGGAGTTTGACGTAAACAAATTTGCTTTCTGATTCTAATTATCTTTAAACTTGAAAGCACGTCACTTGAATTGATTTGTCAGAAAAAAATCAGTTTCATTCCTTACGAACAAGCCATAAACGCACGTGTAATGCTTTTTTTTTTTCGTGCTAGCTGCTCTATAGAGGCATAGTTTTTGCGGAAGATGAAGTGAAAGATACATATTTTTTGCCCCAGTCCGTTGGAGTGCATGTAAAACAAACAGACATGTGCTCCGTATGTGGACGGAAACGCAGATCTAGTGAAGTGTTGTACGTGAGACAACGGGAATCAATGGCAGATCTAGGGGGAGGCTGGGTCCCTGGGGGACTCGGGCAACCACCTTCTTCTTAGGTCAAACTGAGGCCGCAAGGCCGACATGATATATAAGTTCTGGATAAGCAGAGACTCTCTGCTAAGTTGAAGGTGTGAATCCGCTAGTGAAAATACAGGTCCACTCAGGTTTAAGTTTGAACCGTGGGCGCATGTTTCCCCCACCCAGGCTTATAAATATACCGCTGGTTACATGTAACTTTTCATGGATTAGCACCCCGTTTAGAGGAGAGCGAGAGAGAATTTATGTCATTTCACTCGGAAATATGACAAGATCGGGGTTCCTGGGTCGTGAGCCGGGAGAGCAATGAAGGCGTTTGTAATCGATAGGCTACAGTTAGCGTTACATTAAAAATTTTTAATGGTCATTTTGTTACAATCTTTTTGTATTTTTTTCTTTCCAAAGGTTCGGACTTTCGTTCACATTCTTGATAAAGGCAACCAAGATTGGTTTGCAGTCTTATCAATTCTGGAAGACCTTGTTCATCAGCTTAAGCGGTTGTCCCCACTTCTGAAAGAACTATTTTTACGAAGTGACAACGCTGGCTGCTACCACAACGCTGCGTTACTTATCAGTGCGCCAACCATTACAAGAACAGGGGGGTTGGCGCTTAAGAATTACAGCTTCAGTGAGGCGAACAGCGGGAAAGATGTCTGCGACAGAAAGATCGCACCCCTCAAAGCACACATCGGAAGATATCTCAATGAAGGTGACAAATAGTTTCAGGGCTATTAAAAATTAATAAGAGGCTGTAAAAATAGTAAAGTTATTTGCATTTCCGAAGACCACAAAAAGTCCGACGAGCAACAAAAAACGTTTTGCGTTTTAATTGGCCCGCCAACGGTTCACAGCACCCTTCTTTTCACAGTTTTTTACGGATAATTCTGTCTTGTTTTAGGTCACGATGTTATAACAGCGCGTCAATTAAAGGAAGCTATTGACTCCTATGGGGGAATAAAGGGCTGTCGAGCATCAGTGATTGAATTAGACACAAGAAAGCAAACAACTAACGCGCCCAAGTTAAGTGGTATTAGCCAGTTAAACAACTTCGAATATACTGAAGATGGTGGAATGACTGTCTCGAAGGCGTTTAAAGTTGGAGAAGGTAGGAAAATTTCCAAACAAGAGCTTGCTAAGGTGGGCCAGCCACAGAGTGAGACAGGGGTGAAAGTAATATTGCCTTTTTGTGATCCAGTTAACGCTACCGGGTTGTTAAAGAAAGCTTCGACGCGGCCGCCTGGTGACCAAGCCAAACAGACCGTCGTTTCTCCTACAAATGACGAGGGCATTCCTTGGTTCACTTGCCCCGAACAGGGCTGTATCAAGACGTTCAGAACAAATCAAACCCTTCAGAGACACTTGGACTTTGGCCGCCATGAGATTAAACTCCACGAAGAGTCACAATATGACCAGATCAGACACAAATGGGCTGAGCATTGCTCAAGTTTGAAACCACAAAATCCCTCCTGTGCCTTAACGGCCAGTTCGTCCTTTGGAGTAACGGAAGAAAATGTTTTGTCTATGGGGTGGGCGCAGACTAAATCAAAGGGAAGAAGCAGGTTTTCTGTTAAAGTTAAGAACTATCTGCTCGAGCAGTTCATGATTGGTGAAGAAACTGGTCGGAAAGTCACCCCTGCCGAAGCTTCAGCACGAATGCGCACAGTACGTACCGAGGAGGGAGCTCGGATATTTGGCAAAGACGAGTGGCTCACTCCCAAGCAAGTTAATAGCTATTTTTCGAGGTTGGCTGCAATGAAAAAAATCGATCAGCAACCAGCAGCATTGGTTAGTCTCGAAGAAGAAGATGCTGAGGCAATAGTCGAGCGTTCAAAAAGATACCACCTGCGCAGAAGGGTTCTCAACCAGCTAACGTTCTAAATTCAGTCTACCAGTCACTGTTTGTATCTTACTACACTGTCCAACTTATGTGAAACTGATTATTTCTGTATTGTTAGAAAAATTAAATCAGACTTAAGCTTGTAAATAGGCGAATATTCGCTTTTGAAAGAGCGTAGGTTCATGTAGAAATTGCCCGCAAAAAAAGAGAGAGAGATGAGAGAAGTGGAGAGTGCGCAACCCTTGAACCATTTTCACCGCACGTTAATTGTTAATTGGGCTAAGGCTTAAAAACTTTCACAGAACTTGTGATAGCTTGACCTTGACAGCTCCCGTCATCAGATATGAAAGGACTGACTAATAGTTGCTCTCCACAGGTGTTGAGAGTGGTATTCATGTACATCGATAGCAATGAATCGCAATATATCTTAGATATATTGCCACTTTTCTAACATTATCGCTTTAGAATAGTCAACGATCTACTCTCCCAACCCTAGATTAGCACAATACATAGAGTTGCGATATAATAATAATAATAACTTTTTTTATACAGCGCTCATATAGCGCTCATATCCTGAGCTCATGGGGCTGATTCTGATTCTGTTATTCATAACAGAATCAGGGACATTATTGAGATGAACAATAGACGGGTAAATGTTTGACAAACACGAAAAATGTTGCATAAAAGATGGTGTTGTGAGATTTACGTAAGCGGAATAATACGTTCATATGGACTACAATAAAAATTACAGTTTTAATCAAGCAGGAATTTTTATTGGGTGGCGGTGTGTCAAAATGCCAGGCTATCATTAGCCTGCGATCGTGATTGCTGATCGCAGATTAGGCTGTCATCACTGTCTGGGAACCCATTCTACCATGCAGGCAGGTTCTGGCCGAGGAGCGACTGGGCACAAGTAGAACAAAATGGCGGCAAGTGTAATACCTGGTTCCTTGACCTCCATAATATTAATCTTTAGCCAAACTGGACATGAATGCAAGCCTTAAAGAACTGTGCGTGGATATACAATTGAAAAGGAAGACCGAACTATTGGAGAAAATTTCAAACTTTACGATTTTAGGTAATCAGACTTTCGAGTCTGGCTTGACTCCTCCCTCGATCAACGTCGGCAGGTATCTTGCACGTCAGTTTCCAAACTGCAGGACTTCGAACAGAGGCAGTATGTGGATGTAATTTATATATGAAGTTAATTTAGTAGTCAGTGATTTTGTATGAAGTCCCTAGATCTGTCTTTGTCCTTTACTCACCTTTATTTTTTTTCTATACTTGAAATGAAACCTGTTGTCTTCTGGTGTTATTCCCAACGCACACATAGCGAACTTTTGACCGTAAAAATTGTATGTGGCAATTAACTTTACACAGTTTTCTTCGCATATTCGCTTTGTATAATGGCAATAAAAAAAGATAAGTGTTATTTCAACTTTATAAACAACGCCGCAATTTCAATATTCAACGATAATTTTACCACAAAATCCTTACTGTCACACGTAGTCCAAAAAGGCTAATTTTTTAATTATGTCTACTACTAAAATACAAAACGCCTGGACTTAATTATACAATTACGGGAATAACAAGTCATTACTATATCTAACATGATGATTTGATCGGGAAATGGTCAATACATTAGTAGAAACTTTGGTGTGAAATTGGGTAAAAAATTTAACCCTTTTTGAATAATACCTGTCGTGGATCTTTTCGATCGCAATATCTTCTACAAGTTAAGGAATTTTGCAACAATATTGCACACATGGTTTTATCACCTCAATATGTAAACCTACCTAGAATATAAACAAAATCCGTTATGTTCACTGTAGACGGATTTTTTTATAATGCATGGTTTTCAGATGGACTCTCTCTTAAGTAAGAACTAAGTGTTAATGTTGGTTTAGCGGAGGGGTAGGTGTGCAGTTTGACAGAAACGTAAAATGTTCCGCCTTTTCATTCATAAATCAAGCGATTGCTACGCATGCCAGTGAGGTTCACCGAGTGCCTAGGAGGTGGAGTGCGGGGACAATTTTAGCCATGACTCGGAGGGTCTCAATGGGGTGGTGGCATTTACGGTTATCGGCTAAAATTTTGGCTCTTTTACGGCTATCGGTTATTTTTTTTCAGTTACGGTTAACTAGGAAATTAATTGTTTCAAAGAGTTAAATATTAATAAACCTGGATTGTTTTTTTTTTATCTTTAAAGCCAAATAAATGTCTTAGGATCATCTCGGGATGAAATAAGTTATTCTTCTGAAAATTTTTAATATTTCATAAATGATGCTTTTAGAGTATTCCACTTCTAATATCATTTTACGCATAGAAATGTTAACTATGAAAAAGTTTTTCATCTTTTGTATCTTGGCGTGATTTCCTTTTCTTCAGGGGCTACTGATTCGTCCTTCGCGTCGCTTAGTATTTGCTACCCTCTTTTCTCTTTACTACCACCATAGGGTCTTTACCCCACTGAAGAACAGATTGTACAACATGAACTAAAAAAGAACAAGCATACAGATTGAGACTCGAACATTTCTGTGACTCTCACATTTACAAGAGTCGGAGCCAAGCTGAGAAGTACGCGGCTTTGAAGATCTTTGCCACAGTTTTTTCATTCTCTTAAAATGACATGAACTCTTTGTTTAAAATAGAAACAAAAGGTTAAGCTATTGCCAGTCAACTAAAATTTTTTGTGAGCCATGAAAAGGACCATTCGTAATAACATAACAGTTTATTTGAAAAGAATCTGTAAAATCTTCTTGAAAAGCAAAACTAGCAGAAACGGGAACGTAAAGAGTCAAAGTAGCCGCGAAATAAGAAACACAACCGTTCTGCGTTCTTAGTGAGTTTAGCACGTTCCTCAAATTATCAAATCTAAGGAGCAAAATTTTTTTACAGTTAACTCTTTTTACCCTATTTACGGCTAACGGTTAAAATTTTTCAATTTTTACGGCTATCGACTAAATTTTGGACCGTTTTACGCCTATCGGTTAACCCCTTTGAGACCCTCATGAATGAACGTCCCAATAAATTGCTCTTGGATCTACGAGGATGCAACATCCAATGCCTGCAGTGCAGGATGTAGGTGTAATAATTCGAAGCGTGGACTAACAGGCGATTAGGCTTTGATTGGGCTGGATTGTGCTAGCATAAGTTTCACCCATTTTTCCAAAAAAAGAGCACTGCTGCATAATTTGCACTTGTTACGTAGTTACAGAAGTAAAGAGAAGCGTAATTTCTGCATGAGCATAATTTACATAACCTAGCATAATTATTGGCATAATCTTAGAAATATACGAGAACTGCTAGTAGTAGCATATTATGCTACTTTTGCGAGGACAATTTATCAGAACCAGCATGGGCAGGCGATATTCGGCTTATCCATAGTTTTCGCTCATCACAAGTTTGCAATTTGGAGGTCAAGGCTATAATAAGAGGTGAAGAAAGGCAAGAAAAATACTTACGACTCCTTGTCATTACTCAGTTCTCTCTTTTGTTTCTTGTTTGAAATGAAAAAAGAAAACAAATCGGGAAAGGGAAGACAAGAGTATGCGTATGGCGCTATGGCCCATGGAAAGAAAACAGCCTAACCCTACCCTACACAGTTTATTATTGTCCTTTGTTTGGAATCCCGTCATGCCAGGGGGAATATATCACGTACAAATTAAATAGGCTATTAATTCCGAATTGCCTCGAGCTTTTGTTTTAAAGCGACTATTGATATTTAGTAAAATTCAACGAGTGGTCTATTATCAATGCTGCGTTCTGATTGGTTGAGCTACCACTAGGCTTTATGTTATAGCCCACTAGTAGCGAAAAGCGCCGGATTTTTGGCGGCAAAAAAGGATTAAAGTCTTGCTTTAAGTTGTTTTGTCTCGATATTTTTGACCAACCAGCTGGATTTTACTAAAACAATTATTCCTCTCGCCCTCATGGCCTCTGAGTCAATAGCCCATTCGGCCTTCGGCCTCATGGGCTATTGACTCAGAGCCCATTCGGGCTCGCGGAATGATTGTTAAAAAAAATGATTTGTTTATAATTTAGGACCCCTCCCTCCAGACTCTGTGCGTGACGCCGTCGCTATAAATCGCGTTCCTGTTTCCGCAGTTCCAAGTTTGGCCTTCTAGGCCTTTTAGGCCTGATTTTGGCCTCTTTGGCCTTTCGAGGTAAAACAATAGAAATGAGGAGGAGGTGGAGGAGGAGGGGGAGGAGGATGAGGAGGAGGAGGAGGGAAAACAATAGAAATGTGGCGGTGGTGGTGGTGGTGGAGGGGAAACAATAGAAATGTGGCGGTGGTGGTGGTGGTGGTGGAGAGAAAACAATAAAAATGTGGAGGAGGAGGAGGGAAAACAATAACGAACCTACATTGACCCTACATCAACCCCACATCGACCCCACATCGACCCTACATCGACCCCACATCGACCCTACATCGACCCTATCAAAACAATCAAAATGAGGAGGTGAAGGAGGGAAAACAATAGAAGTGAGGAGGAGGAGGAGGAGGAGGAGGAGGAGGAGGAGGAGGAAGAGGAGGGAAAATAATAAAATTGTAGAGGAGGGAATAATAATATTGAGGAGGGAAAATAATGAAATTGAGGGAAAATATTAAAATTGTGGTGGAGGGGAATTAAAAACATTGAGGAAGGAAAATAATATAAATTGTGGAGGAGGGAATAAAAACATTGAGGAGGGAAAATAATAATATTGTAGAGAAGGGAAAAAGAAAAAAATTGAGGAGGGAAATAAAATTGAAAAGGGAGGGGTAGGTAAAACATTGTGCGCAGTGTAAAAAAAAGGATGGTTTGCTTTCCTTGACTATTTTAATAGATTTCTTTCAAATCGCTGTGTATTCGACTCTTTTTGTTTTAAACGGCATCTCGTGTCTGATTTTATTGCTAGCAATTATTAGTCGCGTGTTTAATCAATTGATCCATGTTAAGTTATTTGTTTTATAATAATACGTCAAGATGCTCCCTTGAGGTTTTTCCTGTAGAGCTAATTTGTATTCAACTTTGGGCTTGTGAATTCGCATAATTACCTAACTAACGGTGCGTGAAACGTTGAGACTTCAATAGTTTTTCATTTCCTCGAGATAGAACGGAGAAAACAGTTCTGTAATAGTCAGACAAAATTGAAATAGAGAGTTTTCAGCTTTCCTTTGTGTATGTTTTGTTTATATATCCGAGTTTAAGCGCTAAATAAGAAGACGTAAACTTTATTGAAGTAAAGACTTTTCAACTCCACTTCCTGTATTTCTCGCGTTGCTAGGTGATCGTTTCTCTTATTCCTATTTTTCTTTTAATAGACGGTCCGAAAACTGGGCTCAAGTTACTTCACGGGCAAGTCGAGGCAGAAAACCGGGCTCAAGTTACTTCACGGGCAAGTCGAGGCAGAAAACCGGGCTCAAGTTACTTCACGAGCAAGTCTAGGCAAGCCTATTGTTCCTATTGTAGTAGAGTGACGCTCATTAGTAAACCTATACCGAATTAGTATGCAGGAAGACCCTCATTAGTATGCAGGAAATCCAAATTAGTATGCAGGAAGACACTTATACATATTAATAAAGGGAATCCACTTTTTTGCGAGGGAATCCAAAGGGAATCCACCAACGGGGTTAATTTTGCTGAAGCATTACTACTAAGGTAACTTCTGCTTGCAGGGAATTAACAGAGGGAAGCACCTAGTCAATCTAAACAAGAAAAAACAGGCGCACGTTTCCATTTTTAACTTCCTCTTCTTACACGCTACAAAACAGCCTCATTATGAGCCAGCAGTGAATGTCCTTTCCAAGGGCAAGGGCAAGAGCTGGTGGGGGAGTAGGGAGGGCAAGGAAAAATTAAACTTAAATGTCCCTGAACCAGCCACGGCAACCAGGCCAGAGTCCTTGACTAAAATTGGGTTGTGGTCAGAAATAGGGTATAGTTTGGCCTGACACCGGATAGGGCTTTAGAAGACACAACTTTTAATAATTTTTCACCTGTTCCCGTTGGAAGTACACTCTTGCAGTTTGTTGTTCCTGTGACCTCAAAGCGGACGTCATTCCGGTACAGGATGTGCAAGTATTGAAGGACTTAAAGCTCTGCAGTCGGTGCGAAGCAGTATGGTTGCCCACAACTGTCACGGCAAAAACAAAATACCTCACGGCAAAACCAAAAACCTCACGGCAAAACCAAAAACCTCACGGCAAAACCAAATACTGCACAGCAAAAACAAAATAGCTTTGGTTTTGCCGTGGGTATTTGCTTCTGCCGTGAGGTATTTGGTTTCTGGCTGAATTTGCAATAATTTTTGTCTACAGACTTAACAAAAAATTAGCCGTAAAGTCACTTTGTATTATTAGTAAATAAAAATTTAGCCATTAATTAACGGCTAAATTTTGATTAACTATCTATACAAAAGAAAAATTTAGCCATTAATTAACGGCTAAATTTTACTATACTTTTTACTAACCAAGAATTTTGCTGTGAAGTATTTGGTTTTACTGTGAGGTCTTTAGTTTTGCAGTGAGGGTTTTGGTTTTGCCGTGAGGTATTTTGTTTTTGCCGTGAGGTTTTCGGTTTTGCCGTGAGGTATTTTGTTTTTGCCGTGAGGTTTTTGGTTTTGCCGTGACAGTTGTGGGCCACCGTCCAGCAGCGCCACATTTCATCTCGACACTTCGAAATAATGGCGCAACTTACCGGTCTCTGCGTTGTAATTTATCTCCTTTCCATCGCTTCGTCGTCACAGTCGCTGAATTGTACGAAGGATGACTATGTTCAACAAATTCTGCCTTGCGATCCTCGAACTTCTACTCGATCCGTGGTTTATTACCTGAACTCCTCTACATGGTAAGCGTTTTACATGTAGCAGTTGTTTCACTAAATCTTGACATGATGTAAGTATTACATGCTCAAATGATATTGGTTTAACATGCTTTGGGAAGGTTAGTATTTGGAGATCGTGCAGCCTTAAAAAAGCTAGCATGTCGATGCAGTTTTAACTATGGCGCTTCGCTGGCCCAACTCTCAAATGAAGTCGCAAACATTCCTAAATTGCTAAGATGTGCAATGTACAACTTTTCAAACAAGACCTTCTGTGATGTGAGCCGATCAATACGTCCAGCTTTCATGTTAAGGCAGTCAGTGTTAGCGTTGTTTTTGCTGTTTATAAATTTTTGCTGATGCGGCTTAAAATTAAGGTGATCCCATGCACTCAATATGACTCACCTGCATGTGCACGCGTGGATATCTTTGGAAACAACTTTTCTGAGATCTACCCCAGACTTTTCCGCACATTCCTTCCTCAAAACTTACTTGTTTCGAGCAAAATGAGGCGCCGAAGGCACGTCGCCTTGAGAGGTTTATAATTGTCGTCATATTCGAAGAGCGTGTACCGTGCGTGGTGTTAGCGACCTTCAAAGTCAGCTGGCCCATCTATACTTGTATTTAACAATTATTCGCCGAAGGCGAAGTTAATATTGTTGAATAATCCCCGAGACGAAGTCGAGGGGATTATTCAACAATATTAACTGAGCCTGAGGTGAATAATTGTTTTAGTATATTCACACGAAGTGATCTCAACAGAATCAGAAAGGGAACCATTAAAAAACGATTAGTTTGATTGACGGGTGGATTCATGCGTGAACACGAAGCCGTAAACAGTGGATGCGGAAAAGTTATATCTTTACAGTATCTTCAAACATGGCAAATCATAGTTTTAATCTTTTTGTATTGAATTTTGTAAGCTTTAGCATCAACGGTTTAAATGAAAACGCCGAAAATTTAAATTACTACGCAATTCTGAGAAGAAAAGTAGAGCTTTATTTGTTTTTGTCAACTCACCTTGAATGAGAAAGTTTTCTTTGTCGCTTCTTGCAAATGTTGTTAACAGCGGCTACGATCAAGGTGAGCGTTGTTTTATATCTCCAATGTTCTTTGCCTTGTTAACTTGCTGGCACGTACAATTTTCGAAAATATTTGCCTTCCTTGTTTCTCCATAAATTAACTTCTACTTATAGGCAAAACTGGTCTTGCTAGAAAATCCCGAAATCACAAAACAGCGACAAAGCGACCTCGTTTTCCTCTGTAGTGGTAAACATTGCTTCGAGCGTACAAAGAGTCAGCTACAGTAAACCACTTCACGCTGTTTAAACACCATGAAGTCTTTTCTTGCCTTCGAAGTCATCAGCACTTGGATATCCGTATATTTTCAAAAACGCTTTACTATGAAACTTTGGCAAAACACCCAGTTCACGACAGCCATTTTGTTCTGCTTTATATTCACCGAATGGGTTCCGAGTCAATAGCCCATTAGGCCGAAGGCCTCACGGGCTATTGACTCAGAGGCCATAAGGGCGAGAGGAATAATAATTGTTTAGTAAAATCCAACTAGTTGGTAAAAAATATCGAGAATAAAAAAAAATTAGCTACTTAAAGAGCGACTTTAATCCTTTTTTGCCGCCAAAAAGCCGGCGCTTTTCGCTACTACATGTAGTGGGCTATAACATATAGCCTAGTAGTAGCTCAACCAATAAGAACGAAGCATTGATAATAGACCACTAGTTGGATTTTACTAAAACGTCATAGTCCGAAATAGCTAACCAATCAGATTGCTTGAATTACCAAGATCACTGAGTGCGTATATACTAAACTTGTAGATATTGTGATGGTCTGCGCCCCGACGTCATCTAGTGTGTGACGTCACGGAATATTTTGTGTTTCCAGGTAACACCGAAGAGTGTGTTGCTTTGGTCGTATATCTATCAATTTTTTTTTAGCAGCTGTTTTAGGAGTCGGTAAGTGCTTTTTGCAATGAATTTCGAACACAAAAGTACTTTTAAGAGCAAATGGAAGCGATTCTGGATAATTTGCCTTAAGATATGAGTGAAAATCAACGTAAAAATATCTTTGAATTCATGTTTAATAGGGCTCGATCAACTTTATACAGGTGGCGCTGGCGGAAGTTTTAGGGGAAAGGTTTAATGAAATATTTTCCAATTCTTGTCACCTCAGTGTGTTCCATGTGGCCTAGTGGTAATGATACACTTGGCGTGCAGAAGGTCCTGAGTTCGAATCGGGCAGAACCTGTTTTTCTCTTCCCTTCTCTTCTTTCAAGTGTAAAGTATTAATGAGTCAAATGATGTCAATGAGTCATGAGTCATGAGTCAATGAGTCAGAACTGAAAAAATAAAAGTTTCGGTAGAAACAATAAAATTAAGCATTACTTTTACTTATTTTGTCTACTATATTCATTGCTGCCTGCACAAGGCCTATTTCTGACATGAAATCTCGCCCTAGGCTGTTTGTTAGCAGTTCCCAGGTCCTGCCGCATAGCAGAAGCGAAAAATAAGCCAGCCTAAATTTTGTGAGTGCATCGGAAGAAAGTGTTTAATTCCCTTTAAACACAGCGCTTAAAGTAAATTGAGATAAACCTATTATGGAATTTCCTAGCGCTCAAAGACTCAAATCTTGGAACAGTCCTTCTTTGATATTCGGTGTGTTGATGTTCGGGCCCGGTTTGAAGTAGAAAATCGGTCATGAGTGCGTTTTATATTTGTATCGGTATGTTACTCATTAGCCTGCGATCATGCCCTCTCCCTTTGTCTCTATAATCTGTTTTTTCCCTCTCGAGCCAAAAAAGCAAAGAAGCAAAAAAATTATAACACCTGATCTCAGGTTAGTTACTCATTAGCTTGTCATGCTGGTGTAAAGGTAAGTATCCAGGACACTAAGCGTCCGTTCCAACAATCAATAGCAGAGTGGTTGTTTTCAGTTGATAATCTTCTCACGGTTTAGTTCACCACTTTTTCCAATCAGTTTTACTTGCCTCAAAAGGTGAATGATGCTACAAGGCGAACAAACTGAATTAAAATTTTTGTAATTTGCCCGAGGAGGGGTATGAAACTGCGAGTTGAACAGTTGTCCACAGTCAGTGTTTATATTAGAAACATACACTGTACGAATAATTATTGTTGAGGTATTACTGTATAAGTACTGTTGATTGATGAAAATCTTTGGGCATTCATTGTTTGCATTATGTTTGCGTTTATTTACATAAGCTCGCCTCTTTAAAACTCGTGCATCAACTAATATGAACAACCTTGGGGCAGCACTCCACTTCTAGTATGGAAACTCTAGTAGTATGGATTGTCTGATGGTTTAAATGGTTCTTAAAGGGTGTATGGGAAGGGTATTTTTCGGGGCATGCACGTAGTAGTAGCGGCAGGGCCTGGAATACTGCTAACAAACAGCCCAAGTTGAGATTTCATATCAGAAATAGGCCTTGCATGTGCAGGCAGCAATGAAGCAAGTAGACAAATTAAGTAAAGGTTATGCTTGATTTTATTGTTTCTACCGAAACTTTTATTTTTTCTGATCTGACTCATTGACTCATTTGACTTAGTTTAGTTATCGCAGTTTTCTTTTGTTTCTTTATATACTGCGTTTATTTGGCTATAAGCCAAGCGATTTTTACACAAATTAAATCTAAAGTTCAGTGATATTTGAGCCCAAGAGGGGGTCTCGGCTTATAGCCAAGAGTTTTTTACAAAAATGTTTTTCAGTGCATTGAAACTCTACTAAACGGGGATGTATTCACTTACAAGCCGAGCATATAGCAGTGGCAAAAGATCGAATCAATCGCGGTGTATGACATTTGCAGACTGCAGACTGCAGACCGCAGACTGCAGACTGCAGTCTGCAGACTGCAGATTGCAGATTGCAGATTGTAAATTAAAAGACACCAAAAATCTTCCTAATAAAGGTGAAACCATCAAAAATATAACATCGTGTGAAAGTGAGAAAGTAGCCTGGGAACAAGGTTGATGTTTTTGCGCAAAGTTACATTGGCTTTATTTCCAAGATGCTGTTGGCTATTCTTCACCGACGCGACTCTTTATTGACTCACCCGGCATATTACTAATTGCGTTGATTCTTTATTCTTCTTTGATTATTGTGAATTGATAATGACAAGTAGCAATGCCCATTAATGCCTGTCTAAATAGTAGTCTTCCGTAAAAAAAAGTGTTTAGATTGCGAGCACTTCGTGCTCACTACGGTTACGTCTACAAAAACAACTAGGATAGATCACGGACATTTAACACCTTTTAAATGACGTATTTCATCTTAGCAGTATTTAAGGATATGCCAAATAATCTAAACCGAACAGATCCTACCTGGACTCGACGAATTACCGGAAGTGCAGTTTGAATTTCTAAATAGGCAAATCGACGATGGGTTTTTTAACAGGCCAATCATTGCTCATGCTCAAATCACAGTTGGGGTCCCCGTAGAATAAGGATTCCGGCGCTGTTTCACAGACAGACTTATATAACCAGAGTTTAGTTTCGTCTGTGGTGCAGGCTAAATTGCTAGCCTGTTGCTATGGATTCATGAGCGAGTTTGTGACATCGGCAGACATTATCCTGCTCTAATTCAATACGAGACGAACACCCAACAACTCCTTCAGGAATCAGGTCGGTGTAATTTGCGTGAAAAAACTTCGCTTCTAGGCCTTACATGTACTTCTCGGAACAAGGTAATGTTGATGATGACGCCACCTTGATTACGATATTTTTGGTTTCATTCAATTTAGAGTCTTGCTGCCTCATGCACAGGGCACCCAACGACAGTTATTGGCAAAATTCTAAATACTACATAAAAACATGATGCTAAGACCATTTTGAAAACATTTTTTCATTTATTTTTCTTGCTGGGAAAAGAAGAGCTGTTCTGCACTCCCAGGATGACGTTGAGAAAATTTTCAGCTCCCAGCCAGGTATGGGAGAATATTCCCAGCCAGTAGACTTTGTGTTATCAATTCCCAGCAGAAATCTGCCTGGATTGCATTCACGGGACGTTGCACGAGGACTTTGGCGCTCGCGCTAACAATAACTGCTCAAACCAGTTCAAACCAGCTTTTCCTGTAACTGCGATTAGTCGAGGGCAGCGGAGATCGCCTTGTGGAAGTTGATGTCTATATATTGTACCAGTTTCTTGTCCAGTCTCCCTGTATTTCCTTCTGTTCCAGCCAGCTGAACTTGAAATGTTGGTAATTCCCAGCCGAAGTCTATGAAAATAAATATCTTGCCAGCCAGCTGAATTTCCAATGCGGAACAGGGCCGGGTTGTTCAAAGCTGGGTTAAGATAACCTAGGGTTAGTGCGAAATATGAATTCAGATATGACAGCTTAAAAAGTAAATTCAGTTTAATTCTTTTTGTCAGCAAGTTGATGATTGGACGGTATTAAAAATAACAGAGTAAATTATCCAAGAAAATGCTTTTGAAAAAAGAAAAAGAAACCCAGGTAAAATTTAGCCCTGGGTTTAGTGCTAATCGGCCATCGAACAACCGGACCCAGATATTTTGCGGAACACCTTCGTTGGGTGCGCCTGCATGCAGTCTGCAGTCTGCAGTCTGCAGTCTGCAGTCTGCAGTCTGCAGTCTGCAGTCTGCGGTCTGCGGTCTGCGGTCTGCGGTCTGCGGTCTGCGGTCTGCGGTCTGCGGTCTGCGGTCTGCAGTCTGCAAATAGGGAGCTTAAGCAAAGACGTTTTTGAGCGACGCACGTCAACCGGAAGTGAGGCCTTCTCCCTTTTTATATGCCTGGACACTACCAAATTTGTATTGCTGAGTTTCTTTTCTCCTATGAAGACGATTTACCTAAGGGTTTCAACCAAACCACAGCCCAATGCTGCAAAAAGTCAACTTCCGGTTGACGTCCGTCGCTCAAAAACGCTGATCATACACCGCAAAACCGGGTCTCACAACCGAAATCTCACATTGGTAAGCCTTTTACAATGAGGGAATGAAGGCGTAAAACAAATGAAAGATGTCAAGGAAAATCGAATGTGTAAACGAATGTTGTTTGGAACATGTGCTTCGAAACATATGCCTGGTTACTAAGCACAGACGAAAGCAACGCTGATGTAGTTCGTTTTGATTGAAAGGTATGTGATCATTTCAAGCATCATGCGACGAAGTGATAGCAGCGAAAACCCAAACAACAAATATAAATATTGTATGTTTCCCTAGAGTCAAAAGAGAAGGTCATTTTTTTTTTCAAAATTGTTAAGTTTCAAGTGCAGTAGCTAAAAGTATGGTCTCGGCTTATAGCTGGGTGTTTTGCATTTATCTTTCGTTCTTGGTGATGCTGATTCTACAAGTTTAAATTTCAGCTAGGGTCTCGACTTATCGCCAAGATCGGCTTATGGCCGAATAAATACGGTAGCTTAAATTTTTTTAAATTTATAAATTTTCTTCCCTATTGCCTTATTTCCCTTTCAACTTCTTGTCGTTCCTCTGAAGTCCTTCGCGAGGTCCTTTGATTCACGAAATTTTATATTTCTAGAAGAGTGGTTTCCAGAATCTTGCATTTGGCAAGTATATTTTGCACAATGAGCTCCTACCCTGGAATACCCTGCTAGCAGAGCTGCTCCTCTTACCCACTTGCTTGGCAGTGATATAAATAAGCTAGTACTAGTTACAGTTGAACCTCTCGGTACGGACACCTCTCTAATATGGACACCTCTCTATTACAGACAGTTTCCTATGTACCGACAAAATTCTCACACATTTCCTCTAAAAAAAACTTCTATACTATGGACCCTCTCTAATACGGACAACGGACACAAAATCTCGGCCCTTGGGAGAAAGTTCAAATTCTTTATTATGGACACTCCGGGACAAGGTGTCGAAAATTTGTGGTATATGTACCATTTCTTCTTGGCAGTTACACAAACATTGACACTTTATCAGTCAGCAATACCAATACGAGAACAATGTTTTAGGCGAAGTATTTTGTTTTGTTCCAAAATTCGTATGTACTGAGCATGTAGCTTCTGAGAAGTACAATAACATTAATCAATTAACAAGACACTAGGTTTTGGGCTTGATTTTACTTACTGAACACTCTAACCTGTCAGTACTTGTGGGGTCTTAAAAGTGACGTAATCATAGTGACCTCTCTAATATGGACACCTCTCTCATACGGACACTTTGATCTGTCCCTTCGGTGTCCGCATTAGAGAGGTTCAACTGTATCTCTTAGTGACTGAATGTAAGCAAAACTGTTATAATTCAAGTAGTTTAGGGTGCAAAACGTTACAAAAACAAACAAACAAACAAACAAACATTACAAAGAAAAAGACAATGACATTTGAATCTCTGCAGTGCATTTCAGTAAATTTTTCTTTAACACTAGGGATTGCTTGATCGACTTTGTCAGAATAGATTGGGTTCAGCATAAAAACTGACATTATTTCCTTATGCTCATATTTTTGATTCAAGCAAAATGCTGGTGGTATTGTTAAAGTTGCATGGTCACTAATGGAATTAGGTTAATTAGCTGAACAAAACAAACTCTTTGATAATTTGCAGTATTGGTGGTGAGTTTCCTCCTAAACCTCAACATAACATACCCTGTGTATGCACTCCTGGTAATGGCGTTAAAGGAAACAGCCCCACCAATCACACATGCACTCCATGTGCAATTGGAGAGTATGGATCAGGGGGGGAAATCATCAATAATTGGAGGGATTGGACTGGAAATGGCACAGTACCTCCTGAAGGATCAGGTCTTATTACATATTGTGACACTTCAAGCAATTATTATTTCAAAAGTTGTGGGGCATGGAAAGCAAGTGGTAAGCAAGGATAATATTAATTTTAAAAATTGATGCAATATGTTAAGAATGAGGGCAAGTGCTTCTTCATAGGGTTCCACAAACACCGAGAAACAGATGAAACCCCAAGGTCATAGGTTAATATGCTTTCATCTCTCTCGAGCTGTTTGGAACTCATTATAAAGTGCAAAGCCCGAGTTTTTGACATGTCTTATTAAATGAAACTATAAGAAATTATTCAGTGACATGTTTTTTTCTGGTACGTTATAATTGCATTGTTTCCATATAAACATCTCATTAAAATGCAAGTGTTTGATCTCCGGTAATAAACGTGTTTCATCTGTTAGGCTGAGCGATGCCGCACCATAGTTTTCACACAAGATAACGTACCACTCAAGTAGAAGTAACAACACTGATTTTATTTGTCTTGGTAAATCATATTTATAAACATTATTATTAAGGCGTTTCTTAAGTGGAGATCTACGTAGCAAACCAAAAGAACATTTTTGGCACATAATACTCAAGCGATAATGAAAGTGGCGGATTACACCACAGTTTATACTAAGACTATTAAACATAATGGTGATGCGATAATTGTGATATCAGAGCACGTATTCTAACACATCTCAGATGAAAACCTGGTGGTGACGTTTTACATGATGTTTCATTAGGTATCAAGGTTCATCCATTGTACCCAAATGGACGTCATCTATTGGCTTTTGACTGCAAGAATTATTCATGAGTTTGATAGCCAGCAGTGCAGGCGTTTTCTTTGAGCGCCCGAGAATTTGCTCGCGAAACTTCCCGAAGAGAGGAGGAGATGGGGCGACTCAAAGGGAGCGGGGAGGGGGGCGGGAAGAGAGAAGAGATTTTTTTTCTCCCCTCCCCCTCCCCCTCCCCCCTTCCTTCTTTCGCCCTCGCACCTACCGTAAGGGTTACTATTTCTACTCTCCCCAATCTTCCACTATCATGAAATCAAAGATGGCGGCTACCACAATATTTTGAACACGAACAAGGTTTCGCCCAACCAAAATACGCCTGCACAGCTGCAGGCTATGAGTTTGAGAGCTTGCTAGTTTCCTGTCTCTATGGCCCTCCCAATCTCAATAAAAAATAATAACAATTATTGAACGAGGTTGAACAAAAATATTGTGATTTGTCAGTAGTGAGCAGATCAATATTTGCCAAAGCTGAATGCTAAGTCAAATGATATTGATCTGTAAGTTCGCAAAGTTTGTTTTTTAAAGAATATCTTTGGGAAGCGAAGCAATCTGCCATTTTCATGCAAGAGTGATTGCAAGAAGGAGAAAAGCTTGGTTTCATTTGTGCATGGGCAGAATATTATTTGCAGCCAAAAAAAGATGGACAACATTGTGCACTTTAAGCAGACCATTATTTGTAGGCAGTTATTTGCAGGTCACGTGGTGAGGTCTCGGCCAATGAAAAGGAAGAAAAATTTGCAATGAATGATAATTATTTTTATTTTCAATTCAGACCTTTCATCGACTCTTTAAGTTCTGATATCAATGTGTACCGTATATTCTCCTCACTGCTCTGCAAATGTTTGTTATTAAGTACTGAGCACTTGTCTAATGAGAGAATTTGTTAAAACATCAAGACATTTCATCATCAGTGATTGTATCAGTTGTGACATTCATTCTCATATTGACCTTTAATTTATGTTGGATCTGGTTGTAATATTGTTAAAGGAGAAAAAAAGTTTGATGGTTGGGTCTAGAGTGTGGCTAGAGCAAGTTTTTCTTAGCCTAGTCATGGAAAAGCTGAAAAAAAAAGTGAGTAACAGTTAAACAAAATACAGTTGAATTGCGCTTTAAGGACACTTCATTAACACCTATGTGTTGTAATAAACCTTTTCTTCTTGAAGGTAAATAATCTCTCAGTTGACAGCATGTTGATGTTCCCAGCACTGCAGTACACCAGATAGGATGAATTGTAGACGTCAATTTTAAGACTTTGGCATCCAATGAGTCAGTTATGCTTCTGTTGATTTAGTCCACAGAATTTTGGCTTTTTGAAGGATAGAGATGTTAACTTTGATGTTGCCAAGTTATGTCCTCTTTTATGTCTTAGGCATTTTGTGCTAATAACAGTTGTTGTCTTATAACTTAACCCTTTAAGTCCCAGTGGTGACCAACATCAATTTTCTCCTAACCATATCCATAGATTGTCAAGAGATTAGGTTATGAGAATTAATAAAATGATCACCTAAGAGAAAATGCTTTGATCTTTTATCAAATTCTCTCAACTGATTCTTTAAGGAAATGTATAGAGATCAGTTTGGAGAATTCGTATGTGGATATTGGGGCTTAACATAAGCTGCTTAATACAGACACTTTCTATGGACCCTTCAGTGTCCATACTAATGGGTTTTGACTGTAAAAATCTCTCAGGGAAGTATTTACTCTCAGGGAAGTATAAACACCAATAATTATTATTACTATATGCCTTTATTATTTTATCTTTTATTATGCCTTTGTTTGTTTGTTTGTTTGTAAGCAATTCCATTTTTTATTGATTTACATAGCTGATAACTACACACTTGAATCTGGTGACAATCGTGGGTCGAGATGCCTGGTTTCTGTATTATTGATGACCAGGAAGTTTGTCTTGACTAACAACAATGTTAGTTTTGACTATCGTGTAGACAGCCGAGACTGCAGACCTGAATTCTTTGGATGCGATGGTCTAGGTTTCTTTATTGATGGTCAGCAAGTACTACAATACCAAGGAAACCAGTTTCACTGGGTTACAAAGACTTATAATTTAAAGAAGGTAAGTTTGAATCAAACTTTGCCTGCTGATAGCGTTATGCTTCATAAAACAGAGTTGTGACAGCTGGGCTCAAAATAATTGACATTGGCCATTCATGTTGATCAGCCCAACAAATTTTGGCCAGCTTGATCATTGTTTGTTTGTGATTGGTCAAAATGTATAGGAAATACGTATTTCAAAGTTAAATAGTCAAGCAATTAAGGTAAAAAATATCCCCTTGTAAGCTCACAAATTTGAAAATAGGAAATCTACATTGTAAGGGGCAACATATAACTCACAGGAGCGTTAATGAAAAAAAGGAATAAATTGTATTGAATATTTTTAGACGAACAAGAAAACATGCAATCTTGTTAATGCCACCCCTCAGTACCACATGGTGTCCAAAAAACAAAACATAGCACCCTCAGTACCACAGGATACCCAAGAACCACTGAATGCCACCCTCTCATTTCCACAGAATGCTCAGGATTAGCATTTGTCCTTAGCATTAGCATGACTTAGTTTTGGTTTATGTGTCTATGAAAATGTGCTTGTGAAGGAGATCAATTAAAATATACTGTCTTGTGAAGCAAATTAGACCTGTCTGAACAGCAAAACCTCATTTTGACAAACATCATCTGTAAGTTTGATATTTGTTTAGGTTAAAGCCAAGCTCTTCAAATGCTAAAATTCATACTTGTATTCTAGGGTTCCCATACACTGAAGTGGGTTTTTCGTAAGGAGAGGTGTTTTAGTCATGGATATTCCTTCTTAGACAAGGCTTTTCTCCGTTCCATAACCTTGGTAAGTCACACATTTTGTAATGGTAATTAATAGAACTAAGTGGAGTTAAATTTTGGTCTGTTATAATCATCATCACTAGAGGCAGACACAGATCCAAACCAACTTTCATCACTTTTTAGAAAACTGTCAGATATATTTGACAAGAGGAAATGAAACTCTTGATAAGAAAATTTTTAGGAGATTTATTCCAGACCTGGTTGTGCTTGCAGTTAGTAACGTTTAAATTAAAAAAAAAAAACAGTCCAATCGGTCATGGTTGAAATTTAGAATCCATGGCAATATTGGAGACAGAAATAATGGCAACTTTTTGGCTATTATAAGAGACTTTGGTGTTGGATTAATATTGGCAATGTGACTTCTGATAATTAACTACGAACAGTCAACTCCCTTTATTGCGGACACTGTATGGACCTTGAGTTAGTGTCCTGTCCGTATTATCGGTAGGAGAGAGTTGACTGTAATAAGTATTGATTTGCCAAATTCCACGCACCTCTGTTAATTTTCACCCAAGTGTGTCAACCATATCAAAGGTTCAAAAATAAAAGTAAGGATATTACATTACGTTTCTCCTTCATTAAAAAGTATTTGTTTAATTTATGTAATTAAAAAGACTGTGTATTCTTTAGGTTGGCACAGATGAACCAAACGTGAAATGCAAACCTTGTCCACCAGGTTACTTTAGTAATCAAGAAGGTGCTTCAGAATGCACTGCGTGTTCATATTTTCAGTTTCAGGCGAAAGAAGGTTTGTGCATTATTTATCACATAATAGACCTTTGTCACAATGATGTACAGAAATCCCCCCTCTCAGCTATTCTTTCAATTCACAATCATCATGAGAGGTAGATGAGACTGATTAAGACTGATCTATAATTCCTTCGAGCTCCAGAGGTCAATATTATTATTTTTACTGCTAATTCATGACAGTTGATATACATTTGTCACTATGAGTAATGCATCAAAGCAAATGAAATTTGTCTTATCTGGTATATCTGCTGCATTGTGAGTTCCTAGACTGAACATAATTTCTCCCAATTTGTGGCAACCTATCCGAATTGAAAAAGAGCTGATTATTATGTTAAAATACCCTTTCTTTTGTTGCAATATTAAGAAAACTTGCATAGCTGTTGGCCATGTGAGTGAAACGCTCCATAGTTCCTTCAGTATATATGGTAGGTAATTGTCAATCAACCACTTTTACAACTGTCGCTGGTTTTTGTGGCGAGGATGCTCAATTATTTTGCCTTGTTATTAGATCTATTTTTGTTTGTTTGATTTTTTTTGAAGAAAGAACTTGTATCTGATAAGAGCTCATTTTTTGAATATGTGCATGTTTTCAGGTCAGACGAAATGCGACCCTTGTCCAACAAACACCTTTGCCATGATGGGTGCCTCAAAGTGTATCCCGTTACCTAACTGCACAAAGGATGACATCATTAGCGCCCCTGGAAACTTGAGTACATGTTCCTGTAACAACAATGCTGGTGTGTGTACAACCACAGTACAAGAAAAGTTTGTCACCGTTACCTTAAAAGGTGAGTCAACTTACTGTAAATCCTCTATTTAAGCCCCCCCCCCGGGGGGGCCTTATTTATTTCAAGCTCATATTAGGGGGGCTTTATAGACACAGGGGCTTATTTAATTTAGAATTGATGATGGTACCAGTTGTCCATAAAGAACTAGAATACAAAGTGGATAAGCTTATGAACAAGAAGTTTTAGGTTATGCAGCCGAGGATGAGAATTTACAGTCGTGATTGATTTATACAGTCTTAGTAAAAAATAATTAGGGGAGGGGATGGGGGCTTAATAGAGAGGGGGGGCTCATTAACTTTGCCCCTAAAAAAAGTGGGGGGGGGGGGCTTACTAGAGGGAGGGGAGTTATTTGAGAGGGGGGGGGGCTTAATAGAGGATTTAGGGAAATACACAAATTTTTTTTTTTTAAATTGTTGATACAGATGGCAGCCTGAGAAAGCCACCTCTGGTTTTGTGGCAAAGTGATGTCTGGGAAACGAGTGCACAAATTCTACACTGATGATGCATCACTACCCAGATCTGGGTAATGCTTTTGTTTGGTTGAAGCAAATTTCCCTTGCGGAACGACCCATTAGAAGCACTACGGAGATCTGGATAGTGATGTGTCATCAGTACATAATTTCTTGCGCATGTTTCTTATACATCAATTCATGGTCAAACCAGTGATGGCATTGCAGAATGTTTGCTGTTTTCTCGGGCTGGATGTGGCATGGGTAATTGTTTAGAGCACTAGACTTGTAATCCGGAGACCACACTTTCAAGTCCTGGCCAGATTGCTAGCTGACATTGATCTCAACAGTTGCAAGTTCAAATCCTTTCTGCCCTACTTATAATTAGCTAACTGGTTTTCTAAAACAATATGATCTAAGTAACAATTCTTAGAGAAATTAAAAAATGCTTCATGCTCAGCCTCTTGCTAATAAATTATTTCCTCTATCATAGTTTAGAATAGTTATGAAGCCTGACAGACTTCTTTGTTTTATGTTTTCGTTAGCTTTTTTAGATTTGACCATGCACAACGTTCAGTAACATTCCTATCATTTTGAACTTACTGACCAACAGAAACATCGCATTAATTTATTCAGTCACAGTTTGTGAACAAGAAACAAAGGATTGTACACTGTCAGGGAGCTTCCAACATAAGCTGCAGCACTGTTGTTTTCATCTTTGATGTTTGCTGGCTTTTTTAACCAGTCTCCTCTACTAACTATGTCTTCATGTTTTATTTTTAACCCATTCGCTCCTGGAGATTTTGCCGAAAAACGCGTTTTGAAGCTAGTCGACTGGTTTTCTGGTCACTGTCGTGCTATAAAGAGCTAAAACTTACCACAAACCGGTTTACAGGTCGTACACTTGGCGGCCTTCTGACCCAGATGCAAAATATCAGCTTGCGAAGTTCGGGCATGCGCAGAAAGCAAAATTTCGACAGTCTTGACTTTTACTTTTCGCTTTCTCTCCTCCCTTCTTTTTTCGCTTTTCTTGCCTCATTTTTTTTTCTCTTGCTGGGCATTTATTAGGCTTCATTTTGGTGGGAAGAGTTTTTATGAAAGCTTTTAGGATCTTAGGATTAGGTGAAAGGAAAGGTAGGTGGGTAATGGAACAAGATTTTCATGGAGATTTTCAGGTCCTTGTCGCGTGGTTTTTTGCTTCTTTCTCCGGTGTCCTTGACTGAATTGTGCTCATTCTGGTATGGTTTGAAAGATCTCTTCACTCTGCACACGTGTGCGAAGAAAGTTGTCCTTGACCGTTAAAACTGATGACGTCACAAAGGGTAGAAAGGACCTGGATCCGCACGGGCGGTTACGGGCGGTTCAGGGGCGAATGGGTTAAATGATTGTTAGCGCGGCAGGATTAGCTCAGTTGGTAGAGCGCTTGACTGCAGAGCGGGAGGTCGCGGGTTCAATTCCCGGGGTCGGACCAATACTTAGGGTCTTAAAATAACTGAGAAATGAAGGTACTACCTTTGCTCTGCAAATGGCCAGACCTTCGCGTGGCTCGGATGACCACGTAAAATGGCGGACCTGTCTCCAGTAGGAAACGTTAATATAGTGTCCCCAATTAGCACTTTCTTGCTATTAAAGTACATTGACACTCAAATAAAGTGCATTTTTCTTTTGTTTTTTGTTTTTGTTTCTGGGGTTAAGGGGGGGGGAGGGGGGGGGGCAAAGTGGGACACTAGAATACCGAGAAGAGGGCCCTTAAAGCAAAAAATGGGAACCCAACCAATAACCATGCTATATTGTGCTGACTGGATTTTTTAACCTGGTCTTGGAGAAGCTTTGGTTTCTCGACCATGGAGGAAAAAATTAATACTGATTTCACGGAAACCACAACATACTGCATGCCATTTCCAGAATACAGGGAAGGGATGAATAATCCTTTAACTATCCCTAATTAATATTATAAGCAGTCTGCCATTATTTCCTGTATAAATGACTGCCAGGAAGAGTGATGGTGCCATTACCACATTTGTCACCTCCAATGTGAATTGGGCAGGATCCTTTTTCTGTTAGCCTGTGAGCAAGCTCTCCGGGGGGCTCTGGTGGTGCAAAAAAGGAGGACACTCCGCCCCCGCCAGAGCACCTCAGAGAGCTTGCTCGCAGGCTATTTATCCGTGTGTGGACACATTGTATCTTAGACTCTTTAAGTGAAGAATGAACCTCGCAGTTTTGAGCACAATTTATGCAATTGTGGGAAGCCTGAAAAAAAAAAAAATCAAGACTTCGATGGGATGTGAACCCGTGACCTCGCGATACCGGTGCGATGCTCTGACCAACTAAGCTATGAAGCCGCTGGTGTTTAGCCTGCGAAGCGCAGACGTATTTCCGGTCATCGCTTCTCAGAAGCGACGACCGGAAATACGTCTGCGCTTCGCAGGCCACTGGTGTTGGGAGCAGGTCAATTATGTGTTTATATGTTCCTGTGGAAGAGATGAAAGGTGACAGATGTATATGAAATAAATACATGTGAACTGCGGAAATGAAATCAAGTGAAGAATGATCTTTATTAATAAAAGCTGTTGAATTATTTGATAGATGGAAAAGGACCAAGGATTCTTTGCAACCGGCAAAAAAATTCTACGATAACTCCTTCATCGAAGACAGTGCAGTGTGGTTGTCAACCTGGATTTGAGATTTTTCAAGGCAAGGATGGACAAATTCAGTGCAAACCGTGTTCAAAGGGAAATTTTTCTACTGGTGTGAAATGTGCTACATGCAAAGCTGGCCATGTAGCCTTGCCAGGCAAGCACTATTTTTTGTGGGAGAGCGACTCATTACCAGAAGGCTTCTCTGCTTCTTGTTCCGGTGACTGTACTATTGAGGTTTGTCAGATACTGAGAAGTTCTTTTAAAACGCTGTCAGTTACTTTGAAGATGGCGAGAAACACAGCTAGGTGCTCTCTTAATAGACTACAAGTAGTTCCTTAGGGATAGACTAGTACAGCAAGTAGATGTACGAACGCGTGTGAAAATCCCCACCCTCGAAGAAGGTCCTCCCTCCACGTGTCATCCTCGCGGCTGGCCATTTCCCACGCGTTCTCCTATTTTGCTCGAACTACTATTCCTCAGGAAAATGAGGGAGAACTTGACAGTGTTATAGGTAACTGTTATAGCTAAATATGTCTCCTGAGCGTTCTTATTGAAAGTTCCAAACAACAAAAATAAAAGACCCAATTGCAATCGTTTAAATTTTTGGCTTCAGTTTTATCTATACAGTCTACCCTCTCTAATACGGACACCGAAGGGACAGATTGAAGTGCCCGTATTAGAGAGGTCACTATGATTACGTCACTTTTAAGACCCCACTGACAGGTTAGAGTGTTCAGTAAGTAAAATCAAGCCCAAAACTCAGTGTCTTGTTAATTTCTAAATCTAAATTGATTAATGTTATTGTACTTCTCAGTTACATGCTGTACGTACGAATTTTGGAACAAAACGAAATACTTCTCCTAAGACGTGTTCTGGTGTTGGTATCGCTGACTGATAAAGTGTCAATGTTTGTGTAACTGCCGACAGGAAATGGTACATATACCGCAAATTGTCGGCACCTTGTCCCGGAGTGTCCGTAATAAAGAGGTTAAGTTTGCATGAATTTGCTCCCAAGGGCCGAGATTTTGTGTCCGTTGTCCGTATTAGAGATGGTCCGTATTATAGAGGGTTTTTTTTAGAGCAAATGTATGAGAATTTTGTCGGTACATAGGAAACTGTCCGTACACAGGTTCGACCGTAGGTGCTTTCTTTTGTATTTGCTCTATTTTTGTTCTGTCTCACTTGATCTGGTAACAGGCTCATAATGGTTAAATTTGGCTGAATTCCGCGACACGGCCTCTTTAAATCACAGGATAAAGAGATATTTTACACATTCATCTTGCTTGTTTCGTCTCTTCATCTCATAAAGAACGGGACATGATACACATTCATCCCGCTTGTTTCGTCTCACCATAGTGTCATTGCCTAAAGAACGAGACTTAATTACACAATTATTCCGCTTGTTTTGCCTCATTATTGCTTACAGAACGTTACGAGATATATTACATACACTCTTTATGACAATTTCGGGCGACTTGAATAAAAAGTTCGGGCGACATGACTCTGGTTTCGGGCGATATAACTTTGGGCGAGAAGACCGGTTACCGCGGTCTGGGTTCCCCATGTAAGGTTATCCATGGCAGTCTTGGATTCTGGATTCCAGATGCGTTATCAGTGGAAAATTGAATTCTGAATTCCATGTCAATGGAACCTGGATTCCGAATTCCAATCATCAGCGGGATTCTGGATTCCTTGAGCTGGATTCCGGATTCCAAAGCCCAGGATTCTAGATTTCACAATCAAATACTTTCCAGATAAATTCCGGAATCTGGATTACCTTACGTAGATTTTCCTAAAAACCAGAATGAATAATCTGAAATACCTTTTTTCTAGACTGGTTGGATTCCAGCTGGGGATCACATTCGCACAGAACGTGTTGTGGGTAATGTGCACTCTGAATTGAGGTCTCCTGAAGTAGAGGTGGATTCGGATCTAGCAAAGCTCGTGTTCAGCTGCTCAGTCATGTGCAAATTGACCGGAGTTCCATCTAAACCCGTGCAAGGCGAGACTTTGGCTAAAATAGAGAACTGCAATCTCATATTTCAAGTGTGGAAGAATGGTTCTCTGAAGGAACAAGTAAACTGTACTCGTCCTAAAGGGAGCTTTGGTTATCGACATGAGAACCGACGAGATGGTAATTATGTCATGCATGTTTATCCACTGGAGAAGGGAAGATATCAGTTCAGGTAACAGTAGAGACCTTTTCAGAGGAGTTCACGCTCATAGTTGCATCATGGGTAATCGGGCAAGATGGCGGGAAATTCAAAGATTTGTATTGGAATTCAAAGCCAGCTAGTTCTTCCTCAATTCATATATTTGATGTTTTCTCTTTGAAAAGAGTAACTTACGAGTTCAAAGAAACAGTACACTAAATCTGGAGTGCAAAGAATACTATCGAATTTTCAAAGAGAAAGCAACAAATGTATGAATTCAGGAAGAATTAGCTGGCTATGAATTCCAATACAAATCATTGAATTTCCCGCCATCTTGCCCTGATTACCCATGATGCAACTATGAGCATGAACTCCGCTATTTTAAGACGAGGACATTTCGAGAACGAGATTTTCTCAATACTAAGTAGTGCGCACGCGTGAACCAGCGTCATTTTGGCGGAAAATCGTGATAGCCATCGCCACTCTACTACGAGTTTTGCCGTAGTGGCGGAAACATGTCATCAAATGTTGGAAGTTTGATCAATATTTGCGATCGGGAGAATGCTAATAACTTTTCTGGCGAAAAAAGTATAATTTTTGGATTTTAATACTACTGAAACCGAAATGTTTAAGTTTAATGGCCTTTCTTTTGGTTACAGATGGACGTTCTACCAGCTAGACGATACTTTCTCTTCAGCATTTGAAGCGAAGGTATCCAACATAAGCATCCTTGGTGCAAAATCTGGCGCGGCTCGCAAATGTACAGCATGCCCACCTGGATATCGTAGCACACTAGACAACACTGACTGTAAAATTTGTCCAAATGGAACTAGCAGTTCAGCAGGTTCTGATAAATGCACTCCATGTCAAGGACAGACTTTTGCCGCACAGGTATACAGCTTCACGTTTGCTACAAGAGTCAGTGAGGGTTCAGTCACACACACTTTGTCGTTTTGTGGTTATAGCTTCTAAACAATGAACACTTCGGTATGAGTTGTGAGTAAGCCGGTCAGTCAGTCAGTTAATCAGTTAATCAGTCAGTCACTTTGTCAGCCAACAGTAAGTGAGTCATACATGATTTTCATGTATCATATTTAAACGTCGTCAGTGAGTCAGTTAGTCAGTCTGTCAGGAAGGGAGACAGTCAGTTAGTCATTTAATTAGCCAACCAAGCAGTCAGTCAGTTTGACAGTCAGTCAGCTAGCCAGTCAGTCGTTCAGGTTATCAGTCCCTCAGTCAGGCAGTCTAGTATGATGGTCAGGTAGTCAGTCAGTCAGCGAGCCAGCCAGCCAGTCAGTCATTCCTGGCGATATGAATGCTGGACAGTAATCAAATGGAAACGTGACCCACCATAACGCATCTGTCATACACCACGTAGTAACCTCATTTTGAAATTATTCTCGGAGATCGATTTACATTGAGTTATTTCTGGTGTCTTGATGCCTGAGCTAAAGTGTTTTGTTTGTTTGTTTAGAATGGTAGTGACAGCTGCCTTCCTTGTGGAAGCAATACAAAAGTTCTACCAAACAAAGATGGCTGTGACACAAATGGATGTACATTCAGTCCCGCACCTGGTGTAGATTATGACCTCTCTGCGCTTTCCCGTCCCGGCGGATCAATGATTAAAGTAAATTTACCAGGACTACACCCATGGGGTCGAAGGTAAATTCCTTTCCTTCCCCCACCCTGTCACCCAGAGTATTTAAGGGTTTTAGTTTTCAACAAATCACTTTCAAACTTGGCAATTTTATTAATTTTAAGGTGCTCTTTTCAGAGGTGTCGACGGATTTTGCTTAACTTGTCCATGTCAAAACTTGAAAACTATTGCTAATTATCATCGTTCTTGTTATTGCTTTCTTTCTTTAGGTGGTTCAGCTATGACCATGTATATCCTTACAGTTCAGAATATTATGTCAACCTTTGCACCGTTGATCATGACAGTAGCTCGTGCACATCTCGTGACAGGATCAGCGGAGTTCCCCTTCCCGTGATGGCTTGCAGTTCCTCTTGGCACAATGGCGACGTAAGCATTGGGTCCGTGATTGGCTACAAACGAAAACAGGATATCCGCTCTGGCTTGATTGTGGAGTTGCTTCACGGTGACAAATGTTTCTCTGGAGGTGAGTGCAGCCAACGAGTTGTTAACAAATTGTGAGAAACAGTAACAGATTGAAAATTGAACACAATAAAGGAGAGAAGTTGTTACGTCATGTTGCCATGGCAGCAAAATTTCTGGATCTCAAGAAACGGAAAATTTGAATTCGCACTGTTTTAAACTTCATCGCTCTTAGCCAATTTCATTCGATTTGCCAAATGTTGGCGAAATTTTTCCGGGTTGAATCCGAAAGGACAGTTTCTAAGTTAAGAAAAAGAAAAAGAAAATTGTTGTCTTGTGTTCACGTATTCCATCAAGCGGGTGCCGTGAAATAAGGATTTTTCATGTCGCTGTCGTGTAACGACGGCTTAGAAATGTACCAAAAAAAACGTGATGTATGTGCAGAGTTGTTGTTTTGCTAATATAAACATATTCCTTTTTTGCCGTTCTCGTTGCCGTCGCCGTCGTCCTTGCTTAAGCTCCCTATTGTTGTGATCCAGAAATTTTGCTACCATGGTAACGTGACATTTCCCTCTCCTCTCCATAGCAAATGCTAACCACAAATTAAATTCATTCGTCCTCCATTACAATCCCATAATGCAATTCGAAACAACACGGACTTGGTCTAAGGCTATGTTCACACGGTATCGGACGAATTTTTGACCGGCTGAAAATTCGTGCGTTTAGTTTTTGGGTTCACACGGAACCACCATAACCGTTTGAATATGTAGACGCCTAGCCGTTCAAGATTTGAGGACGAGTACGAGATTTAACTGAAAGTTTTTGCGCGTGGTCTCAATAAAAGAAACCCCTGAAAGATTGATTTTCCCGCCAAAATGACGCTGGTTCACGGGCGCGCACTACTCAGCATTGGGAAAATCTCGTATTCGTAGTCGTCCTCGTCTCAGAATCTAAAGCTCCCTAATGTTTCGTGTGAGCAGAACGAAAATCTTGAACTGTGCCATGTGGACCAAGTGTGCGGTCGAAATTTCGTCTGGTGTCACTGTGCACGTAGCCTCAGTCGCCTCGGTCCCAACACAGGCGGCCCAAACTCACGTTACGAGGAAAGGGTTTAAAGTAATTTACATACCATAGATGACGCGTGAACGCGCCGCTGTCGCGTTACAGGCGACCGTTGAAAATAAGAGACTTTGTGTAAAAAATATAATACTGAGCCCTGCGAACGCTAAATAACGTTAAATCTAAGTTTTCCTTCAATGAAATGAATAAAAAAGACTTACCTGCGATGTATTCCACTGTGTTTTGGTGTCTGCTTGTCATTTCACTGTTTTGTTTTTGTTTTTTGGGGAGGCTTTATTGCATAGCCACTGTTACTCCCTTTCCTCGTAACGTGAGTTTAGGCCGCCTGTGATTGGACTTGTAAAAGGCGCGAAAGGAGAGTGGACACCTTGACAGGTGCTGTTGTCACGGTGACGATCGCGACCAGTAATACCTACGAGGATGTAACGCGCTCTCTCAAAAAATAGGAAGCTTAAGCAACGGCGTCGTCGACGGCAACAAAAACGGCGAAAGCAATATATTTAGGTTAGCAAAAGAACAAATTTGCCTGTGCATCACGCTTTTTTGCCATTTCACATTTCTTTATCGACATTGCACAATTCCATATTTCACGTTTTATTGAACTTGGATACAGTCCGTTGGAATTCAAGTTTAAGGTAAGGTTTCCGCTGCCGTCGGTCGCAGTCGTAGTTGCTTAAGCTCCACTATACCGTGGTTGAAGCTTCCTACCCATCACCTCACCCGAACGGAACTGAAGGCGGACCTTAAGCGACACGCGTGCCAAAAAAATATTTATCGTAGGACTTGAGCTATGGTGTGTTTTTTGATTCTGTCTGAAGGAAAGAGTGGCCGATTCAAAACAACTATTGACCTCAGATGTGACATCACAGCAGGAGTGGGTCAGCCAGTAAGAAAGAGCAACTTCTCTTTAGTTCAACAGGGCTGTGACGTGCAATTTGTTTGGAAGTCCTTGTACGCATGCCCGAAATGCCGAGAACAAGACATTACACAGATTAAGGGAGAATGCATAAACGGAACCCGGAACGTCACGGTACTGCGTTCTATCCCATGCTGGGCACCTGATGAATCCCCCGGCGCTAATGTCACGACAGAAGAGTGTGTCACTCCAACTAAATTTGTCACGGTTACAGTCACGGCTACTGTTCTGGCTTTTAGAGAAAAGGTATCAAGCAAAGTAAACAAGATTTTTATTGGCGTGGGAGTAGTGGTGATTGTACTTTTATTGGGCGTGGCTTTGTTCTTTGTCTACAAGCATCGCACGATCAAGTATCGGTACTTGAATTGGATGTCACGTAATAAACCCATGAGTCGCCTTGAACAAGAAGATGACGAAGATCACTTTATCGAGGGTGACGAACTCGCTTACCCCTCAAATGATAAAGATGAGCCATTCTGAACCTGAACGAGACCCTGGTATACCACTCTAGTTCAAGTTTTCAGTAGAAGGTAGAATAAATTGAAGAGTGCAAATACCGGTTAGCGTTCTTCAAATTTATTTTCCTACTTCTCATGTTTTTGCAGCGACTTGTGCCCACAAAGCTTTCAATTCCCAATAGCAACAAACAATATACAGCTACTAAATTTTTGTCTTTGTAAATTTGTGATAGAATTTTCAAATACGGCGAGAAAATTTAGGTTGTTTCGTGTTTCTCTTGTCCTGTAAAGGGTGCCAGTAGAACGCGGGGCGGGGTTGGGGCTGGGGTCGGAGTCTTTCCTTTTTTATAGAATGCTGTTAGGGTTGACTGCCCGGGGGGGGGGGTACTTTAGGAATTTCTGGGTGGGGATGTGCCGCTGGGACCCTGGAACCCTTAACCTATACTAGAGCTAGTTCAGCTGAATTTTGCTATCCTATACTAGAGTAAACTCCCCAAATCCCCCTATCCTAGAGTAGCTGTTTACCTAGTCTAGATAAAATCTTCAACCAACTGATCAGTTTCCTGAAAAATGATACCCTATTCTAGACCCAAACGCTCTGATTTATATACCCTATCCTAGAGTAAACTGCTTGAAAACCATACCCTTCACAACGGCACATACCTATATAGCCCATATATGGCAGTACCCCCACGGGGTTGACCGTAACCCTAAAAAAAGATAGGCCCCCACTCTGACCCCGACCCCGCGTTTTACTGACAACCTCTCGTAAAATTGATTTTACGATATGTAAGCTATGATTTGAGAGTTAACTGAGTTGCACAGTTGAAATTTCCCATATGTCTTTTTTTTAGATTTTATTTTTTGGCTAAACGGACAGAGCCGAGTGTCCGCATTTCATAGGTGTCTATATCAAAGAGCTAGAGACGGTAAAGAACTTTATTTTTGAAGTATGTTTTATTTTTTTAGTACTGTATAATTAAGCAATTTTGAAAAATTTTTTACTATTTAAATTAGGTTTTAGTTTCAATTGCTTTTTACTGATTTGCTGTAAATAAAAACAATTTTGTAACAATCCCTTTTGATTACAGTCATTCTTACAGTAGGCTACCAATAGTTTGCCGTTTTTCGTAGCTCATCGAGTGAAACGCGCTCCGACCGAAATTTTTCTACAAATCTGCGTTATGGGCGTGTCTCAAATAAACCCTCCTTGTTAAATTAATTGCAACCTCAGAGAGGTGCTAAATAAAGTTGAATTACAAGTAGTTCTTAATGGTTTTTTAGCTTGACACCCTCGCAAGCCTCTAACAGGTACTAGGGACTTTAAGATCCAACGACGCGACGGCGACAAGAACGTCGCTAAAAAAGTGAATTTCCGTTCTTTCAGTCTTTATAGCGATTATTCCTACCCACTTACTTTGTCAATTGTAGGCGAACCCTCCCGAAGTTGAATTTTCAAGGGATCAAATTCAAGCTCAGAAAGAGAAATAAATCGTCATTGCTTGTCTACGTCCTCCATAACACGCGAAATTAGGCATTTTTACGTCGCAGTCGTGCAAAACCGGGAAAGAAATGTACAAAAAAGTGTGATGCACGTGCGAAGTTGTTGTTTTGCTAATTAAACCAATTGCTTTTTTGACGTTCTCGTTGTCGTCCTCGTCGTTACATCTTAAGTACACGTTTGTCGGGGGTGCGTGCGTTGCGCACCAGTAAGGTGTTTTGTTCCCTAGTGTGACTGATGGCCAGCGTGGAAGATAGTTGAAGGAGAGGATGAATAAAGGCTTGCGATAGTGTGTTGGGCGCGGGAGGAACCTTCATCTCCTTCTTTCCTCTCGCGCGTCTTTTTGTTTACTCGCGCACCTTGATTTCTCCTTTGCCTTTTCGGATCATTTTACGTTTCTGGGAAACTGCCCACCTGCCCCTCACCTAAGCTAGCATTTTGCCCTAAGTGAGAAGTAAGTGTTAATGTTGGTTTAGCGGAGGGGTAGGTGGGTAGTTTCACCGAAATGTAAAATGATCCGCCTTTTCATTCCTAAATCAAGCGATTGCTACGCATGCCAGTGAGGTTCACCGAGTGCCTCGGGGTGGAGTGAGAGGACAATTTTAGCCATGAATGAACGTCCCAATTAATTGCTCTTGGATCTACAAGGATGCAACTGATTTAATGCCTACAGTGCAGGATGTAGGTGTAATTATTCGAAGCGTGGACCAACAGGCGATTAGGCTTTGATTGGGCTGGATTGTGCTATCATAATGTTTGGCATAAATCGTCAACAGTAGCATAAGTTTCACCCATTTTCCAAAAAAGAGCACTGCTGCATAATTTGCACTTGTTACGTAGTTACACTGCAGAAGTAAAAAGAAAAAGCGTAATTTCTGCATGAGCATAATTTACATAAACTAGCATAATTATTGGCATAATTTTCGAAATATACGAGAACTGCTAGGAGTAGCATATTATGCTACTTTCGCAAGGACAATTTATCAGAGCCAGCATGGGCCGGCGATATTCGGCTTATCCATAGTTTTCGCTGATCACAAGTTTGCAATTTGGAGGTCAAGGCTATAATAGGAGGTGAAGAAAGGCAAGAAAAATAACTTACGACTCCTTGTCATTACTCAGTTCTCTCTTTTATTTCTTGTTTGAAATGAAAAAAGAAAAAAAATAGGGAAAGGGAAGACAAGGGTATGGGTATGGCGCTATGGCCCATGGAAAGAAAACAGCCTAACCCTACCCTACACAGTTTATTATTGTCCTTTGTTTGGAATCCCGTCATGCCAGGGGGAATATATCACGTACAAATTAAATAGGCTATTAATTCCGAATTGCCTCGAGCTTCTGTTTCAAAGCGACTACTGATATTTAGTAAAATTCAACAAGTGGTCTATTATCAATGCTGCGTTCTGATTGGTTGAGCTACTACTAGGGGACCAGTCATAATTTAAGTTGGAGGGGCGGTGGGGGGTTGGGGGGGGGAAATTGTTTTTTATCCCAAATTATTTCCAGACCCCTATTAATAGCACCCATGTTTTTTAGGTACCCCCCTTCGATCATGTTAAAAGATTTAAGGGCCCCCCTTTCTTACATAATACCCAAATGGTAATAACAAATAACATTTTCTTTACTTTACCGCTCTTACTGATCACTGTTACTTCTGAATGTGCCAACTAACAACAGAGAAGTACTTCACACTAAACTGAGAGAGAGATTTCACCTAGAGCCTCTCAAACAGCTTATAGAGCAAGGATATATCAGTGATTGTGTTATAATTGAGATAAGACAAGCCATCGAAAGGTTAGAGGCCGACAGGACCGCTTCAAGGAAGAAAGAAGATAATCAGCCGAAGCTTACTGCTTTTTATATAAACAGTACATGCTCTGATAGCAAAGCACTTGACAGTGACAAAGACAGTGAGTCCACATATCAACCTCATCTACAAATAATGATTCGGATAGTGAGATTGCATAACATGACTTTATGCATGTAATCATTTGTTAAAATGCCGATGAAATTGTTTCAGTGTTACACAAGTAATAATGGATGTTGTGTTGATGCACCTACTATTTGAGCATTAAATCTTTTTGTCAAAATGCTGATTAAATTGTTTTAGTATTATACAATATAGGACTTTGTGTAAAACTGAATCAAAATCAGGTCCTTTAATACTCAAGCATCATGCTGCTCAGGAGGAATGCTACTTAAAAGAAACTTGAAGACCCCCCCCAAGTTCATCTTTTGGCATTTTAAGGCCCCCCATATTCCATCTAAAAAAAATTGAAGGCCCCCCAATTTCTCCTCCACCCCCCGTTCCAACTTAAATTATGACTGGTCCCTAGGCTATATTTTATAGCCCACTAGTAGCGAAAATTAAAAGCGCCGGATTTTTGGCCGGAAAAAGGATTTAAGTCTTGCTTTAAGTAGTTTTGTCTCGATATTTTGACCACCTAGTTGGATTTTACTAAAGCAATTATTCCTCTTACCCTCATGGCCTCTGAGTCGATAGCCCATTCGGCCTTCGGCCTCATGGGCTATTGACCCAGAGCCCATTCGGGCTCGAGGAATAATTGTTAAAAAAATGATTTGTTTATAATTCAGGACCCCTCCTTCCACACCCTGTGCGTGACGCCGTCGCTATAAATCGCGTTCCTGTTTCCGCAGTTTTTCGTTTACGTGTTTCCCTTCTGCCCTTTGGTCTGCAAAGTTACTTTTTGAGTTTAATACTTAGATCTTTACAAATAAAGTATCCCAAGTTAAACAACAAGAGGGTAAAAGTGTCCCAATCTCAAAAAGCACACTGTTAATATTATCTTTCTAAACATATAAATGCTTGGTAAATTGTTTATCTTCATGGTAAAGTCTTAGAATGTTTCAGAACCTTGAAACTTCCTATAACGGCGATACCTTAAAACTTCCTATAACGGCGATACACGTCGGCTTTATATTCTCAAACTCATTAATAATTCATAAAGAAAATACAAAGGAATAAATGTTTAATGAACCTGTGGAAATCAAATGAAAAACTTCTCATTTTTGCATCCTTAATTTCTCCTTCCAAAATCATTTTGTTAGAGAACTGAATAAATATCAAGTATTCGACACAGTGTTCGTCAAAAATACTCCACTACGCGTCGTACTTCAACTCTTCCTCTTCTCAGTGTTTCAATTAGTTCAAAAATCTCTGTTGTTGGTCAATCGTAGTTGCTCCAATTCAAAATGCAAGCGCATATTAGCCTGAAGTTCATCCGATTACTTCGAGTCGTTATTACTCCCTCAGTAACTGCTGAGAGGAGAATAATCCCCTCAACAATAATAATAAGAGATAATTATATCATCATGACTTTGCGTACGTTTTACAGAGTATAAGAATTTAATAATATTTTAAATTGACTTTTTAAGTAGAGAGATTCATATCATTATGTATATTAGGATTGTATTAGGTTTCCCACCGACCTTTTTTTTCTTCTAAGTATAGCTTCTCAAGTGGTGTAGTATAGGTTGCGTTATGCGCCCTATGCTACTCA